GATCAGCGACTACCAGAGTTGAGTCAGTATATACTTTACTCAAATCAGGCAAGGAACTGGTCTTAACAAGCCGCGGTCTGGAGATAAAGCGATCAGCCTTCGGAGCTAGGAAAACGTGTCCATCCGCCATATTATGCAAATTTCGGTTCTTTCGGTTCTGCTCTTAGCCAGGTGTGACGTGTTCTTACATGCAGAGTCCAGTGTAGCCGCTCTGGCAAGTTACTTCAACCCGCATATGAGAAGCTATTTCATGGATGAAAAGCCTGCTGAGGTTTGTTTAATCCCATGAGTGACCAAGAAATAATTTCTCCTCAAAATATCAATTCAGTCTGAGGCAGACAAGATCTGAGGATAAAGGAAAATATCAGTTATATTAAAATAATTCGGTATTAACGTAAATCGGCCAGCGTTTAGAGTTTCGACGCTGACGTTTTCAGCGTGAGCCCGGCCTTCGTAAGACAGAATGCCCCTCGTCAGAGCGTCAGCGTCTTACACGAGTTAAAAAGAACCAAATAATCTTGTAAGTCACGGTGTTTTAACAGCGTCTAACTTTTTCGTTAAAGCTCCAAACAAAATTGTAAATGAAACGGATACTCGTAATTCAATAAGCTGAGCGTTAGAGAAATCTCGAGTTTCCTTTTTTCTTTCCTTTGTTTACATATTTCTATAAACAATTTGATTTTTTCTTCTGTTTATCTAATTGTGACAGCAGTTGTTTCTTACGTTTTCCTCGAAAGTTACGCGGGAAATTGGCGCGCGGCCGGCCAGAATTTATCCCATCGCGCATGCCCACATTTGACCACTGTGCCATAATATCGATAGCTCACCTGAGTTGTATTAATTGAATTCAATAGGATCAAGGAACAATTCGTCAAAGAAGAAATCTGAATGAACAAACAAGAATGGAGAAACAAGAGCTAGAGGACGCTCTAGAATCGATAGTAGAGTGTCTTGTCAATCATTCCGTTGGAAGTGCCTGTCCGAATATTGCCCAGGGTTTACTTGTTGACTTATTTAAGGTTTCTCTTTAGCTCTCTCTGAGTATTTCTCAGAACAAGGAAAAAATTAATGACTTTAATCTTTGCAAAGATTTTGAGATACAAATGAAGTGGAAAGAGGAGAACTTTAGTGTGGTCTGAGTAATTTGACTGTAGAACATGTTGAGGTCGACACATTTTTCCTTATTCCTATTGAAAAGTTTCTTGCATTTCCGCCTAGTTTTCATACCATACGTTGAAATATCTTGTTTTACCTAACTGACACTGATAAATTATATTAAATTGTCGACACCAAATATCAAAACACAAATATTTTCTTCAATACCTGTACCCAAAATTGCGCAGTACCCCTGTTACAACTTAAAACCACTGGAAGCTGTGCCCTGTCAGTTGGCGCATGTGCATACTTGTTTTTGTCATGCCAATAAAGGGAGTGCCCTTTCCATTATTGACCTTGCAGGGGAGTAGCTGGGATTTTGAAAGGGGAGGGGAAGCTGAGGGATACATCAAAGTTAGAAAGGCTGCATGCCTTGCATTTGGTGGTTCACACCACCACTCTATCTACCTTAGTTGCCCGAGGGTCTTAGTAATAAAGGAGCTGATTACCAACTAAAAATGCTCTTGATTGTCAAACAATCGAGAGTAGGGCACAGTAACCACTTTAGTCCTGTTTTATAAAGGCTAGGTCTTGAAATTAGGTCTAGGACTTCCTAGGAATTCTCAAAAATTCCCAACTGTACAAATGAGCTGTAATTGAAAAGCTTGGAATTACTTGGAATTTCTGGGAATAGAAGACTCCAGTTCTGTGAGGACTTGGAATTCCTAGGAATTCCAAGGAATTCTCAGCTATGCAAACTACCTATAGTTACGAAGGGTGGAATTCTTGGGAATTTCTGAGAATTGAATTTGAGGCAATTTAAATACCCTGAGGTCCAAATCAATTCCAAGAAATTCTCAATACCTTGAATGTAAAGGTTTTAAGAAAGGGGTAATTTTAGAGGCTTAAAACTTTGGCTCAATAAAAGGTATGCTATACAAAATTTACCAGGAGATATACATATATGTATATGTTTATAACTTAAAGATCATGAAATTTATTATTTAAACTAAGTTTTAGTAAATCTCTACTTTAATATGGATTTTCTCATGAAGCAGATGTCAATTATGTTAAATGCAAATTGCCAATTAATCCAATGTACTCATATCATAGATTTGCTTTCTAACCCCAAAGGACTATTGGATTCCATGATCATAAAAGTTTTTATTGTGATGCAAAATGTCTTGTGAATTTAAGAGATCCTCGCAGCTTAAAGAACACTACTGAACTAGTAGTTGAAAATAGGACCTGAAAAAAATTCAGGCCCGTATGGGATTTGAACCTATAACCTTTGCAATACCAGTGCAGCGCTCTACCAACTGAGCTAACAAGCCAACTGGGAGCTGGTCAATGTGTTGGGTCCAAACAAACCATCCAAGTGATGAATAATGATTTTAGATATATGAAATTCATGTATTTGCACTGCGGTGAAGAAATGAATTTAAGAGGTTCTTGCAGCTAAGAACACTACTGAACTAGTAGTTGAAAATAGGACCTGAAATTTTTTTTCAGGTCCTGTTTTACACCTTTTAAATTGCTTCTTCAATTTACTTTATTTAAAACCCTAATCTGAAAATGTTTTTAAAACAAGACTTGTTATTAGTGAAAAGTACAAACCGAGTTTCCTTTCATAATTTAATTTCTTTAATGTCCCAATCACTGAATCTCCCAAAAAATATTACTTCTTTTTATTTTTGGTGCGAAATACACGTCCGCCTTAATATACAAATGAAAAGTGCAAGTCACACTTCAATAATAACAGCTCTAAAGTTTACTTGTTGTTCTTCTCTGTCTGTCAGCTATCAATAAAATTGTTTTACACTTCGGATAGAGCATAACCATTTGTGAACCAGAGTTGAGTTGTTTGTCTGTTTTAGATAATAAGTATGAGTGTTAGCAAGAAACGTGTTTTCCATACGTGAATTCCTCCATTATGTTGACTTTACTTTAGAAAAACTTAGCTCCTCTGATAAAGTTGTTTATCTTATGGGCGATTTCAATATTGATCTCCTCAAATCTGAAATTTCCGATTACTCCCAAAATTTTTTGTTATCTTTACAATGTTATTCGTTCTTCCCGGTAATTGATAAACCAACTAGAGTCTACAATAATTCTGCCACACTCATTGATAATATATTTCTGAATAGATTTGATCATAAAATTTCAGGTGGAAATATCGTGTCAGACATTAGTGATCACTACTCCCAATTTTGTTTTATCCACAGTCTTATACCAAAAAATTTTACTGCTAAACATAAAATTCGCGATTATTCCAACTTCTCTGAAGAATGCTTTATTAATGATGTCTTGGATACTGATTGGGATAACTCAATGACATATGGATCTGTAGACAAATGCTTTTCTTCCTTTTACAATAAATTTAACAAGCTCATTAATAAACACGCTCCTCTCAAAATCTTATCTAGGCGCAAGGCTAAACAATTTTCCAAACCGTGGATAACTAAGGGCCTACGTAAATCTATCAAAATAAAGAATAGACTCTTTTATTCAGGAGATATCTCAAAATATAAGCTGTATAGGAATAGAATTGTTACTCTTTCTCGTCTCAGTAAAAGATTGTATTATGAAACTTACTTCACTACAAATCTAAGAAATGTTAAAAAAAAACGTGAGGGGATTAATGAACTATTGAACAGACAGCGTAACAGAAAAACAGTATCAGCCCTTCAACGCTCTAACAACTCTGGAGTAACACAAAATCCGTCTGAAATAACCAATATCTTTAATCAGTACTTTGCGTCTATTGGACCGCGGCTTGCACGCAATATATCACCTTCCAGGATAAATTTCCAGGACAATCTTACTGCACAAATTATATCATTATGGAGTCAGAGGAATAATTAATAACTTTCTCTTCGTATGAACAGAAAAGTGGGTGACTGGTTGGACGCAAACAAACTTTCTCTTAACACTAGTAAATCTAACTTTGTTATTTTCCATCCTTACCAACGCAAATTGGACTACATAGTTCACTTGAAAATTTATAATAACGAACAAAAACTTTTGTGAAATATCTAGGAATTCTGATAGATAATAACCTCTCTTGGAAGTCTCATCTAAAGTTAGTAAAGGAATTGGTATAATTGCCAGGTCCTCTACTGTTGGCATCACCGCTTTAATTCTCATTTGGTTTCCTCTTTGATGCATGTTTAGAATCTGTTTAAAGAGGAAATAGGTGTAAGATTGTGACAGCCAATAACAAGTCTTAAAAGATCCACGTGATCATGCCCGTGATCAGAAACAAAGAAGACTCCATTTGGCGCTCATCTTTGAATGTCCTTTTAACGGTTGATCGCTCGTGTGTTAAGTTATTTCTTTTCTCAACTGTTTTGCCTAATATAACATTTCTAAAGAAAGGTTTTATTGTGGTTCACTGGGAAAACTAGAACAGCGTGAGTGTTGTAAATGAAAAGAAAGTCGTTGACGCCGTGGAGTTAAAAGAAGGGACAACAGTTGACATATTGACTGGTATAAACAAGGGTCGAGTGGCCATTTATAAAGCTACGATTTTGAAAGTTTGTGGTGAGTAAAAATTGCGATATTCGTTACGTGATCAAAATCTTATCAAAGAATAGATAGAACGGCTTGAATTAAGCTTACATAACGCTCGGCGCAACTGAAACTAGAATAATTCTGAGAATCGAATCGGTCACTTGCATGCCGCAGTTTCTTAAGCTTATGCTTTACAATGAAATCTATCAGTAAGGTTTCAAGATTACTTTAGTCACGTTTTGGGAACATTCAAGATTAATAATACAAACTGTGACTAAACAAACCTTATTACATAAAGAAGCCCTCCTTGGTAAAAACAAAATACTGTATTCAGCCCTTTTTCAGTAAAATATATGTATGAGATGTACTAACTCCAATATAAAAGTCATTCAATATAACAGAGATTTCCCAATCCCAGTGCACTTTCTTAAATTGAGATTCCAATGAATGCCCTTTTCCTTATAGCTATCTAAGGCCTTGTCTGAGCTTTTAATATATTTATTTATATATATGTATATATATTTTTTCAAATTCAGATGTCATGGAATCCAGATACAAAATGGTCAAGCTTCTTGTAGACAACCTCATTCAAGGCTAACAGGGAAAGCTGTGAGCCCAGGAAAAAAAGACAAACAGCAGCCAAGTCTGCAGTTAGGACAACTTCATACTAATTTATTGCTACAGTTACAACAAGATTTTAATTAAAAAATCAATTATATTTAACTGTAATTAACCCCTTCACTCCCAAGAGTGCTAGGTCAAAATTTGAGAAGAAATCTTTGAATTTCAATGTGCAGAATCAACAAAAACAAAAAGTAAAACATGAAAGTGCTGCTTGACAGTTCACACATAAGAGTTTTATCCAAATAAGTCACAACCACATAAAATCAAGTCAAAGCCTGTGTCTGGGAGTGAAAGGGTTAAATACCATTTGTATCATCATCCAAAATTAAATGATTCATTTTAAGACTATTTTTAGACTGATAGTATTTATTGCAGTAAATATAATTTAAGATATTGTATTTTATGGAAAATAATCAGCAGATTTTATTCACAATTTGTGTCTAACCAAATTTAATGATTGATTAGGACTATTTTACTTGAAAAGCTGTAATTCAGGATAAATTCATATGAAGTTTTCAAGAAAACAGAGAACTACTACTACATTTACTACATGTTGATGTTAACATACAATCAAAAATATTCTACATGTAAACCTTAATGAAGCTTGTAAATAAATTTCATTGAATACTTGAATTTTAGCTGGGATTTTTTAATTTTTGGTATTTATTTTATATTTTGTAGCCTCAAATTTTTGCTTAAAATTCCTAGTAATTCTATTTTACAGCTTTTCAGGGAAAGTCATCGGTGCTCTGAGTTGGAATTCCCAGGAATTCCTAGGAATTCCAAGTCCTGTTGGCTGTAAATTTGGAATTTTTGGGAATTTCTAAGTAAACTGGCTCACTACCCTTTGTACATAGGATTTATTACTATTTTAGTGGCTTTTTACTTGACATTTCTTTCTTTGTCCCAGACTCATGATGAGAATAAAAAGAGAAAAACACTATTCTCTATTTCACTACCAAGCTCAAACTTTGCCGTCAATCTTTCCTACTCTGTTTATTCACACAATGCTTTAGATGTTTGCTGATCCTAGAAGCATGTAGGATACATGTTGCATACAAACTTAGTGATGACTAAGCTAACCATAAAATTCTCTGTAAGTCAGAGGAAGATCATTGGAGCTCTGAGTCTGTAGTTCAGGGCTTTTAGTGTAATATGGCCTTTGGTCTACTCTCCTATGTTTGTGTTAGCAGACAAAGAGTTTCAATAAAAGCTGGTCGTCAGCAGTCTGCAACTGCCTGTAAGAAGTACCTCCTTCTGCAAACTGGCGCTCATGTCTGGCTCTTGCTTACAGCCCCTTTATTTGTATGCAGCTGCAGATCACATCATCAGTAGCTGCTTATGGCAAAAATTGTAATGAAACCCATGTCAGACAAGCCCAAATGAATGGGTTGAGTTTGGCTAGTGAAAAGGAGATTCTTCTGTACTCAAACATGAAGTGATAAGCAGCCTTTTTATGTTGTAGAAATGTCTATATGAACATTTTTCCTCTCCATTTGCAGCCTTTGGAGGTAGCAGTACCCAAAGTGGACCCACTCTCCCTACCCCCATGGCTTCATCAGTTGACCCATCACAGTCTTCTAATGGAGAGCCTGGGTCCAATCTTCTTACTCCTGAGCAGCTTGTCAAGTTGGTCAGTGGTGTTCTAAGTGAGAAACTTGTACAGGAAATTGATGGCATGTTTCAATTCAACATTGTTGGTGAAAATGGAGGAACATGGTATTTAGATTTAAGGAGTGGACATGGAAAAATATATACTGAAAATCCGGGCGAAAACCCCAATGTGGAGCTCACCATGAGGGTGCAGGATATGCAGCAGATATTTTATGGACAGACAACAGCTTTTGATGCTTACATGCAAGGCTCTTTGAAAGTTGATGGTGATTTAAGGATGGCCATGAGTTTGGGGGCTATTGTTAAAATGCTCAAGGAAAAACCAGTTGTTCCTGAAAAACCAGTTTTGCAAGGAAATGGAGTATATGTGGTTTAAACGCTTAACTTTTTTATTTACTGAAAGTTCCCCTGTTCGTTTTAAAGCCTTCCATTCATATATTTTTTTTTCATTTCTTGGGAAGAGTTCATGTTGCCTGACTTTGACTTGTATATTTGACTTTACTCAATAGTTGCTATTGGAAACCACTGACCAATCATAATTTATCTAATAGTTCTTTTCCAGTCCCTCTGAACTTTGAGGATAGGCAAACTCACCTGTGTCTTAATTGAATAAAATGTTTGTCTTTATCGATTCATTTGGTTGTCTGAATCCTTTTATCTGTCAGACTGACTGGCATCCAATTTCTTCTTACAATAAAGGAAATAATCATTAGATAAAGAAGCTTTTGATTTTTAAACAAAATGGAGAATTTGTATACCGATATTAGAGTATAAAGGTGTAACCCTTTAGTCCACCTTTAATAAGAATGCGGTCTGTCTACTCGTTTCACATCATTAAACTCTGAAACTACATGACTGGTTTCTTTCCGCTTGTTTACGAGTGGATTTTTTTCTTGTGCATAAATTTCTTGTGTTTATTATAACATGGGCTTCCTGTGGAAAAGCATGTTATTACATAGGCTTCCTGTAGAAAAGCCCGTATATCGCATATCGTATACAGTCCTTCCAAAAAAGCACTTCCGTCATGTTTGCGCAGGCGCTGATTACCAGGCTTCCCAGGCTTCCCATGCCCTCTATGGACGAGAATGGGCAATTTGTTGCAAAATCTTATGTCCTTCCACGATGATCGAGGCCTTAATGGAAAAACTTGTAAAAAGAAGCTCCACATTGCCGTAGAAATGACCTGAAAGGTGTTATGGCCAATAGGCTCGAGTCACTTACAAACGTCTACAACTATTGTTGTTTTAAAGCCTTCCATTCATTTTTTTTCAGACCCGTTGTGATTTAAAATCAAATCCGTAAATCCGAATCCGTTTGCCGCTTGACAAGGGGATTGGTGTAAAACATATATAAATCTTTTGTATGTTAGCTAAACAACTTTTAAAATATCGTTCTCACGCTTTTTGTAAGACCTTTAACAAACAAACAGAACAATTTTTTACAAATTTATTAATTTTTAAACCATTTTTATAAAACTAAACTAGTGAGCAGCAATTAGCGAACAGTTGTTGTAAAACTTTTGTTACTCTCCGATGCGTTTCGACGCGTAAATCCTAAACGCCTGTATTCATAAGCCGTAGTTAGCAGCTATTACGTGGGCTAAAGACAATAAAGATTTGACCGGATTTGTCAACAGGAACAGACAAATTTTTAAGGTTAGGTGAGAAAAAGATTTGGGATTTCTAGCTCACGTAATGGCTGCTAACTATGGCTAATAAATATTTGTAAAGAAGAAGTCTTGAAGATGTCTACGACAAATAGACGAAACGCATTGGAGAATAAAACAAGGTTTACAGCAACAGTTCGCAGAGTGCTGCTCGCTGATTTAGTTTTCAATATTAAAAAAAATTAAAGTTCCCCGTTCGACCCAGCAATATTTAATAGATAATTACCGAAGCCGCCCTCAGCTGGCTGCAATATGTCTGATAACCCTAACTGCCTCAGTAAGTATCGATTAAATGGCACTTCCCGCTGGCAACACGTCACAACTTTCAAGCCATTTTCGGTAAGTCTTGTCTGTGAGTAAAAACCACAGTAACTGTGACGCAAACACACACAAAAACAAACAAAACAAATCATTTCCAACGATCGCAGAGATATACGATCCGAAATTTAAAAAAATCCAAAGTTCGGGCCCAACAATCGATGAAAACCGCAAACCACTGCCGTTGCAGGATCTGCAAATCCGTTAAAATTTCGCTCTGAATCCGACATCCGGCAAAAATACTGTCACAATCCGCTGATCCATTTTCCTGTTTACTCCATTCATTACTATTTCAGAGCCCCTTGTTGCAATTAAAAAACAAAAAAAGAACGTCTAACTTTGCTCTCTTTGTGTTTAATTAGTGAACGTAACTTCTGGAAAGATCGGTTTATATTGATCGCGTTGCTGGCCTTTCTAAAAGCGTATTAGTGTGGTTTGGGCCTGAATTTCACAGTTTATTTGCGATATTTTTGCAGTTAAGACCTTTTATCCTAACATTGCGTTTTCATTTAAAAACGCATACTTTTTGATGCGTTTCGCTAAAACTTCCTGATTTTTGCGTAGGATGAATGCTACGTCATCGCGATCAAACCTTTTTTTTCCACCTGCATCAGTCAAAAGACTCCTCTATCAAAAACGCGTTCAAAGGCCATTTTCTTCAGCGGTTTCGAATTGTTGGTGTTTCCGTGTAAATAATAGGGTAAAAACGCATCAAATTGCGAACGTTTCCAGACCACAGCTAAAGTTGGAGCAAGAAACTTGGTCATTTTTTAATAGCTGAGGAAAGAGAAGGCCTTTTTTATGGTAGCAAATTAAAATGAAAATCTAAATTTAAACTAGATTAACCAGCAAGGCGCTGAACAATCATTACGTATGTTAATTTCACTGTCATTCATTAGCCATTTCAAAGAGGAATACTGGTTAGCTTTTGTTTCAAAACATTCAGCATCAGTTTGAAAAAGCAATTTTTTTAAATGTCGTCTGAGAGCTCTTTTCGTGCTCATTTTCATTTAAGTTATAAATAAAATATTCTCGTGTGATACATCGCTCTTTTCAAAACTGAACGAATTTTGCACAGTCCCTCACTTTGTTCTATGGTTCATTAATAGTCGTAAAAGCCCTTGAAGTACTCAATTGCTAGTGTTTAATCACTGAAAAGTGTTCATCAATTCTAATGAAACCTGACACAGCCCAGCAGCTGTCGTTCTTCTTAATGAAACTTGGATCTGACACACTATTCCGTGAGTAAGGCTCCCGGCAAGTGGTCTCCTCAATCTGATGAACTTGGAGCCCGAATGGCGCGTCTTCCTCTGCTTAGTAACGTGGGAAACCACTCGCATCGCATGTTATTGGATTCACGGTTCGACCTGTCTTTCATTACTCTATTACTTCCTTGACACCCGTCGTTTCTCTGCGTAATTATGCTCATTTGTGTTCGATCTGAATACATAATTATGATAAATACCTTGTATTTTGCACCATTTATCATCCGGAATAAAAATACCAAAAAGTATTTCGTTTTTACTTTTCTTCGTTGATAACATGCAACCGGCTTGGGTGGCTTCTGTCAAAATTATCAAAAATTTCAAACCTGCTCGTTTCCTGCTTCGATATCTAATTCCAGCATGGCTTGTTTTAACCGTTATTTTGCTGTTCAGCTTCTATCGCCAATCGTCGAAAAGGGAAGAATCAGCTTCACAAGTGAAAAGCAAATTGAACCACAGCTTCAGGTTTCTGTCAAAGACTGAAATTTTAAGAGAACGCTTTCAGAAAGAGAACGGACTTGTGGGTGCGATCAGGAAAAATTCTTATGGGACTTCTGGAACGGCGGTTTGTGTTGTAGATCCAGCAATGACTGAATGTGGCGGCAGTGGGTTCTCTTCTTTTCTCCTGTTCACGTTGGATCATATTATGGTGTGTCGCGCTCTAGGAATCAACCAGCAAACTGTGTTCTGGAGAGGTTGTAATTCCGCTTGCGCGCGGGACCCAGCTGTAAACTCGTGGATGTGGTATTTCGAGCCTGTTAACGAAGGAATGGAATCAAAAGTTGAAAATGTTTTTTGTCCTTTAAGCCTTAAAGATATTACAGAATTCAGGTTAGAGCATTTTAGCCACATGGATGAAGCTGATTTAAGGACAACGATCATAGATAATAGTTTTAGTGATAGAAGCGACGTTGAGGGATATGGTGAAAGCCGGATCATAACAACAACGGAAAGAATCCGTGTAAACAAATTAATTCGTCAGTATGTTAAGCCCAATTCTCGAGTAAAAGAGAGAGCAGACCTATTTTATCTTCGAAATATGGCGGGGTTCACTCTTTTAGGAGTTCAAGTTAGAGCAACAGATCACTGGATGGAAGCGAAAGATCACAAGCTGCCGTCCGTGATAAGCTGGGTGGAGAGAGCACGAGAAATTCTTGAAACTTTGCCTGAGCCAAGAAAGATTTTCATCGCCAGCGACAACACTGAAGTTATCCAAAAATTTATTGGTGTTTTTGGAAAAGAAACGGTTAGTGTTGATTTTGTATAATGTAAGTCCATTCAGCATTGCAGTCGCTCTATTCAAAGTTTACAAGCGTTAATTTACTAGTAACGAAAAAGGAAAACAGGAATAGATTTTCACGCATTTGCTTGTGACAGATTTGTTACACCCATTTGGAAATCACTGGTGATCCTTGTGATCTGATTGGCTCTCGGTAGTGCGATTTATTCCCAAATTGCACCATTTCTTGCTTAAGTATCATTTCTATCCCAAACAACGAGAAAGCGACCCTGAAACAAAACAAACAATCAAATTTCATTTCTTGTTTAAAGTAACTAATTGCAGGAAAATGAAAGACAAAGAAGCCATCGTGTGGCGAATTTTATAACATTTGTCTTCAAAACTTGTGTTTGTCTTTTTTTCCCAAATAAATCTATAAGTTTTATTGAGGATAAAATTTGGCGATTTTATGTAACAAGTGGAAATTTACCATCTTGCTGTGCAATCGTGAAGGGGGCGGTCAAATTTGAATCCAGGGGGTCATATTTTGATCCAGTGATTTTTGTTGCTTTATTGTTTTGCAGGTTGTTTTCACAGAAGCTTTCCGAGCAAAGGAATATCACAGTCAGACGCCTCCGCATGTATTTAAATTCAAATACAACGCAACTCACCCGTACGAGCGAGAAATTGGCACCCAAGTGCTGATGGACATTCTGCTCTTAGCCAAGTGTGACGTGTTTTTACATGCCGAGTCCAGTGTAGCCGCTCTGGCAAGTTACTTCAACCCGCATATGAGAAGCTATTTCATGGATGAAAAGCCTGCTAAGGTTGGTTTAACCCTTTAACTCCCATGAGTGACCAAGAGAGAATTTATCCTTGTAATATCAATGCAGTATCAAGCAGACAAGATAGAATGATAAAGAAAAACATCAGTTATATTAAAATAATTCAGTATTATCAGCTCAGTTGATAACGTAACTGGGCCACCGTTTAGAGTTTCGAAGCTGACGTTTCCAGCGTTAGACCGGTCCTCGTTAGAGAGAATGCCCGTCGTCAGAGCGTCAGCGTCTTACACGAGTTAAAAAGAGCCAAATAATCTTGTAAGTCACGGTGTTTAAACAGCGTCTACCTTTTTCGTTAAAACTCCAAACAGAATTGTAAATGAAACGGATACCCGTAATTCAATAAGCTTAGCGTTCGAAAAGTCTCGAGTTTTCTTTTTCGTACTTTTGTGTACATATTTCTATAAACAATTTAATTTTTGTTTGGGTTATCTTACGTACGTGACAGCAGTTGTTTCTTGCGTTTTCATTCAAAAGTTACGCGGGAAATAATTGGCACGCGGCCGGCCAGAATTCATCCCATCGCTCATGCCCGACATTTCACCACTGTGTTCTGCTGTGTTGCCATAATATCGATAACTCACCTGAGTTGTATTAATTGAATTCAATAGGATCAAGGAACAATTCGGCAAAGAAGAAATCTGAATGAAGAAACAAGAGTGGAGAAACAAGAGCTAGAGGACGCTCTAGACTTAGAAGCGATAGTGGAGTGTCTTGTCAATCATTCCGTTGGAAGTGCCTGTCCGAATATTGCCCAGGGTTTACTTGTTGACTTATTTAAGGTTTCTCTTTAGCTCTCTCTGAGTATTACTCAAAACAAGAAAAAAATTAATGATTTTAATCTTTGCAAAGATTTTGAGATACAAATGAGATGGAAAGAGGAGAGCTTTAGTGTGGTCTGAGTAATTTAACTATAGAACCTGTTGAGGTCGACACATTTTTCCTTATATTGAAAAGTTTCTTGTATTTCTGTTTAGTTTTCATACCATATATTAAAATATCTTGTTTTCCCTAACTGACACTGATATATCAGAACGCAAAGTATTTTCCTCAGTACCTGTAACCAAAATTGCGCAGTACTCTGTTACGACTTAAAACCACTGGGAGCTGTGCCCTGTCGGTTGGCGCATGTGCATACTTGTTTTCGTCATGCCAATAAAGGGAGTGCCATTTCCATTACCGACCTTGCAGGGGAGTAGCTGGGATTTTCAAGGGGGAGGGGAAGCTGGGGGATACATCAAAGTTAGAAAGGCTGCATGCCTTGCATTAGGTGGTTCATACCGCCACTCTATCTACCTTAGTTGCCCGAGGGTCTCGGCATAAAGGAGCTGACTACCAACTAAAAATGCTCTTGATTGTCAAACAATCAAGAGTAGGGCACACTAACCACTTAAGTCCAGTTGTATAAAGGCTAGGTCCAGTTGTATATCCAACAGATAAATCCCTATCCAGCGGATAACTGTGAAAAAAACGTAGAGCACTATCCACCAGATAGAGATTTATCCTGTGGATAGCATTATCCATGCTTTGAACCGAGGCATGGTCACTCAATCTAACAATACCATTATACAGTTCCTCCACATCACCTCAACTTTCACAAGTATTTTTTGGAAAAATGTGTTGCTTTTATTATAATTAAATCACCCCAAAAATTTTAATGCTTGAATTTACTTGCGTAAACAATTATATACATAAACAACTGTTGTATCAATTTACTATACATCGCTTAATGGCTGCTAGCAGCAGTCTATTACAAATCTGATTCGTTTAAATTTATCTTGTTATCATAACTGTTCTCTTTAGTTATCAAAATTAACTGTCATGTACATGACCACAAGCTACTTATTATATTCACAAATACATGTTTCAAATCCTTGTCAAGTTTGGTCAACCAGTGAATTCTATGGACAAGCAACTCAGTGCATAGCAGTAACACTTGTATTGTTCAAGTGAGACAAAACATTTTTGGATTATAAGTAACATAAATACCAAATGCAGCATTTTTTGCACAGCAAACTTGGCCACGTAAAAAAAAAAAAAAAAAAAAAAAGCTTGGCCTCATACTGGTGTGACCTGTGTCTTGGGGTAAAAACTTTTTTGCTCTCATAATTACAATGATACTGTTTCAAATTTGTGCATATTATGTGGTAGTATATTATAAACTGAACATGATTCTACTGCCACTTTACATTATAAACTGGAACTTGAGCTTGCTAAATAATATTTAGCCTCATTGCATTGAGGTTGGTTTTCACTAGCGTCTTAGTTGGCGACAGAGTCAAAGTGATACAATGTGGAAAAAAAACCAAACAAATCAGAAGCAAAGTATCAACACTGCTTGTGACTCTGTTGGTTATGATCTATAAAAACTACCATAGTATATATGCCATTGCTTGCACAATATAGTTTTGTCAAGACCATAAGCATCAAAGCCAAAGCAGAATTATATACAACCATTTTCAGTTGGTTGGGGCCTGATGGATGTCTAAATTGTGGTGTTGTCACTGGCCACTGGCTTTGTTTCCAGTGTTTTCAGTGCCAACATGTTGTTTGACCTCTAATGACAGGCTCTCATGTTGCTGGATAGTTTTGACACACAGCTATTGAGATTTAGTTACCTTCGGAAACAAGGAAGGTTGCTCATGACCACATTGTTACTCTGCAGTCAAAATTCCCATTGCCCAATATTTCTGCACCTCACTCAACTGATTATCATGTTAGAACAAAATGGAACTGCTCTGATTCTTTCCACTCATGAATATCCTCACAACTCAAATTTTTTTCACACAAGGGGAGGTGCTCTTACAAGTTTGAGTACCACTTCAACACTGTCCCAAGTAAACACCAACCATAATGAGGTTCACTAAGCCTACACAAAATAATAAATTAATATATCTTAATGTAACTTAGGCATCAAGATGCTTAGGCTCTGACAAGTGCTCTGACAACCATCATAATATACAAACTAAAATTTGCTGGCACTTCATGTCTTCGAAGTTCTCAAGTTTTTTCCTAAACCTTGAGATTATATTTCTGGCATAATGCTGAGAAATTCTTAATCCACAAGTTTTGTATTTAATTTTAGAGAAATGACAACTGTTGCAGTGTTTGAAATTAGAGCTTACCCGTGTAAGCCTCACAGAGTTGTGCATGTGGATTAATGCACATGCTTACTCTGTTAATTCATACATAAATTCAGACAATTGTACCCAGTTTGTGTCTATTTGCACAGATCCACTGGTGGATTTGTAACCGTTCCAACATTTGGTGATGATCACTACCTTGGAGAACTCACAGTAATGGGAATGCATGTGAACATATGTCAGTTTTTCAGTCTCAGCCATTTTGTTTGGGAATGTCATCTCACTAATGAGAAGCTTGAATTGGCATTGTAGGTGACAACATTGACAATGTCATCTTTTGGAATGTAACGACTGCTGGCATCTAAATTAGTGTTATCAAAGAATCCACTCTCTTCGTAAATCTGCAAAACAAACACCATAGACAAAACAATATCAACATCCCTCTTCTCAACCCATTTACTCTCAAGATCTGATTATCAATTGTTGCCTCTAGCTGCTAAACATTTCCTTACAAATCAGTTACACCTGATTAAAAAAAATATAATGAAACTTCTATTACACGGACACCCTCTGGACCTTCTCAAGCGTCTGCTTACCTCCTAAACCCCCAGAAGTGATAAACAAGTAACTTCTCTCTATAGTATCCATACATCATCCAGCAAACAGGTAATGAGAATATTCAAACTCATCAGGTACAAGATAATTATTACCTTGATTGAACACCAAGTTCTCGTAACTAATTTACAAGGATATGTGTAGCAGCTACAGGGGAGAATTAACTATCAGATCTTGGGAGTTAAAGAAGGTGTCCGCTTAATAAAGGGTTTGTATGAATTGCACAATGTATGTTAACGATCAACATTCAACAGTTACCCTGTACTATGATTAAGGTCCATGTTGTTAGCGAAGCTATCTAGAGTTCTAGTTCATAACTTTTCATGACCAACTAATAATTTGATGGTAATAATGCAAAAACATTTAAAGAAAAACAGTGATGACAAATTATTCACTGTACAATGACTCTTTGGATTTATTATATTGAATAGACTCTTTACATTGTCAATTCAGTCTGGTGTCCACTTAACCTTTGAACTCCCAGATCAAATTTGTAATTCTCCTTACCATCAACCATACAATTCTTATAATGTTAGTTTAGAGAATTTAGTATTGGATCAAGTAGTTATCACCAAATTGATATTATTCTTTATTCTCATCACTTATCTGGTTGATAATGTATTGATATTGTAAGGAGAAATTCTGTCTTGGTCACTAATGGGAGTTAAAGGGTCAACAGAGGTTTTTAACAAAAGTGTCTGCATCCGCTTAATGTCCACTTAATAGAGGTTTGTTTGGGGAATGTGAAGTCCGATAAAAGAACTCTTAAATCAGTCAAAGTTTTCCTTTTGTATCAATCTTTAAATGTGTCTATCTTTTGATTTATAAAAATGTAACTAGTGCTGTAAACTGAATTGGAGAAAAGCATCACATAAACCTAGCAATTAACAAAGATGAATCTAAAAATTAAAACTGTGAAGTTATTTCGTTTGTTAGTTATTTTCAATAATAAATTTATTCATAAAGCGTAGTCCAATTGGCGATTAAAATTCGAGTTTGTGAAACACTTTCATTGTAACAACTAACTGATAAAGATCCACCGCAATTAAAGATTCTAAAGGACGGGCGGAAGTATTGTATTCTCTTTCCGTAGTCTCCTTAACTTTCGAGATTAAAAAAACATATTAAAAATATTATTCAAACAGGAAGTTAGGCCAGAAATGGGTTACAAGCCTTTGAAGTAACCCATTAATAACACAGGTGTATCCTACGCTCTGTCTGCGATAAGACAACTGCGTGTTAACTAAATCGAAGGATGAATAATTAGCAAACAAAGAACGATATCACGAAGAATGCGACACGACGAAATTCGATATCGAAACAAGAAGTGGTACCACACGTGTGATTTCATTACATGAACAAAATATTTCATTAAAGGGTTAGATTACGTATCGAAGAACTTTGAAGTAACTGTATGTAACTGTTAGTCTTGCTATGACTAAATACGAATTGATACGCAACAAAATAAATTAGAACAGTTTTGATCGAAACTACGATTGCCCTCTGGACGGAACCAGTTCGAAAAAAGGAAAAAATGATTTGAGGTAAATTTCGAGAAATAACAGCTGGCTCAAATTCTCTGTGATCATGTGTTTGATGTAAGATAAGCATTCCTTTACCCACCTGTAATCTCCAGAATGTTAGTGATGAATGAAGAAACAATAAACCCAGTGCAAAGCTCGATACAAACACGATGAAGAAATGAAGAAGAACCACGCGATCGAATCTTAAAAAAACACAACACAGATCGTCTGTCATTTGTCCAAATCATAATTTGTACTAATGTCATTATTGTCTTACTTGCTGGCAGTATCCCCGCTTGTATTTGTGCAAGTAGAAGACGAATTATTGTCAGAGACTTTCCTTTCCCGTTCAGCCATTTTGCAATTGTTGTTGATGACTGCGTTCATAGTTATTGGCTGGAAGGTTTGGTTCTACTTCAACGGAATTGCTGCTCAGCGGTCAACTTAAAAAATGACGTATATTCTTGCACAATCTCGAGCCAAGGGTCATTTGAGTTTCTTGTCAGCGGTATAGTTGCAACGAGATATTCTAAATCGTGTATTCACCTCACAGAATATTAGTAGAGCCTGCGCTATTTTTTGTCAGCGGAGAGGAAAACAAAAAAATGGCGCCTATTTCGCTTAAAGATCCAAACATACAGGCACTTGCCGAAGAGTTGGTAAAAGAGCTTACCAGTTTTAAGGTAATAGGTATCTTTTTTACCACAGTGTAAAATGATATTTCTGAAAGCAAATCGGTTTCATTTTTTCCAGAGATCTTCAAGAAATTTTACTCTCTCCGTCCAGTTCGTCTTATCTAACTTTCGGTGAGTTGAAATTTGATTTTGCAATGGTAACATGTCTCATTCCTTGAAGCATTGATGAGGCACACGTTTGACGAAAAATGCAGTGATAAAAAAGAAAAAGGTTTCTTTAGTTCCTGCTAGTTTGTGATTTTAAACTCAGATTTCTTGACGTGTCGTGTACTTGTCGATAGGCGTTTGTTGATATATTGGTCGTGGTTTGCAAAAGACACTTGACCAGATTAATTAAAACAGGAAATCCAAAAGTCTGCAAGACTGCAAACAATTAGATTTTCAATGCAGTGATTTTTTTCAGTCCCTTTTTGTCTTAAGAGCGCTTACTTTACAGGTACCATCAGTTTTTGGATGTCAATAGCCAAAAAGTGGAAAGGAATATTGATGGGTGAGTTAATATCAGTGGATATATTTTAATTAAAACCTTTTTTTGAAAATTATTAAATTGTATAGCTGTGTAATTAATTATGATAAATTTAAATTATTTTGCTCATGCAGTTTTGAATTGTTACAAGAAATAAGCAAAGTAATTTTTGTGTACTTAACCCAGTAACTCCCAGAAGTGATCAAAATGTAACTTCTTTATAATTATTCATACATTACCTAGCAAACAGGTAATGAGAATACTCCAACCTTATCAGGTAGAAGTTGTTATCTTGATCTAATACCAAATTCTTGCAACAAATTTACAAGGAAATGTGTAAGAGCCAGTAGGGAGAGTTAGCGATCAGATCTTGGGAGTTAAAGAGTTAAACATTAGAGCAATATCAGTACAATATCAAGCAGACAAGTGATGAGAATAAAGAAAAATCTTAATTAGGGGATTATTAGTTGACTCAATACCAAATTCTCCAAACTAACATCACAAGAACTATATAGCAGACTGTAATGAGATCTTGGGAGTTGAAGGGTTAAAAGACATTATAATATTTGAATGAAGAAACATACACAAAGTTAAATGAGATGTGCATTCATGTGATGTATTTTGCTTGAATCTTATTGACAGTGTTTGCCAGAAGCTGAAAGTTCATTCTCAGTTGGAGAAGGCAGAAATTTTGAGAGATTTATGTAACAAGTTTCTGAACTTGCCTTTAACTACACAGTCCCAGGAATTGATAAAGGTACATTTTATTTGGGAGTAGGTTATTCAGAATTTTTTTCTAGCTCATGTGATTTCATGTTTCAAACACTTAACCCTTTCACTCCCACAAGTGATTAAAACAGAATTTCTCCTTACAATATCAATACAATATCAAGCAGGTAGGTGATGAGAATAGAGAAGAATATCAGTCATGGGATTATTAGTTGATCTAATACCAAATTCTCTGAACTAACATCATAAGAATTGTATTGCAGATAGTAAGGAGAATTACCAATTAGATCTTAGGAGTGCTAAGAGTGACTAGCATCTAATTTCTCCTTACAATATTACACCTCAATCACCTATTATGGTCACAAGAATAACAGGAATGATCACCATTTTGTCAGATGGAGGTTGTCATCTTGATCCAACACAAAATTCTTATAACGTCTTGATGAGAAAAAGTGTGACAGCTTGACAGAAGAATTAACAATCAGATCTTGGCTGTTAAAGGTTTATCAATGAGTAACTGCTTGTTTTTTTTATTAAATTTACAGACAGATGCCCATTATTCTCTCATCCTGTTATTGTTGACTCTTGCTGATTCTCCAACTAATGTTGATTACGAGCCACCTCAATCTCAACAATCTTCAGGTATGGGGAAGGTTTTTGCTTGGTGCCTGTTGCTGGCTGAGTAAGGGGTGATCCCCATCTATAATTTGGGTGGTGATCACTTTGTAAAGGACAACAAATGGCTTGTAGGTAATGCACCCATGATCCTATGATATCAAAACACATCTTCTCAGTAATAAGGTTTAAATAAACTCTTGAATATCTTAAGTATCAGCGCCATTTTGAAAAATAAAGGAATTGGATTAAAATCCTGTTTTGAGCAATTGTTTATCAGTTCCTCTTTATATGTCCAGCGTTTGCCATTAACTGATTCATGAATAAATTGCACTACTGAGAGCCAATCAGATTGCCAGGATTACCACTGATTTCCAAATGAATGTAGTATAATTGAATATCTTATATACACATCAATTTGATGTGATTGTTGTTTGCGTGATATGTCATTTTGCCTTGAAGTCCTAAAATTGGTTGTCTCTTCTGTTTTAATTGTAGAAGAGGAGTGGTTTGACTGGAAAAGTTATTTACTTGATGGAGAAGAAGAAGAAATTCTTGGCCTGCCTGTTCAGTATGATCAGGTATTGACTTTGATTTACCAATTTTGTTTGTTATTTTTGGAGGAATTCCCTTAGAGTAAACAAACATGATATTCATAAAATAGATTGTTGAATCTCTGAACTGAGTGAAGTTTCTCAGTCTCCATCTAATATTTTGATAAAATTGTTTTTACATGATATGTTACTTACTTTGTGTTATATTTGCAGGATTGGTCGGATGAAGAGGTAAAAACATTTTCCGGTTTAAATAACATCATTTTAGATATTTTTTACTTTTACTTATTTAGAGCTTTTTACTAAAGATCTAGAAAGCCAAGTTTTCTTTAAAAAATCTGAGTGATTGACATGATGAGTCTTTACGGTGTTGTTGTCACACAATAACTCGTTTGCGTCTTAAGTTGTTATAGTCATTGGTGATGTTCACCAATGTTCAAGCTTCTGTTTGATGTTCACCAATGTTCACCAGTGTTTTTTTTACTAAATATCGTTTACTTTTCTGTATGTTTAACTTCTAATAAGTTGTATTGGATTGAGGACCAACTTGCCGACGTCTCTACTCGATTTTATACGTCGGCGAGTTGGCATCGGCGAGTTGGTCCGTCGGCGAGTTGACTGGATACCAATTTCTCCTTACACTATCAGTATGATATCAAGTAGAAAAGTTATGAGAATAAAGAAAAATATCAATTAGGGGATTACTGGTTGATCCAATTCCAAATTCTCCAAATGAATGTCACATGAATTGTATAGCAGACAGTAAGGAGAATTACCAATGAAATCGTAGGAGTTAGAAGGGTTGAATGTTTCACTCTAAGATGAGAGAGCCAACTCTTCCCACACATGACTATACACTTCATGATTTGCTAATGCTGAGAATTGCATATTCCATCAACTGAAGGCAATATAGCTTGGTTGATAATTTTTCCGATTCTTAATGCGTCACTGCTTGATATTGTAATAATAAAAATGGGGAAAACTAACCCATGAATTAAGTTGAGAGTGAAATGGTTAATTAAAGCTGTTATTCTTATACAGGATGAGGACTTGGATGTGATCAGTGATTCTGGGATCAGCGTTGTTGAGAGGCAATTGGCTGACAATGAAGAAGAATCTCAGAGAAGTGTAGAGCACAATGTCAGTGATAGAGAAGGGATCATAAGCCCCAGGGATGGCAGGGTATGGTTACTGTAAATAATAATGGAATATTAACAGATATTCAAAGGAATCTTGACTGGTCAGTTAGAGTTTTCATTGAAAACTTTAATAGCAGGGTAATAGGCTAATTGAATGGCTAAGTAACAAGTTTGTATTTTTCATCCTCGGAATTTTTGGTTACTCACCGACCAATGCCAACAGCATTGCTCTGCCCCCCCCCTCCTGAAGAACAAAATTTAAAATCTAAGTGTTTTTTTTGTTGTTTTTTTTTTACAGGATGGAAGCTGGATTTCAGATCACATAGTTCCTCAATATTGGGAGAACACATCCAACAATTTCACTCACACAAACACATCAGAATGGAATTGTTCCATAGCAGAATCATGGTACAGTACATCTCTATTTAACCCTTAACAGTCCTTAGCATCAGTATGCAAACTCTCTATACTATGCTTTATACATTTTCTAAGGTGTTGACAAGGAGAATTTGTTTAACAATCAAGAGCTTCTTTAGTTGGTGATAATTTTCTTTTTTCTCATAACCTAAATGTGTAATTTGGGGATGATATTGTTAGGAAAAATTAGATTTTAATCACTCTTAGGGGTCAAAGGGTTACGAAGTCTTACATAAATGTTTAGGATCAATATCAGTATCTGGGCAACTGCCCACCTACCCCTCCCCTAACCCAACATTAACCCTAAATTGTTATCAATTGACTGTTGTTGAGTCAGGGGAGGGGTAGGTGGGCAGTTGCCCAGATACTGATATTGATCCAATGTTTACTTAGTAGTACTGATTGAAATTACTTTGAATTCAACTCTTTAAATTCCAATGCTCTCTAATACTGCAGCCTCAATCATATACACCCTAACATCAGTATGCATATTCTCCATACTGTTCTCTATACATTTCCTAACATGCTGACCAGGAGAATTTGTTTGAAAATCAAGAGTTGTTTTTGTGTATGATCATTTTTTTTTGTAGTCATGACCTCAACATGTGATTCAGAAGTGACACTGCGAGGAGAAATAGGATGTTAGTCACTCCCAGGAAATTTAACCCTTTAACCCCCAAGATCTCATTACTAATTCTCCTTACTGTCTGCCATACAGTTCTTGTGATGTTAGTTTGGAGAATTTGGTGTTGGATCAACTAATAGTCCCCTAATCAATGTTTTTCTTGATTCTCATTACTTGCCTGCTTGATATTGTATTGATATTGTAAGGAGAAATTCTGTCTTGGTCACTCATGGGAGTTAAATGGTTGATGAAGTGGTTTCTCTTTACAGCTTTACAGCTTTACAGTATAAGCATTATCTAAAATTAAATCTTCATTTTTTTAACTCTGTAAACCCAGGGATAGCTATCAAAGTGGACGCAATCCATTTTATCACAGCAATTGTAACAAGACACTCACAGAGACTCAGATTGTGAGGGAGACCTTGTGGTGAGGCGTAACATTGATCTGTTCTTGCCTTTTGAATCTTTCGCCTATTTTTATGTCATTATTTTTCTGATAAGCTGACCATTGCTACCCTGTCAAAATATGGCACACCTCGTAAAAATACTCAGTGATACTAGACACCAAAACATTGAATAAGATATTTGTATCAAAGCTTACAGTTTACATTTGTCTGTAGCCTTCATTAATTTACACCACTAGGATTCTTGTGCATGTATTCATAACTGTAATATGAAACAAATAAAAAGGTAAAAATCAAATCAAACTGGTTACAAATTAGAATTTTTATCAAACCATGGTTTTCTTTGTAGGATGCTTGCTGGAGCACAAAACACATTTGTGTACAGACATAGGCAGTATGGCAGAATAACTGTCCAAGGTGGAATACAGGTTCTTCACCTTACTCCAGTAAGTTAGTTGAGGCTAGAAATCTCTCCTCACAATTCTGTCTGTTAACTGCATTTGCTGTTTCAAAATTTCATGATGGTTTAAAATTTTCAAAGCAGTTTTTCATTTTTACAGTATTTATTGTCAATATTAGTCTGAAACAACCCCAAAAAAGCCATGATACTGTAGATTGAAAAACTATTAAATCAAGAAAATAACTATCCAAACTGTTAGGAGCAATCCTGTTGAATTTTTAGAAAATTCCAAAATATTTTAGGCAGTAATACAACAGGCAGGCAGCATTTTTTGCCATTTACTGCCTGAAAAGGAGAACACTGTAGATAGAATGGTAGATATTTTATTTACTAAGATTTAATACTACATTTCCAGCATTAGATCAAATATTACTTTGCAAATGTGTATTAAAAAAAAAGAAAAAAAAGAACTTGATGAAATGTGACAAAGAAATGTAATGAGTAATTACTGGCCGAGATTGAGCATGATATCATGAATTATTAAAGCCAAGGTCTGAGTTATCTGCTAAAGCTGAAGGCTGAGGCAGATAACAAAGATACCTGGTTGATAATTCATGATATAATGCAGAAAACCAAATTTCAAAACTTGTCTTTTATACATTTCTTGAACAATCTGCAGAAGAAGACACAGGTATTGGGTTATTTTGTCAACTTTGCATGCTATTGCGGATTGACTGTATGCTCTTGACCAATCAGAGTTTAAATAGTAGGTCTAATGTATAAAAGTTAACTTAATAGGACACGCAGTATCAGTGTAGGTCCCATTTATGCACAATTTGTAGATGTAAGAGCCCAGCTTGTTATTATACTTACAGGTAACGTAGTTGTGGTTGAAATTGGTTAATTTTTTATGGCATGTTCCTTTCAGGAATCTCTGTCCAGTTTGTTGTCATCGTTTGCTTTGGCTGGAGAGGAGAGTCTGTTTTTACAGAAGTTTATCTTGTCAGTTGTTGATCCACAAAGCAAGCCAACACAGACATTACAAGCATTTGTAAATTCACTGTCTGGTTACTTTAAGGTAATACAGAGCTAAAAAACTAACAGCATGTCTTTTGAGTCATCTAGCTTGAATTTGTTTTCTAATGTTTGGAGACCCTTCTGAAATACTTGTGATTGTTTAAGAAATACTGGTATCATTTTAGACAAGTGTGAAAAAATTTTACATGGAATTTGAGTGTTAGTTTGGATGTATTCTTTGTTCTGCCCAAAGACAAAGTTTCTTTCATCTCTTTTCAGGAATTCAAATCACTTCTTTCTTCCCTTGAAAAAGACATTATCAAACAGGGTAATTAAAAATAACTAAAAGTTGTTTTTCTGTGTTGATAATATTGTATTCTTGGACCTGTTTTATGCTACTGATATACTTTGTCTCAAGTGATAACAAAAGAATGAATGCCTACAATTATAGTTAATTAATTTTTAATAAATAGGTATTAAATATAATCTTTCTTTTAAGTGTGATTATAGAACATATTAAAATCACTGATTAAATTGATGTTATACTTCATATTTATAATTTTTGCATAAATTCTCTAAATAGCAGTGAATGCTTATTAAATGCAGTTAACCCTTTAACTCCCAAGATCTCATTAGTAATTCTCCTCTCTGTCTACCATACAGTTCTTGTGGTGTTGCTTGGAGAATTTGATATTGGATCAACTAATAATCCCCTAATTGATATTTTTCTTTATTCTCATCACTTGTCTGCTAAATATAGTGTTGATATTGTAAGGAGAATTTCTGTCTTGGTCACTCGTGGGAGTTAAAGGGTTAAATGCAATTTAACAGAGTTAGCTACAAAGAGCATCAGCATTCTCTAGTAGTCAGGGGTTTTTTTACGAATGCCCATGTGTCGGAATTCCATATACTCTTTGTTTGAGGCGTTCTTGTGTGTGCCTTGAGTGTGAACTTGCAGTGTTGTGAGGGGAGGTGTCAGCTCATTGTCCACGCAGTTTTCCCCACCCCTTTCCTCCCTCTTTCCACTGTTTATTCAGTGTGATGGGTGCCTGTTTCTTTTTCCTGTGTGAGGACTCACGGCTGGGTTGCCAGGATTTGCCAACCATGGGAGAAGTTTCCATCTAGGAGCTGGCTGCCAATTGTGGAAGCTCCTGGATGTTTTGGGCACCCAACCTCCACTTAACGACGCAGTTGTTAAAAGTTACTTTTTTACAATGGTGTAGACTTGTCATGATATACTGTGCACATAATTGATTTTTCAGAAGAGTCCATTTCATTATTCCTGCTTCAAAACAAACTAAGGACAAAACTAGAAGAGGTTAGTTAAAAAGTTCATCATTATTCTGCATCTGATATTTAATTTCAATCATCCATTTTATCATTGACAGATCTTCACCTAAGAAGTGGTGGCTAGTGGGGGATATTTACTTAACTGTAAACACTCTTAATCCTTTAGCTCCCAGATCAAATTTGTAATTCTCCTTTCTGTCAACCATACAATTCTTTTAATGTTAGTTTAGAGAATTTAATATTGGATCAACTAATTATCTCCAAATTGATATTTGTCTTTATTCTCATCACTTATCTGGTTGATATTGTATTGATTTTGTAAGGAGAATTTCTGTCTTGGTCACTCATGGGAGTTTAAGGGTTAACAGTGAGACAATAATGCACAAAATATGATTATCTATTTAATAACTAATTTATTCCTACAATGACTACAGTATTTTCAGGTGAATAACAAATGATATTTGGAGTTTGAGTAGCCAATCAGAGCAAGCCTTCAACGTTATCCTCTGTTTTTGTTTATACTAGTTTTGTTTATATATTGTGAACTAAATGAAAGTTATAAATTTGAGTTTTCAAAAAACGTAAGAATTGGAATTGCCAGCAGTATCATTATGCATGTTATCAGCAAAATATGGTTGGATAATAGCAGAGCTCGCAGAGCATAGCCCCATAATTATACAAAGTAGTAGTAACCCATCAAGCCAAAAAAATTTGGTTGTATGACCGTATGACTGTACAAGGTGCTACCTTTAACATGCGTGGTCAACTGTACTACGGGCATGCCAACGTCATGGCTTTGTCCAGTAGTCCGGTGGTCAGTGCACAGGGCTCTGAGATGGACGACCCGGGTTCTAGTCCTGGCCAGGGCAAGGCATTGTGCCCTTGAGATGTGCAGGCTCCACTTTTAGGCTTGGCTAAATCTATATTAGCTGCTACATTGTGGTCTAACACATTTCTGGTTTTGTTTATCAGATATCTTCCTTGTATAATATATATCGAGCTGCAATTTTAAACACAGAAGGAATGAATACTGCCAAGGTAAATAAAGGGATGTATCGTAGTGAAACACTTTATCTCTCAAGATCTGACTGTAAATTCTCCCCTCTAGCTGCTACACAATTTCCTTGTAAATTAGTGACGAGAATTTGGTTTTAGATCAAGATGACAGCTTCTACTTGATAACTGGATAAGTTTGAATATTCTCATTTCCTGTTTGATGGTTAATGTATGGTTATTATATAGAGAAGTTACAAGTTGATCACTTCTGAGAGTTAAAGGGTTGAATGTTGAAAAAGGGAAATGTTTTGAGCAAAGTGAGTTTATTGCAGACATATTGTTAGTAGCAACTTCTTGGTTTTGTATTTATCAGAAAACTTGCAGGCTGCTGACAACATTGTACAGAAATATCATTCAGGCTGATGGACTTGGAAGTGCGGCAAAATGGAAGGTGAATGTGAGGATGATTTTGATAATTTAAGGAGAAATTAGATGCTAGTCACTCATAGAGGTGAAAGAGTTAAATGTTTTCAAGACCCACAATTAGTTGAGGTACTTTTTGCCACTCATACCAGTGAGGATAAGAGTAAATATACAATTTCACTCCAAAGATCTAAAAATTTATTATATGCATGGTCTGCTTCACATTTTGTACATTCTTAGCTCTGGTGTTAAGTCAAGCAACAATTGTCAAGAAGTTGACAATTGTTTATTCCTCTTATCATCACTTTTCTGCTTGAAAATGCATCAATTTGATGATATAAAGTGAATTTAATAACTATATATTTGTGTGGAATGAAAGCTTCCAATTGATTAAAATTGGGCATCACTAAAACTTTTGCATTGTATATTCTGACCTATGAGGTATGCAAGTCACCTTACAAAAGTAAACAAGCTGTATGAATGAACATACTTGATTGAATTGGGTTTTTCTTCATTTTGGCTCAATAATTAGAGCGCTAGACTCCAGGTTGAGAAGTATGGGTCCAAGACCTGGCTGGGACAATATGTTCTGTTTTTGGACAAAATAATCCACTCTTACAGTGCCTCTCTACATCCAGGAGTATAAATGGGTACCAGTAAATTGTCCAGGATGGCTTGTGAAATGTTAGGGGGGGGTAACCTTGTGACAGACTGGTATCCCATCTAGGGGAGAGTACTTAACCCTTTAACTGAGTGACCAAGACAGAATTTCTCCTTACAATATCAATACAATAGCAAGCAGACAAATGATGAGAATAAAGGAAAATATCAATTAGAGGATTATAAGTTGATCCAACACCAAATTCTCCAAACTAACATCACAAGAGCTGTATGGCAGACAGTAAGGAGAATTACTGACGAGATCTTGGGAGTTAAAGGGTAATCTCTGGCTGGATGGGTCACTTGGCTTGAGTACAGGCTTATTAAGTCTATTAATAATCTTATTAATAACCTTTTACCTACCTTATTTTGGATTTTCAGGTCAACTTGTTTTTGAAAATTTTTCTTCAAACTGTTGAGCCATGTCTTCGGTTTATTGACGAGTGGGTGACATCAGGTCATGTTCATGATCCACATGATGAGTTTTTTATTGAAAGGTAGGTAGTTTGGTAGCTTGATTGTTATGTCTTGAGATGTTGTGTGAATCTGCAACTGAAAATGAATGTCAACCATATTCTGCTTACTCCTAAGACAATTGGTGTGGTGAGCGGTTTTGTACTTTATGTACAAATATATTGCACAATTTCTGGCTACCAAAATTTTTTTAAAATATTGAGCTTGGGGATTGTTTTGTCTAAATATCTGAGTGAGCTTCTTTTTTTATTGCAATTATTTTTATTTCTAGAGTTCAGTCCATTGCTGTGGACAGTGAGACCTTTTGGTCAGATGGTGTGGTCCTCAGGTGTGCCAATCAACCACTGGACAGTGTTGTGCCTTGTTTTTTACAAGATTTTGTTGATCAGGTAATATCTGGGGTACTAATTTAAGTTACACTGTGCCAACATCTGTAATTCCTGCTGAATAAGATATGAAGTAATGTTTTAATATCAATGATAAATATGGTACATTGTGAAATTAAGATTATCATTTTTGCTAGTATCACTAGAAAATGTTAATTTTCATTGTATTTCATTGAGATATAAACAAGTTCTTATGTCATGGATCTTACAACTGTTGTAAGTTTTAGAGTATAGAAAATGTTTTACCATTGAATTAACTCAAGGTTTTAATAACCTGATTCCTAAATATACAAGTACAAGAGTGATATACAAAAATGAATAAATAAGCTTTGTAAACAAATAAACACAAAAGACATACACAAAACTATTTGAACTAAAATTACACAGATTCCAAGGTGGTGGCATGTCACTAAGAGAGTTCTTTGCACAGATTTTAATTGTAAAGAGTATGGTAATTTTGGTATATAATGATGGTATTTTAATTTTGCTTTTTCATATTGACAGATATTCCGTGCTGGGAAGTCTGTGGAGTTAATTGAAGGCCTTGGAAAGGTAAAAGGATAGAATTTTAGATCTTATTTTCATTATTTAGGTTATATCAACATGTATAACATCTTGCTTTGGTTACAGTTCTCAAACCAATACAATAAATATTAAATAATTACTAAATTAAATGAATCCTTTTTAAATTTAAAGTCACATTTTCCTTTCATCAGATTGGTAAACTTCACTCTTTTCAAACTAGAGGTCAGTAGCATTAGTTTTAATTATTACTTTTAAATTTATTCCTTTCTGGGCAATGCAATTATAATAATTATATATTATCATAAATTATAATCATTACTTCCAGCAAACTTCAAAATGGCCAATGCCTGCTGAAGGAAATCAGAGTCTATTAACTTCATGCAACTGTTCTTAGACTTATTAACTTCATGAAATCAGTTTTGATTTTTTTCATTGTAAAGAATACTGTATTTATTTATTTGCATACAAAATGCTTGGAAATATTTCATCACCAGTTCCTCTGACTCCATTAAGCCTCATGAAATATCTTTCCTTTCTCAGGAAAATCAGTCACTGGAATTTGATTTTTCCTTTTTTCTTCTTCTTCTTCTTCTTCTTCAAATGTAGGGCCTTTGCACCAAGAGTTTTTGGATAAATTGTTGACTACTTTATCAGATATCTCTAGTGAGTGAAAAAACAAACCATTCTGTGTCATGTGTTATTTGTAATGTCGTGATACTTTAATGTCATTGTGTGTCATGTTATAACATTCCATGGGGGCTTGTTTTGTCCTCTGTATGATAATTGATGTGTGTATCCCAAATGGAAGAGAGTTTGCTGCATCTCCCTTTTTGGTTTAGTCATAGCATGTTCTTTTACTTGCAGAAGCATCAAATGAAGAAGATGGTTCAGCTGTTGATCAAATGAGTCTCTTGAATACCATAACAGATTCTAACCAAATCATGTCGGTTATTGAAGATACTGGTGACCATGTTCTGAAGCTTGCATTTGTGGAAACAGAAGCACCAGTTGATCAGAGATATTCCTTGCAAAAAAGGTATTCTTTTGGTTACTGTTTTATCAATGATAGTAATTTTTTTTTCATATATTTTTTGTCCATCTATATAATTTAATAGTTAACTTGATATATTTTTTTACTGCTCTTGCAGTGTAATTATAATCCACTAAATAAATGCCTTTGAAATCAGAAGGATTTATTTAATAATTAGGGTTGAATGCCACTGAAGTCCTAAACTAGGTTTTGATTCTTCTTGTGTGTCAATTTTTAACAGAACTGTAAGTTTTTTTTAGCGTTCCTTCTGTTGATCCTAATACAGCATTTCCTTGAATAAGCACCCAGGCACTTATTTATAATTTTGGCTGTAAGGATGGGGTGGGGCTCTTATTGGAGGGAGGGTACTTAGTTGAGAGGAGATGCTTATTATTCTCCTGTACTGATTCTGAAGTAGTTGAAACTTAAAAGGTTTAAATAAAATGGCTTGTATCCCTACAATTAAAGAAAGTTTAGGGTGTTGGGTAGTTTTCAATGGAATCTGCCCTTTTAACTGATGCTTATTTTTTATACTGTAGCTCTACTGCAGAAAAACTGGACAGGATTTGTTCAGGTGATACAGCATTGATTTTGAGAGGCTATTTTTTCCCCTTACCTTTGATAAAATAATTTGTGATCAGTAAACTGTCAGTAGGTTACAATTAAAACAAGTCACTGCTACAAAAAATTTCATGAACAGGCAACTTTTTTGAAAGCCATGCTTGCATTTCACAAAAACATTTATTTATGCTTTTACATTTTTGCAATGGTTGACACTCTCTCCCACTCTGTGCCTGGCACATGTTACAACCAACCAACTGCAATATTGCTTTGCGGCGTCTACATTTCAAAAAGAATATTCTGTGAGGAAGCATGCCCATGACCCAGAGAAAAAGCTCTCAAACTGTTGGCTACCTACTCCCTAATTTAACTAGAACCCTGTGTATATTTACTTAAGTTTGGAATCACTATTGATTTGTCTTTAGGTGTTTGCAAATTGCTCAAACCGGTGGAGCTGTTGCTTTCAGAATGCCTAACACCTCTGCTTGAAGATTGCTGTACACAGGTTGGTTAGATGTAGGAGAGGAACATGTGAAAAAAAATTCAAATTATGGTTGTTTACCTAATTTGATCTATCTCTTTTTTAGGGAAGCTGTTTTGTCATTCACTTACTAAAAACAGATTATTGTCTTTTGGATCATTTAGCTGCTATGAGGGTTGGTTAAAATAATTTTTTTTCCTGCAAATTTACTGCTTTTAATTACTAGATAACTAGATTCAATTATCCATCAAAAGCTAATTTTTGATCAATTTTTCTGCTATAGAATTTCTTTCTCTTGGAGGCTGGTGATGCAATGCATCAATTTTACATTGAGATATTTAATAAGGTAAAGTGTTAGATGTAGTTACTTCTGATCAGAACTTTTTTCAATGTTTTTCTTTTTTGATCAACCCTTTAACTCTCAGAAGTGATTCACGTAAAACTTCTCCCTATAATATCCATACATTCTTCAGCAAACAGGTAATGAGAATATTCAAACTTATCAGGTAGAAGCTGCTATCTTGATCTAGCACCAAGTTCTCATAACTAATTTACAAGGAAATTTGTAGCAGCTACAGGGGAGAATTAACAATCAGATCTTGGGAGTTACAGGGTTAACAACAGTTGGTCAGTTTAAGAATAGTTAAAAGTAGTTATTGAGTAACTCTTAGCTGTTTTAACAGGCAAGGCATCGTGTAACGTGGCAGGACATTTCATTCTTGAATAGTTTAATACAAGAAGCTCTACAACCTCGCTTTCCAGATGCTGTTGAAAGGTGAATATATTTTTTTTTCTTTCTTGTTGGCTTTCTTTCAACATCTTCTTTATTAAGAAAAATATCAACAAGGGATATTTTTTGATTAGACTACAAATTCTCACATCCAAAATGGTAAGAAATGTATAGAAGATGGTGTGGAGAAGTGATATGTAAATGATGTTAGTGGAATGAATATAGTTTACACATTTTACAATCTTGATTTGTAGGCTGGTTGTCGGTTTTTCATCGAATGGTGCATCAAGCAGGAAGCAGTTGGGTGCATCACTTCAAGGACTGACTTTAAACTACAGGGTTGGTTTTGTACTTAATTAGAAGCCATCACTGATTTACCGAAAGGTTCAGATTTGTGTCGTGTGTAGTATCAGTAAACACTGATATGTGGTTCAGTTTTACTGTTTTGCACAGATATATTTTAGAAGAACATTCATTTGATACCTGCTGCATAATTATGAAGTCATTAGATTTTTATGGGAAGGTGTAGGTATTCATGGACCTAAAAAGAAAAGAAACTGAATCAACATTGAAATTTCACATCTTGCCCTGCGTGGTTAATGTTGAATCTACTTCGTGAAAAGTTACACACTGTTAGAGGGATAGAACCAAAATATGTGGATTTGATTAAAAAAAAAACAGTATTGTGATGTTTGTATGCAAGCTTGCATGTACTGTCTATTGACAGAAATTATGACAAGATGTTACCCTTGTTTTAATATGAGGCTGCCTTAGAAATTAACCCTTCAACACTCATGAGTGACCAAGAAAGAATTTCTCCTTACAATTTCAATATCCAGCAGACAAGTGGAGAGAATAAAGAAAAATATCATTTAGGAGATTACCTGATCCAATACCAAATTCTCTAAAATCACATGATAAGAACTGTACAGTACTCAGTAAGGAGAATTATTAGTGACATCTTGGGATTAAAATTGTTTATCTCACAAAATCTATATATGTTGGATCTCAAAGCCTCACACCAGAGTCTGTTATTTAATGCTGAATTGTAAAACATCGTAATTGGGTGTTTGATCATATTTCTTGCAGGCACCATGGCCAGTCAGTATCATAATTGACAGTTCCTGTCAGAAGCTCTACAATCTTGTGTTTTTGTTTCTCTTAAAACTAAAACAAGCCAAGTGGAGCCTGGATGAGCTTAGATTTTCAGGTTTTGAATTACTTTTTTTTCAAATTTTTAACTCTTTTCAAGGATGCAGTATGCATTTACTGTTTCACAGTAATAGATTCCGTTTTACTGTGCATCAATTCAGTAACAGGTCACAGATGATGTCAAAATGTGGTATGAAAAAAAGTGGCACACATGGCAAAGCTAAGTGCGTCACTGATGTAGTGTTTAGCACTAAAGGACTAGGGATATAGTTAAAAGTTTAGGGTGGAGTGGTACAGGAAGTAAAGAGATTTTCACTGCCTTATCTCCCCCCCCCCCCCCCCATCCTGTCATTTGTTTTGTCATAAAATACTGATTTTTTTCCTGGTCTGCAAAGTGAGGGTACAGTACATTTTCTTCCCTAACATCTGATGGTGTTCATGTCTGTTAGACCTCAGAGGCCACAGACGTCAGATGAAGACTGATGACACTGATGATGAGAATGAAACAGAGGATGATGGGCAGACATCTGAATCAGGCTCAGGGTCACCTCCTGATCAGAAATTGCAGCATAAAATGTGTGTGTTCAGGTTCAAATTAATGCAGTTTATCAACTGTATTCACAACCACTTTATGACACGAGTAAGTGGAACATAATCATGTAACATGAATTACTCTAAGGTACATTTCCTCAAATAAGCACCCAGGCGCTCATTCAAAATTTCAGTTAGAAGGAGAAGCACTCATTGGAAGGAGGGAGTTTAATCAAGGGGTGCTTATTAATAAAATATAAACATGTACCAATTCTACTGTAGTTGAAGCTTAAAATGTTTTCCTTTATATCCACACTATTAAAGAAAGGTGAACAAAACTTGGTCTGTAACTTGCAGTATAGACTTTGAGCTGGGTTAGTAAGAGGTGTATGATGTTATAAGTTTGGAACACTGCTAGTGGTCTGTTTTCTCTCTGTGTGCTGGAACAAATTCTACATTTAAGGCTTTGAAAGAAATGCGAGACTCAGAGAACAAATTTAAATGGCCTATAAAAGAGACTTAAAGACTTAATTCAAGGGCTGGTAAGAGTTTGAGATCAGATTAACAGTTTGCCACAGTTGCCATTTCTCAAGCTACCTTTTGCCTTCCCCTAACACTGGGAACAGCAATGTTGTGATAAATGTTTTTGTGTGGGCAGCACAATTTTAGTTGTTTGCAGTCATGTAGCACTTATCAGAGAATTTAAAACAATAAGAGGGATCTGTAAATGTTATTCTTGAGAAATTATGATTATTTACACCCCAGTTATAATCACTGTTCATTTTTAATGATATTTCCTTGCTGTATTTTAAATTGTATGATAGATCTTACATTCAACTGTGCTAGAATTCCAAGAAGCATTAGATCAGGTATGATGCTTTCTTGAAAAAAAAAGGTTTGTGTTACTGATTAAAATTTTTTACCTTAAAAATGAATTGTTTTTCTCTTGAAGATGTAGATTTTTAGTGTCATTTAAATTGTCGACTATCAACACATTTTTAAATGATATGGTACACCAAAAAAAAAGCTCTGAGTGACTCCTGGCAACTGTTACATACTTCATTCAGATTGCTTTGTATTTCCTTGTAAAAAGTAGAGATAATTTGAAGTTGTATCAAAAGTCACTCTATAAAGCTGTATTCCCCTCTTCCTGACAAATGTTGAGGCAAAATTTATCAAAAGAAAAACAAACAAAAAAAATTGTGTTAACTTCCTGTTTGTTTACAAGTTTGTTTATCAGTTTGCTAATTTTTTTCAGGCAGAGGATTTAGATGATCTTATCAAGGCTCATTCCTCTTATGTTGAGAAACTCTATGATCGCTGTTTGCTGAGTCAGAAGGTAAAATGGACATACTGTATTGAAGGTTTTGAACTCTTAAACTCTCACAAGTGACAAAGAGAGAATTTCTCACAACAATATCAATATAATGTTAAGCAAACAGGTGAGGAAAATTAAGAAAAATATCAATTAGGGGATTGTTGGATGATCCAATATCAAATTCTCCAAAAGAACATGGTAAGAACTGTATGGCATGGAGAATCACTGATGAGCTCTTTAGAGGGAAAATATAAGCTGTCAAAATGTTTGCCCAAAAAACTGACATTGAAAATTATTTCAGCAAATGTAGTTTTGGAAAATTTGTTTGTTCAGTTAACAAAACTATTGATTTGCTTTTCTTTGTTTATTTTGTTGTTGTTCTTTTTTTATTTGTCAGGTTGGTTATCTGCGTGAAGTTATTCTCAAGGTCCTCAACCTTAGTCCTGTTATTCCAAACATATTGGGATAGGGGCACTGAACTCATCAAGTAAGACTGACCACAGTTCTTGTGCATGAAGTTCTGAGATACCCATTCCTCTTATCTTGCAAATTATTACATTTATCATTTATTTAAGTTTTTTTTGTTGTTGCAGTGAAGTGAAATTCAAGAAAATTGAAGAGGAATTTACCAAGTGTAACACATTCCTTGTTTCATGTTTGGGAAATATTGCAAAACGAGGAGCTTTTCCACACTGTAAGTGAGCTTTCGCTGTAATTATATGCCTACCTAGTGCAAAACTTGGTAGAGTTTGTTGCTAAGAGCAAGTTAGCTTTTCCAACCAGGTTAAATCACAATTTTGGATAACCTTCTGCAAACTACTTCTGGTGATGTTGGTATCTTCAATAACAATAGATTTTTTGCTACTCCTACTTAAAACTACCATGAAGAAAAAGACTTGAAATTTTGCTATTCTGACTCCGTTTGAGGTAGTTGTTTAGGATATTTTATTTCCACAGTAATTCATTCAGATGAGCTCACAGTTCATCAATCCTTTAGCTCCCATGGGTGACCAGGACAAAATTTCTCCCTACAATTTCATTACAATATCAACCAGATAAGTGATGAGAATAAAGAAAAATATCAATTTGAGGATAATTAGTTGATCCAATACTAAATTCTCTGAACTGATGTTATAAGAATTGTATGACTGACAGTAAGGAGAATGACAAATTTGATCTGGGAGTCAAAGGGTTAAAGTCCACTTAGACTCTCAAGTGGAGAGAGAAAAAATAAACTATTCATGGGAATTGAACTGAGTGGAGTGCAACTTGGTCTAAAATAAAGAGTGATTTCAAATTGAACCGGCATGCTGTGCAAAGTCTAGTGCCTAAACCATTTTTTTTTTACCTTGGAAAATAGCTTTCAAGTTTTACTAAATATTGTTTGGCTTTACTTTGTTTCTTTTCTTCTTTCAGTGGAGTCACTAGCATTTGCCTTAGGATCATCTTCAACTCATGCTCCCAAGGCTTAATTAGTTGGTGTGCATTGAAGTATCAAGAATTATGCTGTCACCACATGGTTCCTGAACAAATGTAGAATAAACTCAGTTTATTTTTATATGTGGGGAGGTTTGTACATTATGGAATTAAATGAATCTCAAGATTTATAGTGTTTCTGTAAGTTTAATTTATTGTTCCATAAAAACAACAATCTTTTTTAATACCCTTTTTTTCCTTTGAATTATTTTCAATTGTTCCTGGCCCACAATATGGCCAATGCTAGTTTAGGTGGGCCAGTCCATCAAAAACTAATCACAAACAAATCATATAACAGGAGGAAAAAACACTTGGTAAATTTTATGGTGACTAGTTTGCTATATGGCTTACTTTTTGTTGAGAAGTGATTTTAAATTGTTTTAGTGTAGTGTTTAGTGTTGTATAGTATGATCTTAACCCTTTACATGTGACTCCCAAGATCTGATTTTTAATTCTCCCCACTAGCTGCTAGACATTTCCTTGTAAATTAGTTACAAGTATTTGGTGTTGGATCAACATAACAATTTCTGTCTGATAAGTTTGGGTATTCTCATCACTTGTTTGCTGGATAATGTATGGATATTATAGGGAGAAGTAACTTGTTAATCACTGAGAGTTACAGGGGTAATAGTGATGTACAGTCAATATTTGTCTTACACAAAATAAATTGATAAAAACAATACAACAAATACAAAAAATCATGCCCAAATGAATGCTTTTAATACTCAATTGACAGAAAAACCAGCAGACAGTGTGACACACTAAACTGTTTCACACCCAAGAGTGACTAGCCTCTAATTTCTCCTCACACATTGCCCCTGAATCAAACATAAAGTTTACAGGAATAATGGTGATGATCACCAACTAAATAAGCTCTTGATTGCTTAATTCTCTATGTGAGCACCTTAGGAAATGTTGACAGAACAGTATGGAGAATATACATACTGCATCAGTGTATAAAGGGTTATGGCAGCCTACTTGCAAACACACTCATAATGCAGAAATGATAGCTGAAGGCTGAACAATTTTTAAATTTCATAACATTATCTTTTGTGAAACAAAATCTCTGCAAACTGTCCCCCTGCATCATTTGTGCCATTTGGACTTGACTGGCCAGTGAACCTAAAGCATGAACCATCACATTCCACTACACTCAGCCCACCAGAGCCATACCATGAACTAACCCCGGAGATCAATGCAGAAATGTGGTATTGCACATTGGGTTGTAGCTGCACAAGATCATCAAAGATTATATCAAAACCAAAGTATCCATTTGTCTTCTCTGCTTCAGTCTCGTAAGAACCGTCAACAGAGTGCAACTCTTGATCCCGGCAGTTACCTTCCACCAGCAAAGACAGCTTGAGAGAGACATCATACGAGAACCCTCGGCTCCCAAACAGACGGACCCCACCCATATACACAGGGGTATCTACGGCAAAAACCACCCCATCGGGTATACCGCTAGAATATGCCCATCCATGGCTGACCTGAGGGAATCTCTTGCAGCGGGAAAACACACGAGGAGGAATTAACTTCCTTGGACGTTTTGAGAATTTCATGCTTATTGTTACAGAGCTATACCACATGAACATCTCGATGACATCGTCTTTGGTGAGGAGCCCAGATGTTGGAACCTTTTCAGCAAATTGCTCCTGCGTCATCAACGGAAAACGAATGTTGTTTATAACTTCCTCGCCAGTTACCCTTCTTTTATTTTCTTTAGAGGGTTCAATCTCTTGTCGCTCACACTCCACATCTGCCCATCGATCAACGGCTTCGAAAAGGTTAACTTCGTGAATCGCAAGAGAATCTCGAACCACAATTTCTTCGAGTAGTTCCGTTGCGATGGACGAGAACGATTCAGATCTTAGCACTTCTTCGGCCCTCGCATCCACAACCTCCCAGCAGCGAGTCACAAGCTCGTTGTCTTCGAACTTTTTGGCATGAGGCAAAATGTCGAAGACATTTTCCGGCGAGAGATTTTCGGTCAAGAATTTCGTACATTCGATTTCAAGTTCCGGAACAATGTACTTCTTTGCTAAGTATGAAACTTGCATAACGCAACTTCCAGTGAGCTTGACTTCGTCGCAATAAAGAAAGCGAAGAAACTCTTCAAAGCTTTCTGAATCACAGTCAGGAAGCTCAATTCTGCTTTTACTCTCCGCTAAATCGCCGAAAAACATAGCATACAAAACTGGGCTGCTCACCGCTAGCACGAACTTATGTGCCGAGAAGATGACATCGGAACCCTCAGAATCTTTAATCACAAAAGATATGTCGCTCATCAATGGGTTGTTAAACATAAACTCGACGCGTTCTTTGATGTTCTTTCTTTTCGTCTGCCAAGATTCAAATTCTTTCGACGCCATGAAGTCCCTGTTGTAATCTCAAATTTGGTAGCTGCGAAGAATTCGAACTGCTGACTGGTTTTTTTATAGCGAAAGACCGCTGTCCGAGATATCGTGGGAGCAGTATGAGTGCGTCATCGAGTCCCTCGCGTGACCCGGACTGAGGGTCAACTTTGCGTGTCAAATATCTGTTATTTTTTCTTCCTTTTTCTTTTTCCAGTTTATATTTCAGTCAACATTCACCAACCAAATTTTGAGTGAATTGTACAAATTTCATTCAGATTACTAGAGCATGAGACCGGGTATCATCTGAGTTTAAATCGGTGTTATTTATCAGAAAAATAGAATTACTGAAAGGAAACTATTGTAGTGCCTACAATACGTATAAATATATCATTTATGATGTTTATCCTGTCTGTAATCAGTATCTTACTCGTTGTAATCAAACGAACTCTACGCAGAAAAGGTGTTATTTTGGATCAGAGCGTAGCAAAGGAGGGAGGGGAGGGGGGTCTGATGTCGTTTCGCGCATGGATTTTAAAGAAAGAATCACGCGTTATGTAAAAAAGCAAAAACTTAAAATCTCACGTCACCTTGCCTTTTTGTAAAATTTACGGGATTGCTCACGCTTCGCTTAGAAACACTTTGCCTCCCCCTCCCCTCCCCTCTTAGGTTAAGTTTCGTGAGTAGCAGTTAAAATGATTATGTTGTACCAGCTGTGCTACTTCATAATAACAGAGTATCACCAAATGCAATGTTAACCTAAGGAAAAAAAATCCGCGTGGTTATCTCAAATAAAACTCTTTCAATTTTTTTAAATACCGTTTCCTAGATTTTAAGCTATGTGATATTTTTTTAATCAAAATCTCGCATGTTTCATTTACGTGACAGATTCTTTGTGTAGCAAACATAATCGAAACATCTCATTAATACTTGGCGTTAGTTTTCAGAAGCTTAAAATAAACCGATCAAGTTAAAAGCTTTCTACTATGTTTTAAGACATTTGAGTAATGTAAAATACCGCTTTGTAACACAAACAACGATGCGATAGAAACCTTTCATTAACGCAAAGTATGACGTACCGCTTCGGATAATCGACAAAACGCGTGCGGAAAAAAGGTTTAGTTTTCAATCTCAAAACAGAAGATAGTCGTTTTCAATTGCATGGCGTCAGACTTAGGGTCAGGACAGCAGTTTTCAATTTCAATAAGAAAGAAGTCTTAAAGCTACGTAATTTCTGTCGTCGAGTCTTTCAAGAATGCTTCGCTTATAAAATAAAAATATTTGTCGCCAAAGGGGTATTTTTAGACAAATCTTAACTCCTTGACGAAAGGAGCAGCATTCGTGCTGCGATAATTAATTAATAGTCTCTCGCTCTGTAGTGCTTTTGACAGGTAATTCTTCACCATCTCTTTATTACCCGAGCAGGTGAATTAGTAAGTGATTGATAAAACCATTGTTATCTTCCATATTAACGGTGCAATACTAATATGCCGCAAGATAGCTCTCCTGATTAAAAATGATATCGAGAGATATGGTGTTTATCTTACTTAAGATTGATGTCTCCGTAAAACTAATCACGCGAACCATACATTTTTGTTAAGTTTAAAATTTATTTTTTCATTCTTTTTTTTCCCCGTTAGGTTTCGTGTAAATAATTTGCCTACGGCATTTCAATAAGTTTAACTCCAGATTAAGCGTGTAAGCATAACTTTTAGAAACATTTACTTTTAAATAGCCATTAAAATATTTATATAATTACGTAAGTTTAAATTTAAAAACTGTTGTACATGCATGAAAGCATAAAAAATTTTTCAAATTTTGAATAAATTACAAGAGAACATTTTTACCTTTAAGAACGAATTCTGCATAACGTTAATAAATGATACATCTCTTTTCGAACCATTTTGTTCATAAAACCATATATCCAAGGGTTTAAAACTGCACTGGTGTAGGCTAGAAATGTGTAAAACATATAGACTTCGCGGGGAAACCACTTCGTTTGTGTGGTATCTGCAATATCTATAATTACACATGGTATCCAACATAACGAAAACCCTAAAATGATGATGAAAACAATCTTGGATAGTTTGACTTCTTCTCGGCTTAAAATCGATCTTGAATCGTGTTCTCCTCGCGCGGTTTCGTATTCTCGGCGGTGAGTGCGAATTGTGTGTAAAACTCGCGCGTAACACGCAAGAATGACAACAGCGGGTAAAGCTACGAAGAAAATACTGAAGATAATCGTGAAGCGACGACTGTGTTCGATGGACGGGAAAGTCATAACGCAAATGGCTTTTCGAGGGTGGAACACATAACGCGAAGAGAGTGAAATAACCAGAGTTCCCATTATGACAGCTGTGAAGAGGCTGATAGCGATAATAATGAGCAAAGTTTTCAGCTTCGTAAAAATTCTTTTGTAAAAATGTGGACGAACCACGTTCAAGTTTCGATTCGACGCTGTTATAGTTATGATTTGAAGCGATTGGAAAACCAGGAGGTGAATACTGAATCCCTGAATTTGACAAACCAATTCACCGAATGGCCAGTGGTCCATAATCAAAGATCCAAGAGTGAGAGGCATAGCAATTGACGCGAGCAAAATGTCTGTCACACACAGTGTAACGATGAACATGTTGGTAATCGTACGTAACACTCGCTTTCTGTAGATTGTTATACAAACCAACACATTTCCTCCGAGAGCTAACACATTAATGATGAAAAGCAAGCAGATTTCGACGATTTTTTGGGCCAAATTCCGCGATCCTAATACATTTTCGGGTACAGTCTCTAAAGAAATATTTGACATCTTTAGGTCATGGCCCAATGAAACTGCATACGAGTGGAACTTTTTGGTTGTTTTCACTTTACTTTATATCAAGTTTGTGGGCGGGGAAAATATCCTAAATAAATAAATTTGCATTTCAGTGTCATACCTAAGCAATTGTTTTCACGCGTCATTGATCTCTTTCTGTCAGTTTCTTTCTCAGAGGCGTTCTCGAACTGTCACCTTTGATTCCTGTTGCCGAATCAAATAATTCTGTGGCGTCCGTTATCTCCAACGCGACCAAAGGCTGTCCTTTCCTATCAGTTTAAAGTATCTGAACTTTTCTAGAATTTTCTTAGGGAAAATAGGTGGTTTTGATGAAGGGACAGGAAATTCGTAACACGGCTAAAACACGTCCTAAGACCCCTAACGGAAGAAAAGTGGTTTCACGGAGACCGTAAAATTTGCGTCACGCAATTGGAAAGAGATTTAACCAAACATATCTTACTGCCAAAATAAAAAATGAATATGAAATAGAATTGGAATGAAACGATGATAGAAACATTTTAGGCCCCGAAAGAATATTTTACGCCTGCCTCCCACTTCAAATTTCTTCTAACCACGGTTTGACTGAAAATAACTGATTTGATGAGGTCCGGTTCACCCCGTCTTTCAAAAGACTCGACGGCAATTCTAAAACGCAAAGAAAACGTCCTTGAATAAAAGTCTTAATGAGAGAGAAACAATAGCTTACACTTGTTGCGACAAAAAGGAAAAAGCTGTCCATTCAATTGCGGCCTTTCACCGCAAAACAACAGCTAACAGCACAAAATTTCAGAATCACGCAAAGTGCTTAGAGAGTTTTTTTCTTTTTCGGTCGCGGAGGTTAATCTCATATTAAGCAACAGAATTACTTGTTTTTCTTCGGGCTTATCCTCGCTGAGAAGACCTGTCAAGATCCGGCCGAGTGACGCAGGATAAAAAAGAAAACATTGAACAACAATGATAATTACTCTGGAAAACCTGAATAGCGACAAAACGAAGCGAAACTTTTTCACCTCGACTCTTCCAGTTCCAGTTCCAGAATAGTCCTCCAAATAGTAATCTTGTTGCTCCGGAAAGGCATTGTTAAAGTGTCAATCAATGTCTCGAAATCATTTGCGTGTTGTGGCACGTGTAATAGTAGCCGAAGTTATATAACTTTTTCTGACAAAGGGCAGAAATCTAGCTTCGAGCCATGTTCGGTTTGTCGACCTTGCATGTGGCTTTTCGCAGTCGCTTGGTTAGTAGATGGTTATCTTAGCTCTTGACAAGCATATAAAAATTATCTCACAATTAGCAGCGACAAGTTTAAACAGATTATTTACAGGTTAACTTCCCTAGTGATCCTATTGAAGGCGCACAATTATTAGACCACTCGCGTAGAACAGTTTTGAGTTACAGCAAGTGTTACCACAAGTGTAGAAGAGCGAAAATTAGATAATTACTCCGATGCCCTCTCTTAAGAAATTTACCAGCAAAGCGTAACTTGCTATAATTTAAATTGAGTCGCTTGTAAAAAATTAATTATGTAGAATTCGATTTACTATGTGTATGTTTAAGTCTAGATCTCAGAAGATGATACAGCTGGTAAGAACAAAAACATGGCTTTCTCCTTCACAAATCACTGTTTGCTTAATTTAGCCTTTAGAACTGGACTCTTCATTGAAGTAAGTTCATCCTCTCGTAATACTCAGTACCAGGTCTTTCTCTCAAGCCTTGCTTGCTACTGGTTCCAGTCCTGTTGTTAAGCTCACATGTGTTATCCTGGGAAAGGTAGGTGAATGACTCACACGTCATCTCTACGAGGCAGTAGGCCATACATTTCCATGGTGATGTCACGTGATATTCCAAATGAATCATGTGACCTGTCAGTGCCAACGGAACACCAGCTTTCGACACGGGGAGATAGAAGAAAGCGTCCTCATAATGGATGGCCGAGTTTTCTAGGATTTGAAAGCAAGAAGGAGTCAGAGATTTTGTAACACGATATACAGCTTCTATAACGTATTAAAGTGGCTCAATAAAAACTGACCTCTTTGTTCTTGTTTTGATTTTCTTGTTGTTTTTTTTTCCAAATTTCTGATTTATTAGTCCTGATCAGAAGTCAGGAAAAGTCTGTTCCGGTCAGGAAACGAAGAGAGGGGGAAGTTTGGGTCGATTCGAAAAAAGGAGGGAGGTTTGGGTCGAGTCGAAAAGAAGAGGGAGGCTTAGGCCGGGTCGAAAAAAGGAAGGATGCTTGGGCGTTTGGGCCGGGTCGAAAAAAGGAGGGAGGCTTGGGCCGGGTCGGAAAAAGGAGGGAGGTTTGGGTCGGGTCGCATAGCCCTCATCCTTTTATTTGACCCGACCCAAGCCCCGCGCTTTTTACGCTCTAACGCCTGCTATCGAGCCTATTAACTCAACGCCTTGAATAGGCTAAGTTTGAAAAATGACGATGAGAAAAGTTTGGACACATCAAAAAAATCTTACCAAGAATGGCATCCAATAGCTTGCTGTAAACTGATTCGAAGAAACTAACGGAATACTTACCTATACAATATCTCGCTTTGACTACGAAAGATGTCGGCTGCAGCTTGTAGACATGATATCCATAACAATTCCTGACTTGCACCTTCACTTCTGCAAAGCAGCAGGTGCTACTCCAACTGAAACAAACAGTTCGTTGGACAACACCCTCCTCCATAGATGGGTGGCTCCCGCGAAGCCAGCCTGAGGCCTGGGTTCCACAAGCCCAAGGTTCTGTACAAGAGTCTGGTAGCTAGCGAGAAATATGAGTGATTCTTGAACTTTCTGATAAATATGATACAAGACTTGCTAGATAGTTGAATTTCATGACTTTGCAGGGGGGGTCAGAAGTTCCTTATTTCGAATTTGTAGAATGTTATGTTTGCAAGACTGCCACGTAACATACAGTTGTTAATTTAAGATGCCTATATTACCAGCTTCAGAAGGTGGGCTCCGGTTCACGTAGACATTTATCCCCCCCCTCACGCTGACCCCTAAATTTTTGGCGACATAAAACACTAAAACTATTAACTTTCTGCCTTGACGCTCCCTCCCCCTCTAAACACACTTTTTATTTCGCTTTGACGCCTCTGAACCGATGCACTTCGTAAATTATAGATCATACCTGCATTGGACTTCCTGTGGTCTGATCAACAAAGCGGTACCATGTTCGTTCATTAATGCTATTGTCATTTTGTGCCGACACTTGGTTCTGTATTGCATGAAAAGCTGATCTTGTCCCATCCATTAATTCTTTGTACTCAGTGCACATCGAATATTTACCTTGAATGAAAAAAAGAGGACATCCTTTTAAAATATTTACACACTTCTGTGGGGAAAAAAAAACTCGGCCATGATGTTCTATGTTGTTATTTTGTTTTGCAAGTAAGGATGAGATTTTGATTTATACAAACTTTTGTCGAAATACAAAATATTCTTCACTGCTTTCATTCCACAAACCTTCTGTTTTTTTAGTTTATTCGAGAAACCAGAAAAATTTATTAAATATAAAAAAAACGCAGATATAAAAAAGAAATGAAGGGAGGAAAGGATGAAAAGGGTTGTTGTGCTTGAGCCAAGTGACTCCTCCCGCCCTTCCCAAGCGGGAGCTTATTCCAGTTTCCACAGCATGAACTGACGAGGAGTGTTATTACTCTCCCCTGGATTGGATGCCAGTCGACCAAAAGGCTACTCCCCCCCCCCCCAACTCCCCAGAATTTCATCAGGTTTTTATGACAATTTTCTGGTATCAATTAACAGTTGTTTCGAAAAAGCTTATTGGAATAAAAGCGTAAGGTGCACACTCAACCTCAGGACTTGTAGTTGTTACTGAAGTACACCCTTAAAACTTGATTAAAATACTGTCCAGTTCTTTAAATTACTTTGCAAATTTAACACAAATCTGTGAAAATCAGTGCCATGTTTGTTACTGGCCACACAATCAATTTTCCACGTGGTGTTATTCCATGATGCAATGATTGACAGATTCAGTGTCAGGTCGGAGGTGCTGTTTTGAAGGACGACGTCATCTTTGACCCAAGCTACAAACGGTTCAGGGTAGCCGAAAGGCTCTGGACAGACCAAAGTTAGGGAACTTTTATCATAAGCGTCCTGTACTGTCTGCTCCACTGGTTTGTTCTTCAGAATGGCTAGAATGAGATGTATCAAAAAAAGATGTTATGGCTATCATTTTATTGCTTATAGGAGTTGCTTCCCAGTAAGAATTATGACTTAAGCCATGTTGTTTAATAAAGTAGTTGGGTTTGTAGGAGCGTAGTATTCTTTCTGCTGATTACAGAATGCCGTAACACTGGTCTCATCAAGATAAGGAACAAAGAGTTATTCTGAATCACACCTCATCGCTATTTCCCTCTTCCCCACGCCTCTCTCTCTCTCTGGGCTAAGAAAAAGAATGAAATTAACTTCGGGTATACCTCACCTCTGCTTTCAGAATAAACCTCCACTTCGCACAATGTCAGAATCATTCCAGTTCCCTCAAGTCTGATATTTACGTATCGCCCTGTTTTTCTCGGTTTGCAATAAAACGAAGCTTTGTGTACAGTGGCCATTGAGTACAATCCACCACACCTTGGATTTGAGTTCCCATTATTCTCCAAACTGTCTCCTAAGCAGAAAAAAGTCTACGTGAGAGGCCTGCGTTTTTCGTTGCATGCGAAGTACATAGGGATTCTGTGAGAGCTGTGGTATGTTAAGGTTAAGACCGTAGCTTTTTATGATCGCAAAATAAAGTTAACATCGCATGAAAGACTTCGAACTAAACGTAAGGAAGCAAAAAATTATTTCATTCAACGTGAACGTTCAGCTTACCCACATAAATTGCTATGTTGCGCAGCCTATCCATGCAACATCCTCCCCTGTTGACTATGAACACCTCTGACACGTGCTGACTTGAACCCAGATCCACTCGCCACCAGGGATAATTTTGTCCAGCTGTATGTGTACAACTTAACCCATTATAATGGCTGTCAAGATTTCCATCCAGTGCGTGCGCAGGAAAACCATCATATGCCGTAGTGGACTGTGTTGCTGATCGACCTGCGGCAATGTTTACTAATAAAAAACAAAACAAAACAAAAGAAGACTTCTATAGAGTCAGCCAGCCTCTCATTCCGTACACAGCTACTGACCTTTCTCTTTCGTCTTTTAACCGAAATCTCTTTCGAATCCCTTACCTACCCACGTGCATTCCTTCCTATGTATCTCTAACTTTCCTACTCACTACCTTCTAACCTTACTTAACAGGCTACATACCTGCTTAACAACCGACCTTCCTAATCATCGACCTACCCAATCATTTTACCTAGCTGCCTTACCTCTCCACCTAGTTTCTCATATAGCAACCAGTCTTATTGTCCACCTTGTTATCTTGCCTCCTGTTACGAAAAAATTGTCTAAGTTAAGTCCTAGAACATTCTACAGAACAGTCTAGAACCCGAAGTCATCCAGACGTGACCTTCTTGTACAAGAACGTTCTGGAACATTCTATTTCTTATGTTATTACTCAGATTTGGAAACCGTGTTAATCTACTAAATTTGGTTCTTTAGAGTAGTTTCTAGATCCTTGTACTTTATGTATATAGGAGCGATAGTTTCATCGAAAAAACAGAGAGAACTGTCAAGAAGCTTAGTGCTGTATAGTCGAGAACTCAACTACGTGGAAATAAATCAGTTTGTTGCTGTTGCCGACGATCCTGAGTTTTGTCTAGGAACAACCCTGCTCTACATCGACACTCGTAGCACCTCCCTGTTTACACTTGCCCATAGGAGTTTATTCACCTGCTGGATTAGGATTCACTGACACCGCACAGATATCCAGCTTCTTATTCTTTCCCGCTATTCGGATGTTCACATATCGACCCCTGACACCAGGGGTGCAATCGAATGACTTTTCCTGTGAAGATGTCATAGTGTATGGTCCTCCACACTTTTGGTTGGAATTTCCTTCGTTATCGAGACTATTTCCTGAGGAAAAAGTGAAATGCCAGAAATATAAATAACAAAAATACTTCATTTGAATCGATAAATAAAAACATGAATAAAAGCTTTGTTTATAATCAAGCGCCATCCTGAAATCATTTTAAGACGTTTATCGTCTTCTGCTGTCTTCTGTAGCGTCACGGCCAGAACTAAAAACATAATGAACTAGTAGCGATAAGCTAGAAATCACAAAAGGACAGAACTCAAATGTGTATCAAGTGCGAATGTCGGACTAATAAGACACTTCGAAAAAAAAACAATAACAAGCACCCGGAAACATCGGTCACTTATCATCACTCACTCACTCAATCGCTCGTCCCCGAAAGAAGTGACTTCGCCTTCTACTATATAAGAGGCACAGCCCAAAAAAGTCGCACACTGATGTCCATGATAAAAAATGGGACACTAATGTCTGCCCAAAATAAAAAATCGGCCACTGCTATCCAAAGTCGGCCACCAATGTCTAAAATAAAAAACGGTCACTTGTATCTCAAAATAGAAAAACGGTGACTAATGTCCAAAATAAAAAATCAGCCATTTGTGCCCGAAATCAAATATCGGCCTGGTGTCCAAAATAAAATCCAAAAGATAAGCCTCTGGCATCCAAAAGCATAAATCGGCCACAACTGTTCAAAAGCAGATATCGGCTATTAGAGTCCTTAATAAAATATCGCCCCCTTATCTCCAAAATTAAAGATCGCTCACAGGTTTTTCAAAGTATAAAACGTGTCCAAAGTAAAAGATGGGCCAATACCGTCCAAAAAAAAAAAAACAGCCACTTGTGGCCAAAATTATAAATCGGCCTCGAGTGTTCAAAAGCAAAGATCGCCTACTAAATTCCAAAATAAAAAAAAATCGCCCACTTATCTCCAAAAGCAATAATGGACCTTTAGTGTCCAAAATTAAAATTGGCCACCAGTGTCCAAAATCAAAAATGTGCAGTTTAAGACTAGAAATGACAAAATTGTAGCACAATTTTTATAGCTTTGACAAGAACAAGCGGTTGTATAAAGATACCAGGAGGTAGTGTTGCAGAATATACGTCTTTAGGATCAAAGCTTCATGCAAACCGAAAGAGTAAAGATTAGAATTAATTTTAGGCTTTCGGGGTTGTAGGCTTGAGGCTCCCGACAACGTAAATTCATGAGTACCCTGTTCCAAAAGGGAATCCACAAAGGTATTTAAAAAGATTTTAAAAATTATAGTCGCTAATTAGCGCACTCAATAAATAATTAATGGTGACATTTTATCATATTAACAATATAATAATAATAATAATAATAATAATAATTGTAATGATAAAAATAGTAATAGTAATATGGGGGCTAACTTGGGAACATCTGTTTCTCTGTCGGTATAGGCGACCCTAGACCCTATTTCTCTATAGGCTCCGATCATGATTAAAATGTTCTTTTTTTAATTCTGCCTGTTAATTGTAAATCATTTTCTTGTTTCATTTCAGTTCCATTTTTGTGAGACTTTTGTTTCATTCAACAAGGCATTCCGATCACATTATATGATCATATTACGCCATTCCACCGTTCTATCATTCCGAATATGGTCCTCCTGTTAAACTTAATGTATCCTTAAAAATAAAAGCTAAGTTTTTCGTTTGTCTCACGATGTAGTCACGATTGATGAAGACCGCGACATTTCGACTGCATACTGCTAGTCTTCTTCAGGCGATGAGGTCGACTGGTCATGCGTGATCTTATAAAGCATGATGCTCTGCTGTGATTAGTTGTTTTTCAACAGCTCTGATTGGTGTATTTCGACCCTTGCTGATCAGAGCATCATGCTTTATAAGATCACGCATGACCAGTCGACCTCATTGCCTGAGGAAGACTAACAGTATGCAGTCGAAACGTCACGATCTACATCACACGTGACTACATCGTGAGACAAACGAAAAACTTAGTTTTTATTGTTATTCACCACGATGAATAACCACAACCTTTTCTACGAAATTAATGTATCCTTGTTTCGGAGCCTGCTCGCTTCGCAAATTTAGCAGCTCTTTTGGGCCCAAGTTGCTGATTGAAATGGTGAAATGCTCTCTCTTCAAATTTGTCTTCAAAATCTCCACGATGTGCAGATCAAACTTATTTAGATATTTCTGCAAGGAAAAGTCTTGTTTTCAATTTCGTGCCGGACGACGCCACTGTGAAATTATTTTTGAATGTTTATCATCTTTTGAAGTGTCACGGCAAGAACTGAAGAAATTATATTTTCGAATTTACTGGGCCTAATTTGCTGATTCAAACGGCAATACGCCATCTCTTCAAAGAAATAAATTTTTTCCAAGCTCTCATAGTGCACTGATCACAACTTTTAAGCTATTTCTGGAAAGGAAATTATTGTTTTTTCACGCGCCATCCTGATGTAATTGTGAGATGTTTATAGATCTTCTGCAGTACCAAACAACAGGTAGCAACCGGAAACATCGGGTGAAAATTGGGCCAAGATCGGAATTCTACGTCAGTTACCATCACTCGCTCACTCATTCGGTAGACGTATGTGGCTTTACCTCCTACAGGAGGTAGTAGCCACAGCTAGTCATTGGTCTTGTCACGAGAGTCAAACCCTTGGAAAAAAACTACAATAGGACGAGTAATTAATTAGTTATTTGTGACAGTAAGGAAAAAATATTTTAGACATGTGAGCCAAGAACTACTGACCGATTCTTATTTCAAAATCTGCCAATCCATTTGCACCGCTAATAATGTTTACTACGTCCACGCTGTAACTCTTCCCCAAATCAACTCGCCACCAGGGATCCGTTAGGAGACTGGTCACTGCACACCTGCCTGTGGTTCCTTCAACAGCTAGTGCAGCTACTGAACCATCGTCACCAGACATGTATGCTGGTTGTCTTAATGCAAAATCAGCTAATGTCAAAAAGATAATTGAATACTTTGTTACAATGGAATCTTCAATTGTAAGTTGAATTGATGGTATTTTAAAAAATCTGTAGTGATTTTTAACCGATGGGGGCTTGGCACTAGAAAGGTTATTTCTCGCGCCAGTCCCTCAGTTGTGGAGCACGACATAGAAATACAGAGGACGAAGCGATGTCCAAACTGATCCTTTTTGTCGGCTCTAACTGATTTCATAACAAAACAATCAATCTGATTGGTTCCCAACAGTCCCTAGCTGTGAGCTAATCGGCTGTTGCAGGAAAGAAACTTTCCACTTTAGGCAGTCATACTTCAAGCAGCTAACGATCGGATTGGTCAACTTGGACAGCTCAACAACCAATAAAAAATAAGACGCAAATGTTAATAGCCAATGGGATCTTACTATCTCGCCAATGCTGACCAATCAACGTTCGCTCTGACGAAAGACTAACGCTCGAAACGTCTGCTTTGAAACTCTTAACGGTGGCCAATTTACGTTATCAACGAATTTAATGATACCAAATTACCTTAATAACGAAAACCGAAAAAAATGAAAAATGATGAAATAAGCCAGCCAGAAAGAAATTATTGCTTTCCTAACTGTTTAATGAAAATAATAATGACAAAAAAAACGCTACTGATTTAGAGAAATGGGAAACCAACGCAAAAGCTTTAGTTTACGATGTAATTGATCCAGTTCTAAACAAATGGCCCAAAGCAGGTGGCGTTAGAATTTTGAGGTTTCATCAAAATTCCAGTAGCAAGTTCCTTGCACTTAGTTAGTTAGAACCACGATTTATTTTATAAAATTAAGACGTCGTGACAAAATACAACAGCAGTCTAAATTTGTCGCTTCCGCAATAAATTATTCCCCATTTAGTGCAGCTACCACTATTTAAAAGAAATTTTTGTTTCCATTTTTCTCGCGAACAACACGTTTCGTCTGCATACCGTTATATTTAATCTTCGACAGACAAACATTTTCGGTTGTAATACCAAAACATTTCCTTAGTTCAGTAACAGTTCATATGTTGTAAATCATAGTTCTTTCATCTCTACGCACCTGACTTTACTTCCGAGGCTCTTAAGAACAAAATCAGAAATCCAGTTTGTACCATAACCTGCATTTGAAAGTCAGAAAATATGTTTGTCACATAACATTTTTTATAGAATTCAGAATTCCAATTTTTCTCTTCTAAATGAGTGTTATATACAGAAAACCACAGAAGGCTTTACAAACGGGTTGGCATGGCCCAAACATTATGTGTCAAGAGTGAGGGTTTTAACTTATTAATTTCAGAGCTAAGTTTTAAAGTGCTGTGAACGTCTCATTTCTCGAATAGCAGAAATTGTGCAAGCAGTGTTTGCATCGATTCGGACTAGAAAATTCCCTTCAAATTAATGGTTTTTCACTTAAACTAATTATAACCCAAACAAGAAGTTAATGTTGTCAGCTGTAATAGTAATTTTGACTGAAGTTTGGGCCGACTGGTTGTAATTTTGGGATGAGTGTCAAGTTTCATTCATAAAATGAGCTGATATGATGAGTAAACTCCAGGATAGCAAACGGAACTGATCATTGAGCCAAGGGTGAGTATGTACGCTGGATAAACATAAAGCATGAATATGGTTTTTCTGGCCAAAGACAGTTGCAAAAAGTTAAGTACTGAACTTTTGCCTCAGTCCTAACTGTTACGCTCGAAAAGTTGGAAGATTTTCGCATTGTAGTTTCTTTGGCTTTAAGGACAACAGAATTTTGTATCGAAGCGAAAAAATTATTGTACTTACACATATTGAGGTCATTTTGAGCAGGGCGTCGCTGGTAATTTCAGACATCTCTAAAATATCAACAACAAAAAAACAAGAAGATAAATTAGCCTTGACAAACATGCGGTTTGCACCACTGGGATTAGCTTTGACATGTAGCTATTCTAATTAGCGTAAATGGCCAATATCATCTGTCACAGTCACATTGTTTTGGTCGAATGATACTTAAATTCTTAATTTTGGTTCATTGTTTTGAAATTTCTTAAATTCTTCACTAAACCGGGTTGGGGGAGGGGGGGAAGGGGGGCGATTGATATCGATAGTCATGGTGAATTAACTCTTTAAAGTTTTTATTGTAACTAAGATTAATTTTAATTTTTGTTTAATTCTTTCATACTGTTGTTTTTTTTTTTTGCATTATATCACTGTCGACTGAAGTGGTTTGCGACAGGTTGACGTAAGGGCAAAACCAGTACAAATTACACCACAGCCAATCAGAACGAATTTTCGTATCTTAAGGAGCCAATGAAAATTCAAAGTTAGTGTGCGAGCGGACCTTCGTCATTAGCGCTTCTGCAAGAGCGTTATTTCGCCCGCGGGAAAGTGTATGAGTCTCTGATCAACGTGGGCCGGTGAGATGTCTGAATTGGGTTTAGCACTGATAATGAAGACCCGCGAGAACGCTTTTTTTCCGTTTCCGGTACCTAGAATGATGTCAATATTTTGGCAATTTGATCGTTAAAATTGTCAAATTAGTAGCCGATAAAATTTAGAGCCAAAATTCCTGCAAACTTTTTCCCTGACTCGTTTCAAACCTTCCTGCGAGCGGAGAAACGCACGTCCTTATTGGTTGAAAACAAGTGCATTCTCTTGTTACACGAGTGCAAATTACAAATAGCACGCGCACGCTTTCAAAATTTCGACGGTCTTGACTCTCTGATGTTTTTTTGTTCATTATTAACAAATAATAACACGATTTCTCTTGCAATTTGATGTAATGAACACTTGCAAATTTCTGAAAGACTACAAATGGCACTCGCCCCACGTGCAATTTTGTTGACTTTGAAAAATTTACTCCTGCGTATTACCACCAACTTGCACTCGAAATCATGTTATTACCTATACTAATTACGCTTGGGTAAACGCGGACTTTTCTACAAGTAGCGGTTATTTATGAAGTTATCGCAATTAACGAAACGATCAAACATTGCAAGCGAGTTTCAATTACAAATATTGCAGATGTCAAAAGAAGCCTAAAATATCCAAGCTTCCACAGGATTCGAACTCGCCCCTTTCCGATACAGTCACAAACAAGCTGGGCGCTATATGAACCTGAACTTTAATTATAATAAAGTTCGGATATAACGCGCGCTTTCATTGGTTGAAAGAGCGTGCTCTATGAGAGTATAGAGCATAGAACTGAGCTAAAGCTGTCACGCCACCTGCCAAATTGTACCATGTTCGACCTTTTCCGGGACTTCTTTTTAGCTTTTTTCCGATAATTAAAAGTGAAATTTCGGAACAAGCGAGCTGGCAAGTAGTAACAGAAGAACCAAAGAAAGGTTTGTAAACATACCAGGCGCCGTTATTTACGTTATTAAAACGTGGGCAGATACGAAAATCCTCAAAGGAAAAACAAAATAGACATTCCGAGTCTTAAAGATTTTCACGCTCACGTACGGTAATGAAAATCAAACACAGCCAACACTCGTATAGTCTATAGAGTTCAGAGTTCAAAAACAAAACAGAACAAAACAGAAATGATGAAAAATATAACCAAACTGGCATAATTGTTAAAATTCATACTAATCATGACGGTGTCTGAGCAAATATGATCATGCTGAAGTCCATCGCGGCTCACTTATCATGCCGATCTCCGGTCATCACAGTAAAGCAAGCCTCAGAAACTACATCGGCCGCCCTTCGAGTGAAAAAATAAGAGCTAGCTCTGATATCCTTTCCAATGTGTTGAGTGGAAAGTCACTTCAGTCACTGCAGCCGAGTTTTGCGGCGCTGTCATCCCGAGCGATCTTCATGTTCCGGTGAATTCGGCTGTCGTTCATTTAAATAACACTCGCCTTGAACATTTTGTTTTCTACCTTGTCATGTGAAAAAACCCGCGTGTTTTTATGAGCCATAATTCGGCTGAAGTTCACCGAACATTTCACTTCAAGATTCTGATTTAAAAACTTCAGGCAAAAGCGTTAAATTCGACCTGCCGAATTAGTTTAGTTTGTAAACTATCACAGAGTGTGAACTTTTATGGTTTTTGAACTTTGATGGTTTTTGAACTTTGATGGTTTTTGAACTTTGATGGTTTTTGAACTTTGATGGTTTGACACTTTTGACAGGTTTTGTCTTGTACAGCCAATCAGATTATTTGAACCATTCTAACAGGGATTCTGATTGGCTTATTGTAGCGTGCTCAATGAGAGTATAGAGCATGCTGACGACACTGTTCTTCGCTTTGGAAATAAAGTTTGTTTTGAAAATTGAAAGTAATACATGGGGAATATAACGGATTCTTTATTATAAAACAAATAGAGAAGCCTTGACTGTGCTCTGTTCTGTTATAAAGCACTTAGGAAGCGGCTAGAGTCTCGTGTTTCTCCCTACACTAACATATATCATGCCGGAATTATTTTGAGCGTGCTTTTGACAAAGTATTGAGCACAACGCCGGTCTAATGACTTAAATTCTTACAAATTTCCTGGATGCCACAGTTCACATGTCGAGATTAACATATGTAGCCTGAGTTTTGTTCGCAGTAAGCCTAACTTTTTATAGCTTGTAGTTTAAAAATTTACTCCAATAAAATGTGTTCTGAACTTTCCTTAGCTAGTTTTATTTGTTAATACTAGGGAGGACGGAATGACCGAAATATTTCTCAAATTGGCTTCATTGCTTTGCGACTCTGCTCAATACGAGATTATATTTTTATTTTAACTAGCCGCCAAAACTTTTGCAGTATTTCCTTCTCAAAGTCAGAATCAGTTCAAATTATTCCTATCGGAAGCCAAGCAGCTTTAAGTTACCCAGTCAGAAAAATAAACGTTGCTAGTGCAACATCAGATATTGTCATGCTGACTGAGAAAATGAATCTCAATTTTGTTTCGTAGGATAATTTAATTTCAAGAGAAGACATATACATGTTGTTATCGCATGGAAAAATGTATGTACTTACAGTAAGCTATGCTTATATGAATTAATCATTTCACTTGTACTTGTAGATTTAGGAGAACTGCTAAGTTTAACGCCGATAAGACTCCTTGCTGGATTATTAACAGAAAAAAAAAGATTTAACACCTCTGTAGGAAGTCTTCTTGGTGAATGAAAAATTTATACGCGCAATTGGCAAAACCAGCAATGTCAATGGAGGTCTTTTTGGTAGATTTGTCCTTTACTGCTGTCGAGGGAAGATGAAAAGAATTGGTTTAAACTTTTCGGGTTTTTGTTGCGAGAATTAATTTCAGTTTGTCGGTAATTTATTGTGCACAAAGCCGGGTTTCCTCATGAAAATTGCATCTGTGAGAGCATAAAATTTGGAATTGAACCATGATACATATTTAAGCTTTCTTAAACTTAATCACCATGTGTCTTTGGAATGTGTTACTTACCTTCTTCAGCACAAATTTGAAAACGTTTTCACCTCTCACCGTTTTAAGAAAAGTAGAAAAAAAACTGTAACCTAACTCATTAAAATTCACCTTTTAAAAAACTTCGTACGTCTAAATTTATCCTTGACACTGAATCAGTCTTCAATATTTTATGAAAATCAGGCAGACGCTTTTAATTAGCTTTAACAAAGCAACCATTAATCATTTGCATTAGATCTTCGTCTTTGGCTCAGACGAATGGCTGACGCTCGAGACGACAGCTTTAGAAACTCTTAACAGTAACCAGCTTTTACAATCAATTCACTTTGTAGAACCAAATTAACTTGTAATTCCCTCACTGACGCAATACCACAGTTTCCTTAGAAATTTACTTCCTTCGCCGTTTGCGGAGCCTAATTTTCTAGTCATCAGGTGTCATAAGCCGTTGACACACCTGGCGATTTTCAGTACGCCGATCGCCGCGATCGGCGTAAATCGCCAGGTGTGCCCGGTGCGGCGATTGCGATTTTCGCCGATCGCCGCAATCGGCGTATAAAATCGCCGATATCTGATATGTCAGATATCGGCGGGTAAATTCGCTGGCATTCGCCAAGTCTGCCCGGTCCCGCGATTTTCTCCCCTTTCCAATGCGGGTCGCCAGTAAAATTAACCAATCAAGTTGGGCGATATTATCACATGACTATTCAAAATGGTGGATGGCATCGAAAATTGTTTCTGAACTGAAGAAAAAGACGTCACCCGATGGAAGCTGTGATCAGGCTGAAGTGCCACGCGATCGCGACCGGCTAAGTGTGTCCGGCGATCAAATTCGCAGCGATCGGCGTATAATATCGTCAGGTGTGTCGCTGGCTATACATTAGATGAGTGATTTAAGGCTACAGGAATACGGCATACCTTCGTCTTCGGACAGAGAACTATGCCTCGCTATTAATAATTAATTAATTTATAAATCTCTAAATACGTTTAAAAAACAGTAAACATCATACATCGGCCAATCAGGAGGTACTTACCAGATCGAAAACAAAAAAATTGTGTTTTCAAAATCAGTTGCTTTTCAACAAAGATTTCTTTTCATGAGATTAAAATTTCACTGGAGAAAAAAATGGAAATAAAATTCGATTATTTTTAATATTTAATGAGTAATTAATATTTCTAGCTTTTCACGTTAGTTCTCAAGTACAATTTGTTTATCCGTATTATGATGAGAAACAATGGACGCAGTTGTTCGATTTTAGACAATAGTGACCGATTGTAGACATTTGTGTCCGATTTTAGACACTACCGTCCGATTTTAAACATGAATGTCCGATTTTAGACTTAAATGGTCGATTTTGGACACAAGTGTCCGATATTTGACGGCAGTTTCCGACATCACTTTCTTCCCTTTCCGAGTGTTCTTTTATGAATCGCATGAGTATAAATTGGCTATAAAATCAAAATCAAGCCAGCTAACTTTCAAACTGGAATTAGACACAATTTCCCATAACCCCCAGTGGCGTGGACATAAAAGATTCAACGTTAAACGATTTTGGCGTGCAACTCATGCACATTTGCGTCAAGTTAAAGTTCCGACGGCGTTATTTCTAACATCTTGGTGCGTGTGCACTCTGTACGGATTTGGCGGTTAGACAGAACCTCCTGACGCAATACAAACGGCTCTTGTAGGAGCCATCAATTATAAAAAAAGTCGTGAACAATAAATTTGTTTCCCTTTATGCGTGAATAAAAACCGTATATCCTTCACTCATTCTGTTAAACAAATCGCGTGTCACTATAAAGTATTGAAGCGCGAATAACAGCACATCGCATGCAAAGGAATAATTAAAAAAGTCGCCCAAACATTTTATCACATAGTAGCCCTGACTCGCTTTCGCTGTTCGCTCTCAAGTCCTGTTTTGCCATTTTAATATTTGACACGATCATAGTTTTCTTCCAAGCTACAAATCATCAAGCTGTATTTTCAAGCACGCCTGTTAATACATTTTCTTTCTAATCGGATTTTTGTTTTGCAGGTCGCCTGAGATACATTGACAGAGTACAATAAAATTCATACCGGTCTACCCTCAAACTTTAAAACTGGATTTGGGCGCAATTTGTTATAACCGCCAGTGATGTCTACAAAAACAAAATTCAGCGATCAACGATTGTGGCGCGAGAGTTACACACCTTTACGTTTAAGAACATCTCCAAAGTCGTTATTTGTACGATTTTGGTCCGCGCAAAAAAACTTCACGAAGCGTATTTGGCGTTAGGCGACATTCGTGTCCAAAGATTCTTTGGAATTATCACTTCATGACAAAATTGGAAACTGGGGTAGAGGGGTTCTGAGATGATATTTTCATAGTTCTTATTCACCTCATCGTATCCAGCTTTTTGATGAGTTAAGGCTGATTTATGCCTTGGGTTTTTTCTCGGTCTTCTTGGCCAGAAGTACAGCTTGGATGTTAGGAAGAACACCTCCCTGTGCGATTGTGACACCGGCAAGAAGTTTGTTCAGCTCCTCGTCATTACGGACAGCCAGCTGAAGGTGACGGGGAATGATCCAGACTGCCATCAGGCTGCTTCTGCCCAGTGAACTGGCTAAACACGCTGTGAGCGAAGGGACCAAAGCTGTGACGAAGTACACCAGCAGCAAGTAAACTCACTTTGTGGGTTTCCCGCCAAAGCCAACGGCTCTTTTAGGAGCCACCAAATATTATGAAAGTCAATTGCGAACGCGATACGAGCTTTAAAAATGAGAATGTTTCCCCTGGTATCAACTAGTATTTTGTTTTTAACCGGATTGTGCGAACTGTGTTCTTGACGAAACGAAACAAAATTTTACAAATGAAAAAGCGCAGCAAATATTAGTCATACATGGACCGGCGAATGAAGCGAAGACTACTGTTCATGATTTATTTTAAAAAATGTCACACTGAACATAAACGCTTTAAAGAGTCAGTGTTTTTTTTTTCTTTTTAATTTACCGACGGTAACTGCTCGATCACATATTGTCTGCCCAAACGCTGATTTATTCCAGAAACGTGATCCATATACAGTAGATCTCCGGAGTTCAAAGCTTTTCTTAGCGGCCTACCTACTCGACGCGCTGGATTTTAATGCAAATATATGCAAGTGGTGATTAAATGAGCTGCAAGACACAAACGGCCTGATTTAACCTGTGTTATAGAGTTAGACCTTTACCTCAGCATATTCTTTCATTTTCGCTTAATAAAAAGTGTACATTAGCCTGCGTACCTCTTAATCTTGAGCGGAAGCAGCGGATTAGCGAGTAGGGAAAGATAGAAAGTTTTTACACTTAAAGTGGAGCAAAAACACATGCAAGCTACATACAATACTCGACAAAGATGAAGTTTCAAGAGAACAGAAATCTTTGGAGTCTACAAGTAACGACTGACGACTTTTTTTAGTACGGAAATATTCTCCAGAGACCGATGGTTGTTTCTCTCTTGTTTATCTTTTGTCTGTAGGCGGGGAGAACGTGATGCGTGACGAGATTAACACTGCTAAGTAGCTGGTGTATCTGACATGGCGTGTCTGTAACACAATTGTCAGAATAACATAAAGAAAAGTTTACGTGTCTATTCGAAATTGACGCGTTATGCGCTCTTATAGCAGCCATTTTCTCATTTTAACTCATTCTGATTGACGATTAAGCGACCATTAATGGGTAAAATCGGAGTGAGGGCCAAAACCTTGATTATCGAAAAGTCGAACTGGAACATCTAAGACGGGATATTACTCAGTTGGTCATAACTTTTCCTTTTATGTGGTGGCTCCTAAAGGAGCCGTTTGATTTAATGAAGAGTTGATCACCCTCCTTATTTCTTGGCCGCCTTCTTTGGTGATTTCTTCGCTGCTTTCTTGACGGGCTTTTTAGCTGCAGGCTTCTTCGCTGCTGGTTTTTTGGCCGCAGGTTTCTTTGCTGCTGGTTTTTTAGCAGCGGGTTTTTTCGCTGCTGGCTTATTGGTCGCTGGTTTCTTTGCTTTCTTCTTGGCGGCGGGCTTCTTTGGTTTGGCAGCAGGCTTCTTCTTTGCAGCTGGCTTCTTCTTCGGCTTCTTCTCCTTCTTTTCCGCTTTGGCCACCTTGAAGGAACCAGAAGCACTAACTCCCTTGGTGTGGACAAGCTTGCCATTAGTAACACCCCTTTTCAAAGCCATCTTCAAGTGCGAGCCGACCTCACCAACCTTGTAGTTGGCCTTGATGTACTTCTCGATAGCTTGGCGGGAAGAGCCGCTTCGCTCTTTCAACGCTAAGATAGCAGCTTTTATCATGTCGGCATAAGGTGGATGCTCAGCTGGCTTCTTTTTAGCGGGGGACTTTGCCTCGGACATGTTGTTTGCTGTAGAACTTTCGGAACTAGGAGCAATAATGATTGCTAAGAGCGCGCTCAAGGTAATATTATTCTTCGTGTACGGACCACCGAGGAAACAGAGTTGTCGCAAAATGGCGGCGCCCAAACTGTGTTAGTTTGTTTGACATTTCAGTTCATAAAGAGAGTCATAAAGAGCATAGCTAAGTTATCTCATAAAATGTAGGTGTAAAGAAAAGTTTGACTTACTAAAATAAAGAATGAATTTTTAGGGTCAAAAGTGTAGAAAGCATTAAGGTTCAAACGAAAACTTTGAATGAATGATGAAAGGAGTTTTGTTTGAGTCACTTTTCAATAGTATATTAAATATCATATGAAAGAAGAAGTCCCTAACTTTGTAATTGTTTGAGAAAATTAACATTTTGATGCATATTCGAAGGCAGAGCGGCCTCTAAACTCAAACAAGAAGAACAAAACTACAACATCCGCCATTTGTCATATGTGACTCACCTGGACGAATGGTACAATGTTAAATGTCCCGACTGAAAAAAATGACTCGAAGCTAGGTCTTACTTTTGTAGGAAACCTTTTAAAAATAAAAGCGATTGAGCAAGTTTCTGTGCATAGTTTTTCTGGATTTGCCTCGTTACGGATCAGCCAAACCAGTTTTTGCATGAGTTGGTCGCGCGCTCTCGATCATAGGGCAAGATCGAAGTCAACTTTGAGAGTGTTCTTAAAATATGATTACAATGGATTATTCACAAAGCAAAACATCAAAACCAGTTAGCGATGTAATAAATATTATCCTCATCTAAAATTTAATATATAGCATAACTAAAGAGAAAAACCAACTCTAAGCGAATGTTGCACATATTTTTGGATCAGGAACAGAGTTATTTTCCATCGAAAACATACGCGCGCGGGAATATCGTGTGATTTATGTCAATACATGTTAATATAACACTAAAAAGTTATGCTCAGATATTTAAATCAACCAATAGCAACCCTCATTACTATTCTGTTTTCTAAGAGGTCATATCTCTCTGTATAAAAGCTAGTAACGTTCGTTCAATTGCCATAACTTAAACACGAGTGATAATCAGTATGTCTGGTCGCGGTAAAGGAGGTAAAGGTCTCGGAAAAGGTGGCGCCAAGCGTCACCGAAAAATCCTTCGTGATAACATCCAAGGTATCACTAAGCCAGCCATCCGTCGTCTTGCTCGCCGTGGCGGTGTCAAGCGAATCTCCGGTCTCATCTACGAGGAGACCCGTGGTGTTCTTAAAGTTTTTCTTGAGAACGTGATTCGTGATGCTGTGACATACACGGAGCACGCCAAGAGAAAGACTGTGACAGCCATGGATGTGGTGTATGCTCTAAAGAGACAAGGCCGCACTCTGTACGGATTTGGCGGTTAAACAGACCATCCTGACACAATACAAACGGCTCCTTTAGGAGCCACCAAATACAAAGAAAGTCATGATCAATATACATAAATGCCTTTTCAAGGTGTCTTACAAACGCTTACATCTCCCTCATACATTTGCTAAACAAAATGATTGCACCATCCTCGCGCGTCACGATATGGGGCAGTAGCTTGGAAAAAGAACATTGCACGCAAGTTCACAATACCCGGCCACTTTTGAACGTTACTTAAATCAATTGCTCCTGAAGTCGAATAATTATTAAAGGAGAGGCCATTTAAACTAGTGCTCACGCAGTCCTGCACTCCCGTAGTCGAATAAAAATTAAAGGAGAGGTCAGCTAAACTAGTGCTCCAAAGAATATATATTTGTCAGTTTACTAGCCAGCGAAGTCGAAATACTCAGTGATTTAATTTTGAATTACACTTGAAGAAGGAGGAATAAAGATATGACTTTTTATTACAATTTGAATTACAATTTGAATTACAATTTTGGTTCGGTTTAATGAAGAACGAAGAATATACATTTGAATATGTCGGTTCAAATGCAGAACGAAGACTATATATTTGAATATGTCAGCTCTTTTCGAACTGCTCAGAAACAAGGTCTGCGTGTTTGCGCACACCTTGCGTTTGGTCACGCTTAAGAACGAAGTCTATACGTATGTAAGCGCAATTGTTTTTTTTTCGCGGTACCCACTGCGTTACTCTAAGAAAGAGGAATACACCACAGAATTTGCAATTTTTGAGGTGATTATAGGTCGTTGTAGGTGGTTTTAGGTGGTTTTAGGTCGTTCCGTGTTTTAGTACTTACCTCAACGATAAACGATTTTGGCGCGCAACTCACGCACATTTGCGTCAAGTAAAAGTTCCAACGGCGTTGTTTCTAAGATCTTGGTGTAAGCTCTGTACGGATTTTGCGGTTAGGTGGCGATCAACGATTTTGGAGCGACAGTTAAACACCTTTGCGTCGAGTAACGTATCGGAAGTCGTTATTTCTACGATTTTGGTGTGCGGAAACTTAATAAATTTATTTGGTCGTTGATCGACATTCGCGTCCAAAGATTCTTTGGATTTATCACTTCATAACATAAAATCGGAAACTGGGGTGGAGGGGTTCTGAGATGATATTTTCATAGTTCTTATTCACCTCATCGTATCTAGCTAGTCAAGACTTTTGTATCATGTGGTGGCTCCTAAAGGAGCCGTTTTTGTTGGATTAAGACTGATTTATGCCTTGGGTTTTTTCTCAGTCTTCTTGGGCAGAAGTACAGCTTGGATGTTAGGAAGAACACCTCCCTGTGCGATTGTGACACCGACTAGAAGTTTATTCAACTCCTCGTCATTACGGACGGCCAGCTGAAGGTGACGGGGAATGATTCTTGTCTTCTTGTTGTCACGAGCAGCGTTGCCCGCTAACTCAAGGATCTCAGCGCTCAGATATTCGAGCACAGCAGCCAAGTACACTGGAGCACCGGCGCCAACTCGCTCAGCGTAATTTCCTTTGCGGAGAAGACGGTGAATTCGACCAACTGGGAATTGAAGGCCTGCTCGAGATGAGCGGCTCTTAGACTTAGTGCCCTTAGCTTTTCCTTTACCGCGGCCAGACATGTTCGTTGTGACTTGCTCTACTGTTAACAATAAGAAAGAATAGTAAACTTGTACCAAGTCTGTTATTTATAGTTCGTTCATTATGCAGGAAGGATCGAAAAGCACCAATCAATTTTAAGCTTCGCGCGATTTGATAGCATTGTAATTTTCTGATTAAAGAAAGAATAATATACAAATTGACCTCCGGGGTTAGCATATAGAAATAGGCCAATCATTGATCGAGAATTTCGATCCGTATGGTAATAGATTCTCTTACGATTCTGATATAAATACAAGACGAGTTGCGCTGCACATCTATTCACCTTTTTGATTTAGCAAAATGCCAGCCAAAGTTGCAGGAAAGAAAGGCGAGAAAAAAGCCGGAAAGGCTAAAGCCATTGCTGATGGAAAGAAGAAGAGGAGAGGAAAGAGAAGGGAAAGCTATGCTATCTACATCTATAAGGTGTTGAAGCAAGTTCACCCCGACACTGGTATCTCCAGCAAAGCCATGGGCATCATGAACTCGTTCGTTAACGACATCTTCGAGCGCATCGCCACCGAAGCTTCCCGCCTTGCCCATTACAACAAGAAGTCGACCATCAGCTCTCGCGAAATCCAGACCGCTATCAGGCTGCTTTTGCCCGGTGAACTGGCAAAACATGCCGTCAGTGAAGGAACCAAAGCTGTGACCAAATACACCAGCAGCAAGTAAGCTCACTTTGTGGGTTTCCCGCCGAAACAAACGGCTCCTTTAGGAGCCACCAAATGTTATGAAAGTCAGTCATTAACGTAATACGAGTTTAAATGAAAATGTTTCTCTTAATATCAACTATGATGGTTTGGATTTGGTTAGAGTTTTCCTTGTGTACAAGGTATGTTTTAAACTGACCGCGCGAAGTGTTTCTTGACCAGGCGAAACGAAATGTAACAAATTAAATGTTCATGATTTCCTTTACAAAGTGTTATATAAGAATTATAACTTTGAAGAAATATAATTTTTTTTTAAGTTATCACCAGTAAGTTCTCGATCACCTGAATCGTGATCGATCTACAGTAGATCTCCGGATTTTGAAGCTTTTCTTAGCGGCCAATGCACTCGACGCGGCGGGTTCTTTGACGGAAATATATGCTAGTGGTTATTGAATGAGCTGCGAGACACAGACGGCCCGAAAAGAACCCGAGTAGTAGAGTCAGACATTCACTTGAGCCCATTCTTTCATTCTCACTCAGTGCACCTCAACTTTCAGAACATGAAAGATCAAGAGCTAGCCTGCGAAGCTAATGGTCTTGTGTGTGCTTAAAGCGTTAGTGATTAGTCCCAAATCCTCGGCTTGTTTTTATGCTTCAAAGCGGAGCACAAATGCCGCAAGCTACATGTGATACTCGTCAAAGTTGGAGTTTCAAGAAAACAGAAAACTTTAAAAGCTACAAGGAAAGACTGACGACTTTGCTTAGCCTGGAGATATTCCCCAGAGATCGGTAGTCGCTCAGAGCGATAAAAAAGAGGCAGTTATTGAGAAAACCTCCCTGCTTTGCCTGAGGGAACGCGAAGCGTGACGAGGTTAACATCGCTATGTACTTAGTGTATCTGTCATGGACTGTCTGTAGGAAAATTGTCTCAAATAAACGAGGACAAATTCAGGCGCCCATTTTAAATCGATGCATAACATTACTACGCACTTATGCATCCCTATAGCAGCGATATCCTTATAAAACCTAATTTATCTGACGGTAAAGCGACCTTTATCGGCTAAAACTTTTAGTTAGAGCCACCACCAAATTTATCGAAAAGTTAAACTCGATTATCGAAGACGGATTTAAAACTGAGTTGGTCATAACTTTTTCTTGAATGTGCTGGCTCCTAAAGGAGCCGTTTGATTAAATGAGGAGTTGATATCCTCCTTATTTCTTGGCCGCCTTCTTCGGAGATTTCTTCGGAGCTTTCTTGGCGGGCTTTTTAGCTGCAGGCTTCTTCGCTGCTGGTTTTTTGGCCGCAGATTTCTTTGCAGCTGGTTTTTTAGCTGCGGGTTTCTTCGCTGCTGGCTTTTTGGCGGCGGGTTTCTTTGCTGCCTTCTTCGCCGCTGCCTTTTTGGCGGCGGGCTTCTTTGGTTTGGCAGCAGGCTTCTTCTTTGCAGCTGGCTTCTTCTTCGGCTTCTTCTCCTTCTTTTCCTCTTTGGCCACTTTGAAAGAACCAGAAGCACCAACTCCCTTGGTGTGGACAAGCTTGCCACTAGTAACACCCCTCTTCAAAGCCATCTTCAAGTGCGAACCAACCTCACCAACCTTGTAGTTAGCCTTGATGTACTTCTCGATGGCTTGTCGGGAAGAACCGTTTCGCTCTTTCAACGCTAAGATAGCAACTTTGATCATTTCAGAATAACTCAAACACACGAGTGATAATCAATATGTCTGGTCGCGGTAAAGGTCTCGGAAAAGGTGGCGCCAAGCGTCACCGAAAAATCCTTCGTGATAACATCCAAGGTATCACTAAGCCAGCCATCCGTCGTCTTGCTCGCCGTGGCGGTGTCAAGCGAATCTCCGGCTTGATCTACGAGGAGACCCGTGGTGTTCTCAAAGTTTTTCTCGAGAACGTGATCCGTGATGCTGTGACATACACGGAGCACGCTAAGAGAAAGACTGTGACAGCCATGGATGTGGTGTACGCTCTGAAGAGACAAGGCCGCACTCTGTACGGATTTGGCGGTTAGACAGGCCATCCTGATACAAAACAAACGGCTCCTCTAGGAGCCACCAAATACGAAAAAAGTCATGATCAATAAACGTGTTTAGGTCGCATGTGTATCTCGCTTATTAAGAATCCGGAAAAAAATTCAATAGTCTTGTCCTTAAAAAAAATACCCTATAGATTTTCATGCGTATTTAGCTTTAGCTGGAGCTATAGATCAATTCTCATTAAAGTCCGTTACTTTTTTCAAATACTCGCGGGTCGTAGGAGTTCATATGGCAATCAAGAAGAAGAAATTAGCCCTCAAACAACCCCCCCATCATTGCGTTCTTTGTAAAAAATCGCTAAGAGAGTTGGCGGTTTTTAAACGTTTTGCTGTTCTTTTCCCCCCCTTTAGAGTGAAAATCTTATTGAATCAGTCCATCTGTAAGGTCTCCAAAATTTTTCATTGTATATTCATTAATACTGAAAATGGCGCGATTTTTGTGCCCGTTAGTGGTTGAGGCGCGGGAGCCGAAATCATCGGAGGCAATGAAGTTACCGACCACGATTTTCTTTTTCGTTTATTAATATGCAAAATTTCCGTGATCTTTTGAGCGTGCCTTTGAATGAATCCTTTTATTAACTTAATTCCTCCCTCATCCTAATTCAAGGGCTCTTACAGAAAAGTATCGAGGTGATATCTTAGTCGATGTTGTTTTCGGCTAGAAATTCTTAAATAGGTCAGCGACTTGTCTCGTTGGTCAAGACTTTTGTATCATGTGGTGGCTCCTAAAGGAGCCGTTTTATAGAGGGTGAAGCTGATCTAAGCCTTAGGTTTCTTCTCGGTCTTCTTGGGCAGAAGTACAGCTTGGATGTTAGGAAGAACACCTCCCTGTGCGATTGTGACACCGGCCAGAAGTTTATTCAACTCCTCGTCATTACGGACAGCCAGCTGAAGGTGACGGGGAATGATTCTTGTCTTCTTGTAATCACGAGCAGTGTTGCCCGCCAACTCAAGGATCTCAGCACTCAGATATTCGAGCACAGCAGCCAAGTACACTGGAGCACCGGCGCCAACTCGCTCAGCGATTTTTACTAAAACCAAATTCTCTCCTCTATCTTCAATACGGTCTTTAAAATTGTAGCTCTGAAAACTTGTTAAATGACTTTAAACTGTTCATGACTTTTTTTCGTCTCATCAGTTTTCTTTTTGATATGTATTGATATTGTAAAAAGAGCTGGGAGGTAGTCTTTAGACTAATGCGCAGCACCGGCGTACGTGATGATACGTACTGTACTGTATGGGACAAATGCAAAGAAAAAAAATAGATTTAAAATTTTAAAAAGCTTTTCCTCAAAAACTTGTCCAAAATAGGCCAAAATGCGTTAGGGAATGTTTCACAAATTTCTTAAATTTTCCAGTCGGGATACCTCCGGACTCTGATAATATTTGGCCTGAGTTGTTTTGGTCGGAGGATAGTTACTTTTCGCGGGACTCGTTTTTTTCTCTTCTTCCACGCTGTTGGCGCTGTTCTGTCTTCACTCAAAACGCTTTTTAGCTGCGAACTAGAGCCAAATTTCGGCGTTAAATCAACTAACAGACATTAATAAAGGGGACAAGTTTCTAACATATCTGTGATGCTGCATCGGTGGAATTAATCTCAGATTATTTGAAATACGTAGATTGGTTCCAAAAAGATTCCCCCGTGGGTCACATGCCTCTGACGTCACATCGCGGGAATATGTAGCGCGAAATCTTCTGCATGGTACGATCAAACGTTACAATCATGGCTACATGTCCGATTTTAGACAATAGTGACCGATTGTAGACATTTGTGTCCGATTTTAGACACTACCGTCCGATTTTAAACATGAATGTCCGATTTTAGACTTAAATGGTCGATTTTGGACACAAGTGTCCGATATTTGACGGCAGTTTCCGATTTAGTGTCCGATTTTTGATGCTAGTGTCTGAATTTAGACGCTAGAGTTCGATTTTAGACACTTATGTCCGATCTTGGATATCAGAGTCCGATTTTGACGCTGGTGTCCGATTTTGGACGCTAGTGTCCGATTTTAGGTACTAGTGTCCAGTTTCAGACAACAGTTTCCGAATTTAGAGTTTGGTGTTCGACCTAAGACACTATTAGCTGATTTTTTGACACGAGCGTTTGATTTTAGGGGGCAGGCAGCGAGATTAATTTGCACACATTTTTCGATAATGAGGAAAACCTTGTGTCATTTAATTGAGCTGTATAATCGAGGACTGCTTTTTCTACGTACGCTTATTTCGGACTGAAATTTTACTGAAAATGATTACTTTTAGCTGCTTAAGATAAAGCGTTCGAGGCTTTTTTTTGGCACGGGTGTGAGGGGGGAAAAATAAATGTGAGTAGAAGGCGTTGTTAACGAAAGTGTTAAAGTGGGAGACCAAACCCAAGCGTTGAATGCCAACCACGCACGTGTAGTGCCAACCACGCGCGTGGAGTGTCAACCACGCGCGTGTAGTGCCAACCACGCGCGTGTAGTGCCAACCACGCGCGTGTAGTGCCAACCACGCGCGTGGAGTGCCAACCACGCGCGTGGAGTGCCAACCACGCGCGTGAAACACCACAAGCACGAAAATTGAATACCAAGAAATAAGGCGCACAAAATGCACGCGTGACTCATATCACGCATCTTCAAACTTTTGTAAGCATTTATTTATTTTCCGATATCAGTTGTTCAGTTTGTAGCTTCGATTCGAACACTTGATAACTTTTTACATGCAATCTGATGTGGCGACTACGAAACTGTCTTTACTACATTAAAATAAAGTAAATTGATAATTTTTTCTTTATTCACAGTGAAAACCGTATATTTGTTATCGCACAATCCAGCTATGTGAATCTCGCACCCAGATCCTACCGTGCAAATGTCACTGAAATGCAAAACTCACGACCGCTTGGTCGTGAAAGGTCTGGTTACGAGACTACCGGCTATGTAGTCTGAGGGACCAGTGTCATAAGAGGCCTCATGGGGGGATCAGATAAATTTTTCTGATGACACAACCAAAACCCTCTAGCCCCTTCCCCACAGGGGATAACTAACAACCGATACCTTAGCCATTATTATTTTGATTTTTTTAAGCGAAGAACGTTACGCACAATACTTCTGCACTCTCGTCTAAACTGTCTATTCATGATACCGTATATGAAGGGGTTGATAGAGCTACTCAAATACAACAAAAACCCGACTGCAAGATACCATTGTCGCCGTAAAGAGTATTCCCCATAATGAATTTGAACAAAATTCATGACATAAACTGGAAGCCAACAACACGAGAAGGCGAACAGAATTGCTATCAAAGTCTTTGTCACTTTTGCTTCTTTTACATTTACCCGGCGGTTCAGGAGGCTATTTTTCTGCGGGAAAACACGATTTGATCTGGAAACAGCACGGCAAACTTTGATGTAGCAGACGGCAATGACCGTAAATGGAGTGATAATGTAAATACAGTAGGTTAGGCTCAAAAATGTAATGTTATCCCTGCTCAAACATATTGCTTCACCCGGATGGAACTTATATCTGCCGTCTTCGATGAAAAATGGCGGCGCAGAACCTAGCAAAGCTGCGCACCATACAATAATAATGTAGATCAAAATTTTTCGCTTCGTAAACAGCGTTTGGTACTTCCCAGGTTTAACAATACAGAAATATCGACTCACTGCAATTACTCCCATGGTACAGAGGGAAACAATCGCAAATGTGTAAGCTCCAAACCCCTGAAGATGGCAGATAGTTTCACCAAACTCCCAACGGCCGATAAAGAGAGTTGTAACTGTAAAAGGCATGCAGCAGGTGGACATCAGAATATCACTCACAGCCAGTGCTACGACGAACATATTTGGAGGCGTACGGAGCCTGTAGTTTCTGTACACGGCATAACATGTGAGAAGATTGCCAAAGAAAGCCAATACATTGATAACCGCAAACAAAATTGTTTCAGTCCAAACTAAAACTGTAGTCCTTGTAGCAAGTTCGATCAAAAGATTTTCCATTACGACTTTCGATAACCGGACAAGCGCACAGAGGGCGCTTTTCAAGCTGAATATATAAAGGAAATAATTTGTTTTGTTCAGTTGTGTATTTTGATAAGAGCAAAATTTTTCAATTTTTGTCAGCCGCGGAAGTAATTTGTGTCGATTGTGTTACATAAAATACAATCTTCAAATTTTACCTTTTGACAAAACCTCTCTGGTCTTAAAAGACAAATCTGAAAAGAAGTAAAGTGTTTTTTTATGTATTCTAACCTACATGCGTAGTCCTTGTAGGAAAAATCTAAAAGAAATGACAGTTTTAACTTGACTTGCTAATTTTCCAGATTAACAAATTAAAAATAACAAGTGATGTGAAAGTGAAGAGCTAGACACCGCCGAATTTCATTTTAAAAAATTGAAATTATAAACACTTTTGGAGGTTAGTAATCTATTGTGTTCACGTAATTAGCGGCTTTTACCTTTTGTCATGTCTTTCCGCCAACTATACTCTTTAATCAATTAAATGGCACAGCGCGTAGATTTTTTCTTAACACCTGTCTCGGTTTTTAGCCGTGAAGCGCGCGAAACGTGATGCACTATTGTCATCGAGATACGCAAACGTTAAACGCGAGCTCTGTGATTTATATACTCAAGCGTGAAACGTGATGCGTGAGCATGAAAAGATGTACTTTATTCATACGATATATACGAGTGTAAAGTCATAAATAAGCGACACACGCTTACGACGTACTAACGGCAATATGGAGGAGTTGTGATTGCTATTTCTATAACAATTTTTAAAAATTTTAATTTCTTTTCCATGTCAAGGTGATTCCTCAGTTTTGCAGTGCGCATCTTGCACTGCGCATAAAAATCGTCGTATCAGGGGAATGAGTGCGCGCGCATTCCGAGAACACGGTATTGTTTTTCACTCCATGGACCAGGTAAAGAGGTACGATAGTCTTTAGCTCTTGAACGAACACGGTGAGCTACATTTTTTCCATAATTTTGGTATACAATGTATCCCCTTTAAATTGGGAAAAATAAAATAAAAATCTTCCGAAGGGAAAAAAAGATATAGCAAAAAGCGTGCGTGAAGCCCGTCACACGAGGATGCAAATTATGACCTTGAAAAGAATGACTCGAGGAACGTTTTGAGTCGATGTCGTCTAAATTTGCGCGATTTTCCCACAAATTGTATATAAAATTGTTTCATACGCCCGAGACTTTCTACTTATCAAGTTTTTTTTTCAAGTGTTACTTTTAAAACCCTTGCTTCCAGCTGCAGCAAAGTGTACCGTGAACCGATGAAATTGACGCGCGTGATTAGTGCCAATACGGGCATAAATATGATGGGTTTGGCCCATTACATCTCCCAAACAAGCACGGTGACCTATCTTTTTATTTCATTTTCGAAACAGAATCTAGTAAGGAACATTTACGGAAAGTTTAGAAAAAAATTGTTCGATAACTCATTTCTCTGAGGAATCACCATATTATAGTGCACAGATAAATTTTATTGCTCATTGGGCTCCTATGCCACCGTGAAGCGTACTATACGCGATGCTCTAGAACACTTTATGCATTATACTCAAGCGTGAAACGTGAAACAAGCGTTGTTTGTTGTTATTTGTTAGCCGTGAAGTGTGCTGCACGAAATATGCTATTGTGATGGAGATACGCCGACATTATACGCGAGCTTTGAGTGTTATACTCAAGAATGAAACGTGATACGTGGAAATAAAATGATAAATTTTAAGCGAACGAAATACACGACTGTGAAGTGATAAAAAAGCGGCCTTTGCAAAAACGCCACTCAGAAGAGTTGTGAATGCTACAAAACCAAATCAATTTTAAAGAATCCTATTTTTCGTTCTCATGTCTACAGGAACTCGACATTGTGTGCAGATAATTTTCATTGCTCGATGCCCTTATGACACTGAATTTATTGAAGACTTTTAATCTGCTTACCCTTCTGGACTCTTTTTTCTTTGAAAGTTATCATAATGTTTTTCCCTATCTTGGCAAAAATTTACACATATTTTAACATTAACCCTAACTTGTTATCAATTGACTATTGTTGAGTTAAGGGAGGGGTAGGTGGGCAGTTTCCCAGACACTCATATGTTTATATAGATATATTTATATTTATTGCATATATATAGATATATACAGGTATTTATGGTAAGCAAAACTGAGATGTAGATAAAAACACAATAGTAAAATAAACAGGCGCTAAATTCTTTTTTTTCAGTCTTGTTAGCATCAAACAAGTTAAGAATTCAATTTTAGAGATGTTAGTGAACAGATAATAAACATTGTTTTTTTTAGTATAAACAGCTCACGGCTGACAACATAAAACCTCTTTCCTTTGCCTTGTCCAACACGGCGTATAAATTTTAAAAATAGTTTCAAGGTCTCTCTAGAAATGGCCGTTGAAGACAATTAGGAGCTGTACACGAGCTATAAAAAGACACTGGGTACTAAAACCTAGGTTTTTAAAAGATACTTGATCAGGAACGCACGACTCGAACAGTTAAACATTAAGAAACGAGTTGAAATTTTTTGCCGGTGCACTTTCTTCGCATCATTTAAGACAAATTAATCTAATTTTGCCGTGTGTCTGTTCATTTATTTTATAGCCTGCGGCTCGTGTGCCATTTTTTAGTTATCGTCATATTTTGACGTCATCTACAATCTATAGATGTACGGGCACACGGTTTTATGTAATCCTTGTTTCAAATATAAAAAGCGTCTCTCTTGTTCCCCTTGAAGGAACTCAGATCTCAGTTTGTAACACCTCTTTCCCATTTGTGTTAAGATGAGGTAATGTGAACATGAAAAAACTCCTCTACTACTTAGATAGCACACGTCAAAATTTCACGCCATCAGTTGTCTCCGTTTCGGAAAGGCGTTATAATCTTACTTAAGATAGCTGTGTACTCTCGTCGGAATCGCCTATTCGTGACGCCATATATGAGAGGGCTGATAGTACTGCTCAAAAAGATTAACGAAGTGTAAGTGAGGTATATTTGTCGCGGAAGAATTTTTTTCCCGTGCGCGGCGTCAGTAATATCAATTACACATACAGGTAGCCAACAAAATGAAAATCCAACCATGACTGCTGCCAACGTATTGGTAACTTTGGCCTCTTCCACATTCGCTCGGATTTGCTGGACATTATTCTGATGTGAGAAGACGCGATTTGCGCGTGATACTGCACAGAAAACTTTGACGTAACAGACTGAAATGATTATGAAAGGGGTTCCAATGTACAATTCAGTGAAGGACGTGAAAGGAATATTGCTCTCAAATGAATACGCACACATCGCTTTTCCAGGCTGGAATTCAAATCCTGATTCTTTATCGAAGAACAATGGAGGCACAGATCCCAACAAGGCTATGAACCATACAGTAGCGATGTACATCAGAATACGGTTCTTTTTAAAAAGGACAATATACTTGTTTGATTTAACAATGCGGAAATATCGGCTGATTGCAATAACTCCCATGGTATTAAGAGAAGCCATTCCAAAAATGAACACTTCGAAGGCAAAAAACTCACAAAAAATTTCGCCAAGCACCCACTGGCCACGAAATAGAGTTACAACTGTGAAAGGCGAACAACAGGTAGACATAAGAATGTCGCTGACAGCCAATGCAATTACGAACATGTTGGGAAGCGTCCGGAGTCTGTGGTTTCGGTACACGGCGTAACATGTGAAAAGATTGCCAAAGAAAGCCAAAACGTTCATAAAAGCAAACACAATTGTTTCAGCCCAAACTGTAGCTTCGGTCCTTGTAGCAAGCGCAAAAGAAAGTGATTCCGTCGGAGCCATTATCGACAGCATTCAAACGACTCGAAAGCAATGTGACAAAATCTTTTTGGTACGTGACTACAGGCAAGCAAGATAAATACTCTAGTTTATAAGATAAGGTAAGTACGAATTTCTTTTGCTTAAATAACCACCTTTCCTTTATTTGTTTGCGAACGATATTACTTTTTATTGTTTCAGCCTTGCATCAAGAAAATATTGAGACAGTCTTGTCACGTTTGTAATTGCAAGTTCATCGAAAGTGAACAAGGACCGGAATTTTCAAAGCCACCTCTTTGCAAGGAGTTCTAAATTCACTACAAACATTATGTTTCGGTAGAGGATACAACACCAGTAAATGACGCACGTGTAAAAAACTGATTGACGGACATAGACTGATAAGCAAGTAATGTCACTTTCTGGTATAAGTCGAGAACACATCTCAATACTTTTGTATACTCTTAACGGTCTAACACGCACACACTGTATTGGTTTTACAAACTGAGTTTATTGTTAACACAGATTGGCCTGTACCCATGGGTAACTCGAGAGGAGCTTGTTTTTATCAGCAGTTTTGGATTTGATAACGTCAGCTGATGGTGGGGAGTTTTTTGTAGAAATTTTCTGACCAGCCGGAAACATATTTTAATTAAAAATTTGCTTGAATTGCAAACAAAACGGGTCGAAAACTCTAAGGTGTCAATAAAAAGGCCGATCGCAAATTGTCACAATTTACACCAGTTTCTCCTATATCTACAGAAATATAAACTTTTGGCCCCATTTGTTCGAAGGTTGGATACGCGCGCTATCCACTGGATAAAAGCCTATCTGGTGGTTAACGCTTTATGTTTTGCTATCATGATCACTTATCCATCGGATAGCGATTTATCGGTTGGATAGCGTTTTTCACCCTTTATACAACTGGGCCCAGGCAAATAATAAAGAGGGACACTCGTTTCCCAATTTTCAGTTCGATAAGCCAATAATATTCAAAGCTGTAATTTAAATCAACCATTCACAACCTTTTAATGCAAATTTTCCCTTTCTTTCATAACTTGACAATTTTTCTTTTGTCGGAAATTGTAATTTTATGGTTAATTGGTAATAAGAGTTCGTGTCGTCCAATTCGTTCCGTAATCACACTCGTGATAAACAAATCGGACTCCCGCTGCGCGGTCGCCTGATTTTGTTACCACTCGTTTGATTACAGACCGAGTTGAACTCCAGTCAGTCCTATTACCATTACTTATCATGTATGAAAATCACACATGACACGACATCGCGCAATTGTCTCACAGCTGTATGTGTATCTATTCGATCTATTCTGCATTCGGTTTGAAAAGAAAAATTAGTTCAGGCCCCTAGGCTATCTATGATTACAACCAAAGCAAAAACTACCGGTATATCAAAAGTTTTTTATAATTTATTGAAAGAAAAGTGTTTCCCGTTCATTCTCAGCGAATCGTCCTTCTCGCAGACCAAGAAATTTTGAGCTAAACTCTACAAGCAATTAATCTTTTCTTCTGATAATCGCTTTGTTTGGTTTAATAATGTAATCAGATTTTGTATTGTCTTTGATTTTATCAGATTTTACCTTTTTTGAATTGCTAAAAAGCATCGGAAACCAGAAAGAAAAGAGAATTAAAAGTCCATTAATTCAGATGACCTCCGGGGTTATATCTAAAAAATCGGACTGTATATAATGGGTTTTTTCATCTAAAAATTTGAAAATCGGACTGTATATAAATGGGTCGTTTATCCACCGCTGCATTTCGTAACCTCGAACGAGTTTTATCAGTTATAAACTCTAAAGATATAGAATAGCTCACAGTTGCTAATATGACTGAGTCTTTCCCTCCGCTGCACTTGACCTAACTCACTCCAGTGACTACAAGGGGTGAAGGTTTCGTCGGATTGAATTGGTTTGGTTTGCCATTCGCGGCCGCCTCCAACAATCTCCTTGATTTCAAATTAGCACCATTACCTTAAATCTCATCTTTAATTGAATCTTAAATAAAATAAATAAAGAATCCGTACTGAATATCTACTTCTTGAAGGTACCTTGAGTAACAACGCTTCAAGGAGGGATAACAAATGATTTCTTTAGGAACTGTACTCTCAAATTAATAGATCTAATCTGGGTGAAAAAAGGGCGTTTAAGCATTACGTTCAGTTAGGGTCATAGCAAACAGCACAAGTCCTGTTTTAAACCTGATCAAACAGAGGTGTTCAGCATTAAAAGCAAAGAAAACATAACAACAACTGAATGCAGATTGTATTTTTGTCCTTTGTCGTTTACCGCAAACGTTACGCATAAGTTTTCCTCTATTAGTTTTAACTACGATATTCAATGAACCAGCAACTGAATCACGTTTTCGTACTCGAGCTTTGAAAGACACGAAAAAGTTTCCGCCTACTAGCTTTCGCTTTATAAATCGCTTTTCCCCGGCTTCGTTTTAGCTCAGAAAACGAAATATTTACTCAAAATGTCCTTGTACTCTCGTCTAAACTGCTTACTCATGGCTGCATAAATGAAAGGGTTTATGGCGCTACTTAAATATAACAAGAAGGCGTAGGTTATGTAAGCTCTTCGTGGCAAAGTATGCTCGCTGCGCACAGCATCGATGTTATCCATAACACCAATCGGAAGCCAACAACATGCAAAGCCAACGAGAACTGCTAACAAAGTTTTCGTTACTTTTGCTTCTTCCACGTTAACTCTGAGCTGATGGAGGTCATTTCGGTGCGAAAAAACACGATTTAATCTTGAAACCTCTCGAAACACTTTGACATAGCAGATGGTTATGACTGTCATGGTCGTTGCTATGTAAAAAAACTCGTTGACAGATACATAAGCGATATTTTTAAATGTGTACAAACACATGGCTTTCCCTGGCTGAAATTCAAAGCCGTCTCTCTTAAAAAATAACGGAGGCAGAGATGGAATGAGAGAGACGCACCATGCCGCATTTATGTATATCAAAGCTCTTTTTTTCGTGAATAATACTGCATAACGCTCAAATTTCACAACGCAGAAATATCGACTGACTGCAATAACTCCCATTGTAACCAAAGAGGCTGTTCCGAATGTGAAAACTTCAAAACCGTGAACTCTACAAAACGTTTCACCAAACATCCACCGGCCGTGGAACAGAGTTGCAACTGTGAAAGGCATACAGCAAGTTGCCATCAGGATATCGCTAACAGTCAGAGCTGTTATGAACATGTTGGGAAGCGTGCGGAGCCTGTGGTTTCTGTACACGGCGTAAAAAGTAAGCAAATTTCCCAAAAAGGCCACAATGTTGATAAAAGTGAACAAAATAGTCTCAAACCAAATTAAGGCCTCGTTTCTTGTAGCAAGCTGGGCCGAAAGTGTCCGTGACATGATTCTCGACGATGAAAAAAGACAAGCGCTTGGTTAATTCAGTGAATTTTCATCTTTGTGACGGCTGACGCAAGAGACCTTGAAGTGCGTACAACTTAGCTTTTTTTTCTCATTTGTCTTCCCGTGTATTTCTATTAGTCAATTGTTTTCTTAATAATCCACCTAAATATCGTAGGAGTCTTAGTGGTCTGCACCTGCTCACTTCTTTCACCTCTTTCCCAAAATTTCAACTTCCAAAAGCGATTAAAAAAATGAGCAGCCTCTCAATAATGATCTACTTTTATGTACTAAACAACATTACTCATTCCTGATTGGTCGATGGCCAATACGTAAGTAGAATATTTGCTATTTACGCAAAGCACTCTCTCAGTCCGTCAATGACTTTAAAGCTAAGAAAAACATAAATCTTGGTTTGTCTTTTACCATTAAAGCACTTTTCGACTGAGTGTCGTAAAAAGAAAACCAAAGTAATCACGACGGCCTAATCAGAAGAAAGGAAAATTCCCTTCAGAACCAATGAGAACTCAAAGTTAAAACAGCCAAGCGGCCTAAAGCGCGGGAAAACGCAGGCGACCAAGTTATGATTGGTTTTTAGTTTTGAATCTGATTGGTTGAGAGAGTGGTGCGAGTTTCCTCGACCAATCACAGAGCGAAGTAAAGCAAAACCAACGAAATCCCGGATTACTAATGGCGCTCAATCGAAAATTGCTCTTTTGGTGTTAAAATTACCAAAATAAAAAAAATTTATTTTACAAAAAGAAATCGAACGTACGAGCTCTTCTCAAATCTTTGAAAATTGCTTCGAGTAACGGGCACGGGAACACGTACGGTCGCGTTAAACCTCACTTTTATCGCGAACAATTACACAAATAATCATATGATGATATGACGAGCCACATCATTTCAAGCCAATTTCTGCGTTCGTGTGCTCCATTTTGAGGAGCCACGTTTGATTCGTCTTGCCCAATTGCCATTACTGCCCGCGTTCTATTACGTGAATCCAGTGTGTCGCCAATTAAAAGCATGAAAGAAGGATAAAACTCAGTTCCGCCGGACTTTTATTGAAATAACAAAACATCCGGGTCAGCCTCTACTAAACAAAACTCTTCTAAGTAAACCTCTTCTCCGACACTTTCCTTTTCTCCCCAACAGCTCTTAGCACACGTGAAAACCATTACAGTGCCAAACTCAATTACGACGTCATTCACTTGATTGACAGTTGCCAAGAATGCCTTCTTTTGATCTTCCCGAAGACCAGTATTATCTGATAGATTTCCACCATTGTCCTCACAAATATTATTGTCCAACCTTCCCAAATTGTGTACATTGTTACTATTTGAAAACTGCTCAGTCTCTGCCTCATGTCTGTTGTTTTGGGAACTAAGATCCCCAGTTAAGTTGGCACATGTTTGCTTTGCAAGTTTCAAATTGCCAATTAATGCAGGCATAAATTGCAGTTCAAATATTCTGTTTGCACCACAATGCTGGCAGGGTGGAACACTTGAAAACAGCTCAGATGGCTTGGTGGTTAACATAGAAACAGGCATCCCATTCCACTGATACCTTATATAGAATATAATATAATATAGAATAATATTAGATAATTATTACACATGAAAAGAAGGAAAAACAGATTCCACGTTGTTATGCCTCTGCTCAGTAATAGATCACAGATGATCTCAAAATGTTATTAGAACAAAATAGTGACACAAGAGGCGCAGTTGAGTGTGTCACTGCTATTGTAACCAAGTTTTGATTTCTTCTGTGATGCTTCACTGAATATTCCTAAGGCAACATGGAATCCATGTTTCAAATGGAAAAAAAGAAAAATTTCGTTCTCCTGTAAATCACGAGAGTGAGTGTGTGGGAACCAATCAAAATTTGTGCTTAGCCCTTTAAGTCCCACTAGTGACCAAGACAGAATTTCTCCTTACACTATCAATACAATATCAAGCAGACAAGTTCTGAGAATAAAGAAAAATACCAATTGGGGGATTATTGGTCGATCCAATTCCAAATTCTCCCAACTAACATCATATGAATTGTATGGCAGACAGTAAGGAGAATTACTTATGCAATCTTGGGAGTTAAACGGTTAATTCAGCTATTTGTATATGAAATAACTAAAATGATTACCTCAGGCACTGCTGTGGATAAGCATGTAACTGTTTGTTAAACTTGTGAAATGCTTTATCACCATGCGTAACAGCTGCACTTTCATATTTCTCCCCAGCCCATTCCTTATTACCCTCATCTGCCTCCAAGGCATCTAAAACATGGCCTCCTTCACGCTGCTGATATTCAGACAACAGAGCTTTCTCATGTTTTGTCATCTTGGTAGATGTCTCTTTTGGGTCAGGTGCTTCCACAACACTAACATACATTGGTGCAAAATGAGGGATGGATGCCAATGAAGTTTCTGTGTGTGGCTGGCCTTCACTAAAATTTCCAGCTATAGTATGGTTCATCTCTTCGGGTTTATCTTCAGATAGTGTTAATTTGCCAGTACATTGCTCCAAGCTCATGGAAAAATCATTATCACTGTCAAACCAACAAAGCAGCCAAAATGAGAGATCTATTTAAAATTGTAGTTGACCGGAAAGTCTGTAAGACGTTAGAAAAGACTGAAATTCTTTGCAACTTTTTGCCTGGGTGCCAAATGACACTGATACACTCTTGCTTCAATCCCAAGACTGAACAATTTGGTAACCAAAAAGGTGTGTTATAAAGGATTTCATCCTGGAGCAATATACCAGAATGAAAGATATTTCCTGGCCACAAAACATTTGCCAACTTGTCAATGACCACCAGTTACATAAAAAAAAGAATGAGTTAAATCATTGACACTTTGTTTCTTGAACCCCGATTTGTTTGTACAGGAAAAGTGCTGACAAGACCTTAGGTCAGTTGCATCCATTAGACTAGCAAAAGAATTCTGGTTTTCAACAAACAATCCTCAGTTGCATTGGCAATCAGCTGGTCACAATTTTGGACCTTGCTATGACAAGAAAGAAATACATGTACTCACTCTCCCCAGTCTTCAGCATCATCACACCAATCATCCACTTCAAATCCACCAGAAGACTGGATCATAAAAGAAGCAAAATACCAACATCAAATTTTGGGAAAAATCAAACCCGAACTATGCAAAAAATTTTGATCATTTTGCAAGTAAAAGACTTTTCATACAACCAAGAGCACTTTTAATCTAAACATTAAGGCCCTTTCAAGCTAAGAAGTGGCCAAGAAGGAATATTTCCTCACAATAATATTACATTTTTAAGAAGAAGGCCAAGAAGGAAGAATTACTTCAACTAAAAGGTATTCTTCAATTCAACACTCAATTCTTAGAGCTTAAATGATAAAAAATTTATGGCAGACAGTATGAAGATTTGGTGTATAGTTCTTGGGAATGGAGGAGTTATACTAGCTGGCCCCTTAACCTTTTCACTCCCAAGATCTCATAAGTAATTCTCCTTACTGTCTGCTATACAGTTCTTGAGATGTTAGTTTGGAGAATTTGGTATTGGATCAACTTTTCTCCTTATAACATCACCCCTAAATCACACATTAAGGTCACAAGAATTAAGGAAACAATCACTGAAAAAAAAAACTTTGGATGGTTAAAAAAATTCTCCCTGTCAACACCTTAGGAAATTTATAGAGAACAGTATGGAGAATATGCAAACTGATTTAATAGTGTTTGGGCAAATGTAATGGCTTTGAATGTTGTTCCAAAAAAGAAACAAAAATTTATTTTCAAAAATATATATTGTATAACACCTTATTTTCTGCTGTTTCCCTGCCGACAAAATTACTGTCTCTGGCTTGTGATCTCAAAACTTTCCAACTGAAAAAAGAGTTGATGGAAAATAATTAAAACTTTCAGATTGTGTTTAAGTGTTAACCCTTTGACTCACAGAAGTGATTAACATGTAACTTCTCCCTCTAATATCTATTCATTATCCAGCAAACAGGTACTGAGAATACTCAAATTTATCAGGTAGAAGTTGATGTCTTGATCTAACACCAAATTCTCGTGACTAATTTCCAAGGAAATGTTTAGCAGCTGGAGGAGAGAATTTACGATTAGATCTTGGGAGTTAAAGGGTTAAACGTTAATATTTCGCCTATGGCTGTGGCCTTTTACCTTGTGTTTTTATTCCAACAAGATTTGCTTACACAACCAAATACATACAGCACACGGTGAAAGGTGGACTCTGACAAAGGACAGTAAATCTGGCAAACCAAATACAATACTTTTCCACATAAAGGGCAAGTTGGGAAACACAACGGCTGGCCATGCAACCAATTCTGTGCAGAGAAAATGAAAAAAAATTAAAATCCTATTTGGATTAGTCATGTAGATAAAGTGCAAAGAATTATTCTAGGCATGCTTCGTTGTTTTTCATCCTGGTTGCATAAGAGTTTACTCCATGCAAACAAGTTTTACCGGTTTTCCTCCGATTTTGTTTGTACTCCATCCACAAATGTTATCGTCATTTTCCGTCATGTTTCCGTCCGCCAGCCCTAAAAGTAAAGGTTCGTCCGCCATCTTGAAAGTGTGACTCGCAGAGGAGCGTGGGAAGGATTAGTCTCAGTAGGATCCCCGCTCAAATTTTGCTGAGAACCCACCCCACCCCCTCTGCTGTTCTTTTGACCTCAAAAGTTATTTGTACCGTTTAAATCATGCATGAACCTATTTTCCGAGAGAAGTCCATCGCGTGAGTCATGAAAAGTCAAAGGGAAAAACTGTGTTCGCGCTGCCTGAATCATCCAAAGAGTTCAGGCAAAGCAGATTCATCATCATTGTAATAAAATAATAATAAATATCATCGTAATAATATAATAATAAAATTATCATAATCGTTATTTTTTCCTTCTTTGTTTATGTGGAGTTCAATTTGTTGTGTAATTACGCAAGTGATTAACCAAATCAGACGTCCACGAAACCCGGAACCGCCGAGCAAAAATCTGAGAAACAATATGTTTTCATAAAAAACAACAGTTAACTCGACGAAATGCGCGGCAACAACACGCGGTTATGTTACGCACTGTCCGATTACATAGGCATGACGCCTACACTGTCCCACTATGCTGTCCAATTACACTGACGTGACGCATACACTGTCCGCTTACTCGGTCCAATAACAAACATGACGCGCACACCGTTCTATTGGTGCCCAAATCGGGCTGGTGGCCAATCACGTTCGAGATTTTTATTAAAGTTTTTCCCACTAATTGACCTAATTCTCTTAGTCGCTGCAAAAACTTAGCAAATAGTTTGAGGTGTAGCTATAGCAACCAAGCTTATTGACTTCCTTTGAAACATCATATATTGCCTGAAAGGTGAAAACTGGGATAATTAATTTTATTGTGTTATTCTCGATGTTGCGCCGCCTGTCCAGTCTTGCATGCAATTCAATCTAATGAATTTACAAACGGAACTGAAAAAAACACATGGAAAAGGCTAGTGCATGGTGAAACACTGGATGCTGATCGTAAAAAAATAACGTTCGGCAAGTTATAAAGAAGTGTCCATAAAATAATTCTTGAGGTAACTAAAATTTTTCCTACTTTTTTACTGCCGCTATTGTTAGTATCGTGTTATTGAATTGCCCGAGTGTTGATCCGAGATAATCCATATCAAAATACGCTACTTCTGACCTTATTTCTGATGTTGGCTCAGTCACCATTAGCACGGCAGGAAACTGCGTCTGTTATGTTACTAAACAATAATTTTTTAATGATGGGTTATATTTGAATGAAATCGTCAAAACATTTCCATTAAATACTTGAAGTGATCCTGTCTGTGAGTTATTTCCAAAATCAGAATTTTATTCAAAATCTTTTTTCAGTGACTCGCAAAGTACCGTTTAGTTAAAGCCATTTACTCTACCGAGTAAAAAATTTTTTAACTCCGAACAAATCGTGCGCTTGTGATACTTTGTAAAATGGTAATTAATCCTCTGTGTAAACTTATGATCACTAAATTATTTTTAGATGTGTGAGAGTTTATTACTTGAAATGTCAACCTAGCGCCCGTGGAAACTACTGGTTGATCCGACTAAATGTGATTTTAGAAGAAAGTAGTTATGCTCGATTAGACTCAAAATTGCTTCGTGTTTGTGATCAATATCTCAGGGAAGCGTTCGCTTTTCTGAAAAAGGCAACGGGAAAAAACTGTCGTGACAATATATATATGTATATATATTTGTCAAATAATAAAGGCCAAAATATCTCCTACGATGACAGGAGGGATCGACGATCTTTGACTTTACCCGCTCCTCCACTCAAAAGGTGACGACTACCGTCTAAAAATTCAGATATTTGGCTGTTTATCGCTTTTTTAAATCAAGCTGTTTTATTAAAATGCGTTCCTAACACAAGATAACGTTTTATTTACTCGACATAAATTATTATTTACTTAGTATGGAATGGAATGGTATCTAGGAGATCAAATTAACCAAAGATGGTCTTCCTGGCTCCAATTATTCCTTAAGTTGAATGAAGCGTGCCTTGATAATATCCTTATTATTTCTTCTTCATAAGAAATAATTCCCCAACGAACTGAATGTTTGCCCTAAATTGAAGAAATCGCCTGACCCTTGCTTTCAATCGACGATGTTCGGTACTCACTCGGATTTCCGAGTACTTCCGAAGATTTAGGCGCGGAATGATTTGAACAGACAAACATGGCGACAACTTCAAAATCGCCTCTTCCTCCTCGTCCGCAAAGTGTTCCTCTATTGAGGAAAACCATGTCTCCTGATGCAGCAAACACGAAGGTTTCTTCTCCGATCAGAGCTAAGACACCATTGGTAGGGAGAAATTTCATTCTTTAGCGTGATTTTAGTTAGCAAGAACATCAAAATTTGTTCATCCGAAATTTGCCGGAGGAGCGTGTTTTGATCCGGGTAGCAACACCGGCACTGCTGCAGCGATCGGTTTAAAAACACTCAGAGGGATGGATATGGATGAAAAGTTTGATAATCTACCCAGTCTTTTTTTTTTTAATTCCATCTTAAAACAGTAGCTTCAAGGACGTACGCTTGTCGCTCAAGTGTTTCTCTGTATTCGTGCAACGGATCGACTCTGTGCAAATGACAACAGTTAAATTTCTCGATCGCTTGTACTGTAACGTTTACTTTTAAAATCATCGTCACCAGATCGTATTTCTGTCTCCCTTTTCGTATTTAAATTGAATTGAACTAGGTGATTAAAAAAAAAAATGTTTTCCGAAAATCTAATTTTTTAACTGCCCAAAATATCAATAAAAGTATTCCACAATCTTCATGTACAGGTCAACAATAAAACCTTTTCGCGCATAATTGAATACTATTACGACTTTTGAAATATAAATGAGCACAACGCTATTTTCGTTTATTTTCAAGTTAATCGTACATGTTGTTGTTTGTTCTCAAAAAAACGTTTCCAACAAACCCCCTGTTACTCGAACCAGCCTACACTGAATGTGAGCTAAATATAAATTTTTTTCCTCATACTTTTAGCGTAATCAAAAAATATTTTTGTTGTGATATCAACGCTAAAAGTTTTCTATAATTAGCAACTAGATGACAGACGAAAATCATTGAAATAATCTTTTTTGCAGTGGTGACTTGTCACAAACTCAGAGGTCCAATGTCTCATCATGTATGAAATAGATAGCTAACAAAATTAGGAACATCGCTAGATACAATTTTGAAACGCGATTATTTTTTGTCAATTTGCTCTAGCTGCACATGTATGCAAATATGGATTTTTTTTGCATTGATAATATTGCTTTTTTTAATTAAATAGTTCTATTATTCAGTTTCAAAGTTGTATAACTGTGTCACATCTGCAAAAATATGGTGTGTGGTAACCATTTTAACGTCTTTTGAAATGTTAAAAGGCTAATCAGAGTCTTATTTGGTCTGTAATGTCATTCTCATATATGTGAATCATTGTTTTCCAGAGAAATGTCAAATCTCATTTTTACAGATAACCCTTTTTTTTTAAAGAGAAAAATGTTTCTTTGATTTTTTTAATATTCTGTTTACTTCTCTCATTACCATGGTTTCCAAGTCTCCTTTGCCTTGGTCTCTTTCTATGAAGACTGTAGGTTTTCATGAATTTTTAGAATAGAGAACAATTTTTGGTCTATAAAATTTTGAATCCTGAAAAAGAAACAATTGTACCAAACACATGGGTATTAAATAAAGGACTTAAACCTCAGACCCTTGGATTCCTTGCTTGGATCCTCTACCGCTGGGTCGCAAGGACCCCACTGTGAACCAAGCCATTTCAAGACTCAAACATGCCTTGTGTGAGTTACCCTTTCACACCCTGACATCAGTATGCATATTCTCTGTACTGCTCTCTATATATTTCTTCAGGTGCTGAAAAGGAGAATTTTTTGAATGATCAAGAGCTTCTTTTGTCGTTGATCACTTCCTCTATTCTTGTTACCGTAATTCAAGATCCAAGGATGATATTGTAAGGAGAAATTAGATACTAGACACTGTTAGGGGTCCAAGAGGTAATGAAATATATTGAATTTTTTTCTGTATATTTTATTTTTTCTAGAATAAATCCTTAGGGAAATCACTGAATCTGAAGTCAGGACCTGTCCCAGGATCATTCCTGTTTGGAACACCTTCATACCCCTCCCCTCTGGATCGCATCAGACCAACCAAGAAGGACCGTGCCATTGAACTTGGTTTAAGCACTGCACTGCAAGACTCTCTGGACCTCAATGCTACTTTCCCCAAAGTGTATAAGGCAAAATCAAAATTGGAAGATAATAACATGGATGTTTTCAAGCCCAGCAGAAATCTTGATGATATCCATGACAGTTTCAACAGGGTTCAATAGTTCCAGCAGAAATATTGATCAATGATATCCAGATAAGTTTGATTGTACTATTTACAGGAAAGAGATTTATCAGTTGAACAGAACTGGTTCACTGTTTACTCTCAGTTCAAAGGATGATATATAATGCTAAGAAACAAAAAACCAGCTCCCTCTTGGTCTCAGCTAATGATTTGCTTCTTTTAAGATATTTGTACCAGAGAAAACCAAAAACAAAACAGCAAAGGGACAAAAGAGAAAACACAAATTCTTAAATTCCAAATGCTGAGTGATGGGTTTAGAAACCAAAATATTGCAAAAACCTACATGAAATTCTTCAACCCAAGTGATATTACACAGAACCAAAATAAAAACCTACTTGAAAGGTACAGTTACCAGCAGTCTGCTGTTACCTTTAAGGTCTCTTACTCGGATTAACACAAAGGTACATGAATATGACTTCTAATATGTTCTACTGGTAAGGTATTTTGTTATTATCAACTGAGTAAATTGGCCATTGTCAAGAGTTTCAAAGCTGACGTTTTCAGCATTAGCCCTTTGTCATTCGCTCTAACAAAGGGCTAACTCTTGAAAATCAGCTTTGAAACTCTTAACTGCGGCCAATTTACATTATCTATTGAGTTGATAATATCAAATTATCTTGTTGTACTTTCCCATCTACCCAGCACCACAGTTTCATTAAAAACCTACCCCCTTTGTTCTTATGATATATCGATTTTCAGTTAAAAGTAATGCAATTTAAAATTTGGTTGCTGTTTTCTTTTATTGTCCAGGTGATTCACTGCACAGCTTTAGTTACGCACCTGGCCATTGCCGAGGCTCTTTCCTGGAAACTTCCCCTGATCCTCGGCTGACATCTTCATGGCAGTTTTATAACTTTGTTGGTGGAGCAGGGACTGGAGCTGTCTTTCCAACAACAGTGCGTAATCCTGTAAGTAACATGTAACTGAAACTTACAAAATTATAGATGTGGAAAGTAGATATGTACTGTAAGTGTACTTCTCCCTTAAGAGAGTTAAGTAAACCTCTCCTTGTAATTTCAATACATTATCCTGTAAACAGGTAATGAAAACATACAAGCTCATGAGGTGATCTAACACCAATTTCTTCTGTCAAATTCACAAGGAAATGTATGGTTGTCAGAAGATAAAATTAACCCTTTAATTCCCAAGATCTCATTAGTAATTCTCCTTAATGTCTGCTATATAGTTCTTGTGATGTTAGTTTGGAGAATTTGGTATTGGATCAACTAGTAATCTCTTAGTTAATATTTTTCTTTTTTCTCATCACTTGTCTGCTTGATATTGTATTAATATTGTAAGGAGAAATTCTGTCTTGGTCATTTATGGGAATTAAAGGGTTATTAATTGGATCTGGAGAGTTAGAGACTGAAATTAAGATAATTTTCTCTTTGAATTTTGCTCTTTTTTCTACAGAATAAAGCAATCGTCACAATTAATGCAAGAACCTCAGAAATTTTGACAGCTAATGACATGGCAGCAGAGCTGTTTGGCTACTCTACCAAGACCCTCATTGGAATCAAAATGTCCCAGCTTTTTGCCGATGTACATAAAGAAAAGCAAGAAGCTCTTGTGGAGCAGCATATTGAAGCAAGTGGTGCTGTAGTTATGGTAAATGGGAAAGTGGTAAGTGAGCGGAACATTGCTTGATATTCTTTGCGAACTCCACCATTTGATTTGTGTTTTATGACTTATTGGGTCTAAAATAAAAGCTGACACATTGTGGGCATCAAATTTTGTGAATTTTGTGTTTAGTCATCAATCTGCAAGTATGTTTCTGCAGAGAAAAAAATCCTGTGAAATATAATAATGCAGAAATTTTCCTCTCTCAGACAGATGAAAAACTCCTTATGCAAATCAGATGACAATTTTTTTTTTAAATTCAGAGTCATGGGCTTAAATCATTACTTGTGTTTGTAAGGTGACCTATCAGAAATTTCAAACAGTAGGGTTCATTCCCTGTTAATGGTTAGCCAGAAAATTTCAAAAACTAGTACTTAGCAAAAATTTGAAGCATCTGTAGCAACAAAATTTGTTCCTGTAAATCAAAAGTTATTGTCAATCTGCAGAGTAAAACTTCAGAAAAAATGTAGTGAAAGCTAATTTTGGGCGATCCACACTCAAAATGTAATGTTGCCAATGGCAAGTAGACCTGGATTGTTGTGAATGATGCCTTGAGCAACTAAGAATGCAATTGTAGTTTTTTTCCTTCTTCATCTGTCCACAGTGAGCTCACTGTTTGTGTATTTTGATTTGATCTAGGAAAGTGAGCCAAGAGTACAAAAGTTGGAAAATTGTGGTCAATTTTTTTTTTGCAATAACATTGAAATTTTTATGCTACTTTAATGCGGCAAAGATTTTGGAACATCATACATGCATGACATTATTTGTCATTGTCAATGGCCCTTAACTAAAGAATGCACAAGAATTTGTGCAGTTATTGATAAAAATATTGAAGTGCAAGGAGAATTGTACAACTACAAGGAATGTTTCACAGTTGTGACATAATGACAGAATACTTTCATGGTGCACAGCCTTTAATAATATGGTGTTTTGACTTGTACTTTGATGCTATGAATGTTCTTTGTGATTTAGTTGGACGCTGTGGACAGTTGTGGAATTGTGTTCCCTGTTTCTGTCTGGATGAAGAAACTGACATGGGAAGAAGAACCGCGGTGCATTACTGTCATGGAACCAGTGGAAAGGAAAACAGCCATGGTGCTGTTTGATGCTGAGGTACATGATTGTATAACATAGCTTTTGTGAAATAACCCAATAACATTTGCCTCAGTAGACTATGAGAAGTCCTTTTTCCAAAAAAAAAAAAAATTGAAAAATTCAGCAGAAAAAAATTGATGTTAGCATACTGCAACATCATGCTGTGTGGAACTCTGGAAGTGAGGCACAGTGTGCTAATATCAATCTTTTAAATGTTAGCATGCTGTAATGTCATGATGTGTGGAACTCTGGAAGTGAGGCACAGTGTGCATCACTTCAATTTTCTTTTTATTGCTGATTTTGTCTTTCTTTTTGACTGGTGCAATAAGAAAATTGGCCAAAAGGAGGGACTGCTCAGCAGTTAGTGCCTCAGAAAATAGATAATTTAGTTTTGGAAGACCATAATCTAATCATAGGTATGCACCTTATTTTCAGGGTGAAATAGTGGATTGTGATCAAGATCTTGCTACTCTTTATGGTTACTATGTTACTGGAGATTTGATTGGGGTCAATATTAAAAAGTTAATACCTGCACTAGAGTTGCCAACAAGTGAGAAGATGAGTAAGGTTTGTATCATAATCAAAACAGTTGCCATTTTTCTGGAACGCGCAGTAAAGCAATTAGGCTTTGTTTTTAGAACTTTAGTTGAATAAATATGATGCATTAAACAGTGATGCATTAAAAAGTGGATCAATAGGGTAACCTACCTACAATATATATGCTTCACCCTAATCATGAGGATGGAAATGCTCCAATGGAAGTATGCTACAACCTGTCTAATGGAAGCTGACCATTATTTGCTGCTTACATAGAAATGTGTAGTCACTGAGACTTGTCCTCTGAAAAAGACAGGGTTTGTGCAGAATCTTTAATTCTTGAAAAAGCATCTAGACATTTGCAAATTAATTTCCAGACCTGGAATTATTATGAAGATAAAGTGTGGGAAAAATGGAAAGAAGTCTGAAATTTTTCACAAGCAGCGGCAAGTGCTTAATTGCCAAATGAAATATTTGTATGGTTGTTAAATTTCCAGTAAATTACTTTCACCAAAACATTTCAAATTGCGATTTTACAATTATTATAGAAATTTTACCCAGCCCTCAACATTGTGGCATTGCATTTGAAGACTAGATGAAGCAGTCAAAATGTTTCTGTTCTCAGTTGATAACTCAACTCTTGAATTAACAGTGATTTTAAAAGCAAATCATCAAACATTTGTGTATCATCAAAACCATGATAAACAAAAATATAATTTACAACCCACACACTAATTTCTTTTTACTTTTTCTCTTCAAGCATGTCAAAAAGCAGAGAGCAACTGGAAGAACAAGGGATGGGGGCACATTTCCACTGAGTATCTCCCTTAAACCAAAATATGGCAAGGATCTGAAGAAGCTTGACCGCGATAAAAAATTTGCTGATGATCAACTTTTCTTCAAAGGCTTGGTGTGGGTATTTGCTAACATCAGTGGGCTGGTTACATTCACACCTGATGGAGTTATCCATTCCTGTAATCACAACTTTGCTCTCATGCTTTTTGGTTATGCCCAGAAAGAGCTGGAAGGAAAGGTAACACTTAAGTTTTATAATGGTAATTTTTATAAAAATGACAAAAATGATGATGACAAATATGAATGATGATGACAATGAACAATGATTAATGAATGATGAGGATGAGGATGATGATGACAATGGTGATGAACAATGGAGATGAGATGCAGATGAACAATGATGATGAACAATGACAATGAACAATGATGATGAACAATGACAATGATGATGAACAATGACAATGAATGATGATGATGAACAATGATGATGAATGATGATGATGAATGATTACGATGAACAATGATGATGACCAATGACAATGAACAATGACGATGAACAATGACAATGAATGATTACAATGAACAATGATGATGATGAACAGTGACAATGAACAATACTGGTGATGATGAACAATGCGGATGAATGATTACAATGAATGATGACAGTGAATGATGACAATGAACAATGATTATGAGGATGACAAAGACGATGATGAAGACAAAGACTACAATGATGACAATGATGATAACAATAACGACGATAATGATAGTAAAGAGAAATACAAAATCAATCATCATAATAATATTTTTTTATAACAATTATAATACATTCATGTTGTAGCACTTTTCACAAATGTAAACAGTTCTAAGCCAAATTGTACAATGTGCAAGTTGACAAGTTTTTTTATTGACAGGCTCAAACTTCAAAATTCAGTTGGTGATATACTGCTTCTTGTCTAGAAGTCAAAGTTTGCCAGGAGCCCATGTTAGACTAAAAAAAATTCCTCAAAAGGCGCTCATTAATTTGTAAAGTATCTCCAGCATTTTGCAACTTGGTGCCACTCTTGATCCAGCAGTTTTTTAAACAGAACAAGAATTGAGTTTGGAGTGGACTGTCAGATTACATTTGATTGTTGCTGTAATTTCTTCATAGCATGTAACTGACCTTATCCCAAACTTCTATGATGATATGGAAGATGTTGACGACAACAGTATGCCACTCCCCCCGTTCGATGACGAGGATGATGAGTTTGATTACGATTATGATGATAATGATGAAGACGGTTACAGGGATTCTAAAGAACGGAAAAGTACAGTGGTTTACACTCGTGAACTTGATTCTAAAGCTAGTAACTACAGCGGAGGAAGTCGTGGTAAATTATTTTCATGTTGGTGTTGTTTTTAGTTACCTGTTGTGTTGCATATATGTTGGTATTCTTAGACACAAGTCATAAGAAAGGTGAAAGTTTTTATATTTTGTATTTTCTCGAATAAATGCCCCTAATAAGCCCCTTTCCCCTAAATAACTGCTCTCCCTTAGGCCATTATATCAAACAATTGCCCCCCTCAAATAAGCTCCCCCCCTCCCTCTGGGATATTTCTAACTTTTCAAGCTTCGGCTGCAACAAAATCAGCACAAGTTAATAATTTCTTAGTAAGTGCCTCCCTTGATTGAGTGTTCTCCCTCCAATAAGTTCTCATCCCTAAGCAGAAATTTTAAATAAGCAGGCAGGCGCTTAGTCAAGGAAATATGGTACTCGTTCAAGCCACATGGGTCTAGCAAACTCACACCCATGCTGCTGTCAACCTCAACTACAAAAAAATCAATCCCTGTTCAATACATGTGGTAACAACATTCTTTTTTCTACCACAAGAGGGGAACAATTTCGATGACTCCGTTACAAGTTCACTCAGTACAAGCACAGGCCTGAGCAGTTCTCATTCAACTGTTGGTAGTATTAAATGCAATGCAAATGAGGAGAAATCCAGAGACTTACAATCTACATCAATGAGCACTACATTTCTTGACAAAGAGAGCATGGTTGCAAACTTTGGAGATAGCAAAATAGAGAACAGTCTCAGTGAACCCAGCTTTTCTTCTCTTGGGTCTGGATCGTTCACTTCAGTGGTGAATGCTGAAGACAGTGGGATAGATGACAGTGGTGGAAGTGCAGAGAAGGATCGTTTAGAGTCGGGAGAGGACAGGTATGACGTGCAGGGTGGGCCTGTGGCTGTCTCATCACCTGCTGACTCATCAATGCCGATTGTAGAATGTAATAAAGAAGAGGACAAGTTGTCTTGGACTGGGTCTTTCTCTAATGATCAAAATCAAAATGAAATTTTTGACAAGGAAAATGTAGCAGATGGTGAACTGCAGGAGGAATCACTGGAAAGCAGTGGGGAAGGTATTAACAGTATTGCACCTTGTTGTCTTAACAATGCTAGATTTTTAACTACTGGAATAAGTTTCACTGAGGGTAGCCAATATATTTAGCAATAGTTAAGAAAAGATCACTTATTCTCTGCAATGTTTCATTAGCATCATACACTTTATAGCTGTCCTCTTTGCGGAGTCTGGGGGTGCAGTGGGGGGGGTCATGGGACATCCATGACTTCCCCCTCCTCCCCTTTGTGAGATAATTCTGTACTTCATGTTTCATGAAAAGGGCAAGTCTAAGGAATATACATGCCAAAAATGTTTAAGTAGTGGATGGATGGGACATGAAAATTTCTATCAGCAATCTCCCTCTCCCCTTTTGAAAAATATTGTTCTTACTAACCCCCTTACACATCGTTGCATGAAGGATTTTGGATTACCTAGTTCTGTACAGCTTTCATAGGGTTGTCAAAAATATTTCTTGTAACTGGACTGTGATACCAAGTAGACGGCATGTTTTCATGTGTCCATGCTGATAATTGAGCTACACGCTTTTGGAATAGTGAATGTGTTTTCCAGAGTAGATTGTGAAATTCACTTGTTGTTTGCTTATATTGACAACCCTGATTTCATAAAAGCATGCAAAGTTAAACAAGCCAAAAGTTAGTCACCTGTGGCACTAAGGTTTTGCTAGAGAACATCGCTACATTTTATACTAAAACAGTAACAGCTAATTTTAACCTATCCTGAAATTGTCTTGCCTTAACAGTCCAACAAGTCACAAGTTCCCAGTCATCGGGAAACACAAGTGAGACATATTCTCTTCCAAGTACTAATGGAAACCATTCAACTGCTGACACATCACTTACAGACCCACAAATTCAAAATGAATCACCAAAGAGATCACCGAACTCTCCACAAAGAGATGATTATCTCTTTGAAGGACTTACATCTACACCTAACATTGTGACAAGCTCGGGTCGCACAGACATTGCCTCTCCCTTGCAACCTGTTTGTGAAGGAAGCTTCATTGGCCAAGCCAGACATAAAGATGGTTCACCTCTGGCAATAGTTTTCCAGGTATTAATCCTTTGACCTCTAAGAGTGACCAGTATCTAACTTCTCCTTACAACATCACCTTTGAATCACATCTTAAGGTCACGAGAATGAAGGAAATGATCACCAACTAAAGATGGTCTTGATTGTTAACAGATTCTCCCTATCAGCACCTTCGGAAATGTATAGAGAACAGTGTGGAGAATTTGTATACTGATGATAGGGTGTAAAGGGTTTATGGTGAATTTGTTTTTGATTTAGATTCAAGGTTCCAAAACCAATGTTGTAATAGTCATTGGGGTGTTTGAGGTTTTTTGATTTTGATCTTTTTGAGAATTGAAAACAAACATTGAATAGAGTGTGCCTTTCAGAATTATACAGTAATGTTCTCATGCACTGCAGCCTTACATGTGCTTAAAGCATGTGCAAACATGCAAAACATGCATACTGCACATCACTTTGTGCACTTGCATCTAAACTACACAAAATCAGTCAAATGGAACTCATTAAATGCATGTACTGAAACAAAAGTGCATGTAATTAGACATAAAGCTCAGATTCTTAATTTATCATGAGATTTGCAAATTCATCTTTAATTTTTTTTCCTCTGCACATGCAATAACTTTTTGGGTTCTTTGCAGATTTAAGTTTCAGATAGTTTTCTCTGATTGCCAAGAGTTTGAAAAAACAAATATTTTTATCAACAGATTAAGAAAATCGAATTGAATGATGGTCGTGTCTTGTTCTGTGCATGGATATCGCGTGACCCAGAAGATGAAGGAGAAGGGGGAAGATCAACCAGCAGTTTTGCTTTAGCATCAAGTTTTAACAGTATGGAGTATTCAGTGGCCAACCTAGGAGAGGTGAATTATGGAATCCTACAAGTGTAGAGTTTTAAAGATTAGTAAGACTAAAAACACTTTGAAACTCATACATTAGAGACTAAATTTTATCCTCTTTTATTTTCAGCTCAGTCAACAATTGAGTGAAGGAAGTCTAAGGGAGGAACCATCCCCAGGGCGTGGTCGATATGATGAGAGGTACATCACCCTCCAATCAATAGGAAAGGGTGCATTTGGTTTTGTAAAAGTGGGTCAACGCAGATCAGATGGAGTAAAGGTCAGTATCTTATTTTTATTTTAAGGTAGAACTTTCAGTTGAATGTTCTGCAATGTCAGGTAAATAACATTTATCATTCTGTCAGTAGCTTCATTGTTTTGGATTGAATCAATTGAAAATAATAAAGAATCCATTCCTAGAGCTCAGCCATCCTTTACTGATGCAGCTTAACCAGTTTCTGAACACTGCAGTCATCTTTAGCTTATTTAACCCTTCAACTCTTGTGTTAGACCAAGACAGAATTTCTCCTTACAATATCAATACAATATCAAGCAGACAAGTGATGAGAATAAAAAAAAACTATCAATTAGGGGATTATTATTCAGTCCAAATTAAATTCTCCAAACTAATATCATGAGAGTTGTATGGGAGACAGTAAAGAGAATTACTAAATTAGATCATGGCAAGTAAAGGAGGAGAGGGAATAAAGATGAGGAAGAAATGCCTCCATTTATTTCCAGCCATTTCTCTCTCCTCTTCTCTGATGGATTGGCCTTCATTTTTATCACAATGTTATATGTGGTTGTAATTTCCAGGTCATTGTCAAGTTCATCAGAAAAGCAAAAATTCTGGTTGACTGTTGGGTAGAAGATGCAATCTTGGGTTCAATTCCATTGGAAATTGCTTTGCTGGCAAAGTTTAAACACCCAAACATTGTAAAGGTAAAGCATACATTTGTACTTGTTCCTAGCTCCTGGAATTCTACACATTAGTATATATTAGGTAATTCAGTATTATCAAATGAGTTGATAAATTGGCCACGGTAAACTCATTACAGTGGCTAGTTTACGTTATCAACACAGTTGATAATACTAAATTACCCTGTTATACTCTCCCACTGATGTAGCACCACAGTTTCTTTAGAAACGTACCCATTTTATACACTAGTATTAATATAGTGTTATTGAGTCATGATATTTTGAAGTTAACAATTAACATTATAGTGGATATAATGGAGGTGAGCTTTTGCCAGGGTACTTGTCAGCTATTGGATTTGTGAGAACTCTGCACTGAACTTCTATGCAGAATTCTCTTACTAAATTTCAATGGCCTGTCAGGCTATTTTTTTTCTAGGTCAAGGAGCTGTTATCATATATCTTCTGTTAATCTTCACTTCTTTAATGCCACCTCATTTCTTAATCCCTCTAAACTCTAAGTGTGATTAGCATCTAATTTCTCCCAACAGAATCACCCCTGAATCAAACATTAAGGTCATGAGAATTAAAAGAAATGATTGCAAACTCAAGAAGCTCTTGATTGTTGGAAAAATTCTACTTAAAATTACAGAGGAAGTATGAAGAACTAAGATACTGATGCTATTGCTGAAAGAAATGTCAGTGAGAATTTTCTTGTCTTGTAGATGCTAGAGGCTTTTGAAAATGAAGAATTCTTTCAGTTGGTCATGGAGAAGCATGGAAGTGGAATGGATTTGTTTGAGTTTATCGACAGACAGCCAGCAACAGATGAACCCCTCTGCAGTTACTTGTTTAGACAGGTATTCATCCCAGTTTCTATGTTAAATTTCTGTGTTTATTGACTTTTGTTTGTCTTTTGTGAGGAAAAAAACCACTATCTTGTGAGTCATGTTAAGCTAGCAAACTATTGTTAACACTTTGACTCCCATGAATGACCAAGACAGAATTTCCCCTTACAATATCAATACAATATTAACCCGATAAGTGATGAGAATAAAGAATAACATCAATTTGGGGATAATTAGTTCATCCAATACTAAATTCTCTACACTAACATTATGGAAATTGTATGGTTGACAGTAAGGAGAATAACAAATTTGATCTGGGAGTTAAAGGGTTATTAAATAGGCTCTATGTTGCTGTGGGTCTGTTCAGTAACAGATTATCAATGATGTCAAAATGCAGTAAGCACTGAAAAGTGGCACATGAGGTGCAGCTGAATGTGTCTCTGATGTTCTTACACCAAGCATATTTCTGTACAAATATGATGTTGTGTTTCTTTGTGTATCCATCTGATGTAATTTTTTTTCTCTGCTGTAGGTTGTTTCTGCTGTATCCTTCCTTCATAGCAGAAGTATACTTCATAGGGATGTGAAGGTAAGTTTTTAACCCATGAATTCCTTGAATTTGCTTTTGCTACCACTCAGTGTTGCCATTTCACTTCTTTCACTTCCACACAAATTTTCAGCGTGATACTGAGTGACAACCTATAGTGATTTGCATATTGAATAAGAGCTAAAACTTTCTACTATTGGCTGAAACAATTACAATCATCTGGCAACCAAATAAAAGGGTTTTTCTTATCAGTCAAAACACAAGAAGTCCACAGTGTGGATACGCACTCTTGGGAATAAGACACAGTGATGCAAGAGTGCAGATATGCACTATGGGGCTTAAAGGGTTAAACCCTCAGCCCACTCTTTAACTCCCAAGATGTAATGGTTAATTCTCCCTAATAACTGCTATACATTTCCTTTTGAATAAGTTCTGAGAATTTGATGTTTTATCAAGATGACAAGTTCTACCTGATAATTTTGAGTATTTTTATTACCTGTTTTCTGGGTAATGTATGGATGTTATAGGAAGAAGTTACCTGTTTTGCTTCTGCAAGTTAAATTGATAATGGAGTGAAATACTTTGCTGCCCCATACAAGCAAATGGCACAATGATTGCTGCGCAGAGCTGTAATTCTGAGCTGCTCTTAAATTTCTAAATATTTTTGGAAGACACAAGCTCTTTGGGCTGTTATGTTTATTCACTTGTAAATAATCTTAATTGCAGGATGAAAATATCATCTTGGATGAGAAATTCCATGTCAAGTTGATTGACTTTGGGTCAGCAGCATACATGGAAGAAGGCAAAAAGTTTTGTACATTCTGTGGCACAATGGAGTACTGTTCACCAGAGGTCCTGATGGGAAACAAGTAAGTATTTCCTCTGCTATTTCTCTTTGTGAATCCAAGCTCCCTTTTCATCATTCTCCTTCTGTATCATTGCCCATAACACTTCTGTTGGCCAATAGATCATGACCCTGTAAATGGTGAAAGCAGCCTATCACATAACTAGACTTTTAATCAGATTTATCAACTGTGGTGTTTCAAGGAATTGCAACTCCTAGAAAAGCTGTAAGAACACATGTAAAACTACAATGCAACTCTGTCATGTAGATAAAGGAATGGCGAAGCGTTCACCTTGAATAATTAGTCAACCATTCTTGTCAATAAAGGCTAATGGTCGGTTGTGAATATGTGAAAGTCATATATTTGAACTGCGGTTTAAGACGTGAATGCAAAAGCGATCTTCGCAGTAATGAACACTACTTAAGCAGTAGTGGAAAGAAGGCCTGAGAAAAAATTTAGGCCTGTACGGGATTTGAACCCACGATGATGATCAAATTCATGTCTTTAACCGCAGTTCAAATATATGACTTCCATATACTCACAACCCTTTATTAACCACTTCCTGGGTTTATTTGGAACCAACACAGTGACCAGCTCCCGGTTGGCTTGTTAGCTCAGTTGGTAGAGCACTGCACTGGTATTGCAGAGGTCATGGGTTCAAATCCCGTACAGGTCTAAATTTTTTTCAGGCCTTCTTTTCACTACTGCTCAAGTAGTGTTCATTACTGTGAAGATTACTTTCACATTCACAAAGGCTAATGGTGTTTATATAATAAACAAAGTGATACATGGTTACTTGTAGATGTGGAATTTCTCTTCTATGCACACCCATCTTTTACCTGTATTCTCTTTTAAATTTTATTAATAGGTATTAAAAAAAATCAAAATCTGTTGTATCTTACAGATATGCAGGACCACAATTAGAACTCTGGTCAATGGGTGTCACGTTGTACACTCTAGTATTTGGTGAGAATCCATTTTATGATGTTGAGGAGACCATATGTGCAGAGCTACATCCTCCATTCCTTGTCTCAAATGGTAAGAAATATTTTTCCCATACACCTTTTTCCTTCCAAGATCTGACTGTTAGATCTTCCTTTCCTCTAGCAGCTGCACTTTTCCTTGTAAATTATCCCTTTTTTATGAGAAGTTGGTGTTTAATCAAGATATGTAACAAGTTCTACCTGATAATTTTGAGAATTCTCTTTAACTGTTTGCTGGGTGATGGATGGATGTGATGGGGAGAAGCTATATGTTAATCACTTTTGGAATTTAAAGGGTGAACCATACATCAGTGACGAGGGTAGTTGATTTGTCTGTCAATGTGTCTTCGTTATTCAAAAACAAACAAACATCATCTTTATTTTCCACATTTTCAAGATTATGTACACTTTCACTAGCTTCTCTGTGACTGAAACCATCATCTACCAATGATGACATTTATATGTCCAGTATCACTTGGGGAGAACATTGTTACTTTGGAGGACAGAAATTACTAGCAGTAGTGTGTCTCAGTGATTGCATTGACAAAGAAAACAAGAACAACTTTCTATCTTGAACACATTCAACATCGTAGATTGTAGTTTTCACCAACTTCAAATGATGTTTAGTGGAGTACTCTGGGAGGGTTACAATAAAAGTTAAGAGGGAATCCCTTTGTAAGGAACCCCTTTCTCTCTCAAGATCTTATTGGCAATTCTCCTCACTGTCAGCCGTACTAATCTTATGGTGTTAGCTAAAAGAATTTGATATTTGATTAACTTGTAATCTCCTAATTGCTATTTTTCTGCATTCTCATCACTTGCCTGCTTGATATTGTATTGATATTGTAAGGAGAAATTCTCTCTTGGTCACTCATGGGAGTTAAAGGGTTAACATAACTAATACTGTGGTTATTGTGTTTACATAACAGATCTTATGTTTATTATCTGTTGGCTCCTACATCCTGATCCTCGCTGGCGGGCCACAATCAGAGACTTGGAAGAAAATGAATGGATAAACCAACCTGTGGACATCACCAATTACTCCTTTGACGCTGTTATGGGTGAGTTTATTTTTTAATAATGGTTCAGACCAGAAGGAAATTTCGTTTACTTCAGTCATTATCTCAGGGTAGCTAATACAGGTTGATAGGTATCAGAAACTTAAGGTAGCCAGTTTTTTAGCTGACAGGCGGCACATGATTAGAACCCTGTCATTACAATCTGTTAGGCATCAGAAAATTAAGGAAGACAGTATTTTAGCTGGCAGGTGGCACTTAATGATAACCCTGTCATTAGAATCTGTTAGGCATTGGAAACTTAAGGTAGCCAGTTTTTTAGATGTCAGACAGCACATAATGAGAACTCTGTCATTAGAAACTGTTAGGCGTCAGAAACTAAAGGTAGCCAGTTGTTTAGCTAACAGGCAGCACTTAATCCATTAGATGTTGGAAACTTAAGGTAGCCAGTTTTTTAGCTGGCAGGAGGCACTTAATGATAACCCTGTCATTAGAATCTGTTAGGCATTGGAAACTTAAGGTAATCAGTTTTTTAGCTGACAGGTGGCACTTAATGATCACCCTGATAATGGTGGTAGGTTGGAGAAAACCTGTACATGGTAACGCTGAAGGGATTAAAATTTGTCCTCTTGATTTCTGTTTTTCTCAGCTGATCAGGTAGATGGTACACAACACCTTTTACAGTTACCACCAGGTGCACTGAATAACAGCCCTGGTGATCCAGACCTCTCACAAGATGAAGTCATTGATTATGGTCACCATGACAACCTACAGCTGTCAGCCCTCCAAGAATATCTCAGTTTGATTGACAATGAGGATAGTGAGGGTGAAATGTGATGTGCAGGGATGGAATCTCTGCTGATTTCAAATTTTATTATATTCTTTTAAAAGCAGCCAATCACAGGAATTTGTATGGCTTCACTTTAGATACTCCATTAAAGCTTCACCCTTTCACTCTCAGCAGTGACCAAGACATACTTTCTCCTCACTATGTCAATACAACATCAAGCAGATGAGTGATGAGAATATAGAAATATATCAATTAGGATATTATAATCATTTGATCCAATACTAAATTCTCCAAACTAAAATTATAAGTTATATGAGGCAGCTAGTAAGAAGAATTACTAAGGAAACTTTAGGAGTGAAAGGGTTAAGATGGAATTCTTTTTTTCATACGGTGAATGACTAGGTGCAAATTTAATGAGTAAGTTAACACTTGTGCAAGCAAAGGTTGCCCTTCCTGGCAGTGAGGAGGAGAGTCTTTTGTGCCATTTAAAAAGAATTGTTGATAATAACAATAACGGTGATGTCAAGAAAAATGCAACTACAATTACATATAAGGGAGTTATTAGTGGCTTCAGTCTGTTGTCGCTCAATTTGTATAGTTCACCCTTAACATTGCTTTTATTTGGAATGGATAATACTGGTTTTTTAAAATGAATTTTTAAGCTGCCATTTTGGTTCAGTTAATGAATATTTTAAAAGTGAAGTTTGCAAGTTGGAGATCATCTAATTATTTAATAATAAATTATTAATGATATTTTCTGTTACATGAAGTATTGTGGCAGTGATGAAATTATGTTAGGAGTTGATTATAAAACTTGGATTTAAATTTCTTGTTTTCCAGAAGGAAAATTTTGCTCTTGGTTTTTAGTTTTAATGATTTTATAGTGGTGAGGTTTGGTTTATTTTAAGCTTTAATAACAGGGTTACTGTGAAACTTGGAAAATGTTATAGAGAAAGATGTTTTTTGTCTCGTCACGAGTATGAGACAAAGGAAAAAAATTCTGAGTCCCATGAGGAAAAACATCTTTCTCTTTTTCTTTACCGAGCTCAAAACTTTTCATCTCTCTTATTCTATTTGGGAAAATGTTGTACACCTGAAATTTTCAAGAAATATTATTGTGTTTAAAGGGAGAGATCAATCAAGTATCTGGAAACCAGACAGAGAACAGTAAGGATAATTATTATCCTATTTGGACAGTTGGTTGTTTTAAATTGTGACAACAGGTTTGACAGGTTGGTGAGGCTTGTGTGAGTGAGTCAGGAGAGATATGACCACTTGTCTGTACTATTCTTTGACTTTTTTTCTTTTTTTCCTGTCTTCTTAACTCTCTAATTATTTTGTGCCAGTTCTCAACTTCAAGATGTTTTGAGAAGCCTAGGCATTATGGTATTTTCTCTGGGAAGAATTTATGCACCTTTGCCAGTGCAATATTTATCATTACCAGGGTAAAATGTAGACTATATGAAGGCCCTCCTTTTTGGCTAAGTCTGTTGCATGGGTGAAAATAAAAAATTAGTGAGAAAAAATAAAAAAGTGATGCTAGGGTGTTGGGGAGCTCTTGCAGTGAGTTTGTTGCGCCATAGAAACTGTGGGTGAGGCTTACTTTTGCGGCACATAGAGCTCCTGTGGTGGTCCTGTTTTTTCTCTGATTTTTCTTTGAGCTTTGCTAAAGAGGAGGGACTGCCTGCAGTCTACAGTAGGGAAAGTGGCGAGCAATGCCTAGCTGTTTTTTTTCCCAATTTTAGTGGTCACAAAGAATTCCCTTATTATTTGTAATTTTTTGCAAGCTTCACATTATGTACAGATGAATATTTTTATCAAAACTTCAATTATTATTGTAAATATTATGTGTGGACTGTATATTGGAGTTATACATCATAGTTGGGACAAATAGTGCTCCAGCATTAAGGCAGAATATTATTAATAACTTCATTGTTTAATCATATGATCTTTGGTTTTACTTAACATTGTTACAACATTCTGCACCAATCAATTTAAAGCTTCAACATCCTCCCCCATCCTGGGTGACCCACAGGCATTTGACTCTTCTCCATGCTGCAGGGGGGAAATTGAACCTTACCTGGCTGGGGAGTGTGAATTCTTTCCAGAAGAATGCAAATGTTGTATCTTTAAATGTGGAGGTGTTGAAAGGTGAAAATTGATAGATGCATTAGTTTTCATGCTTTGAGCCTTAAGAGTGACCAAGATCTAATTTGTCCACACAATTTCATCCCTGAATCACTCTTTAAGGTCGCAAGAATGAAGGATATGATCACCAACTTAAGAAGCTTTTGATTGTTAAATGAATTCTCCTTCTTAGCACCTCAGAAGATGTACAGAAAACAGTATGGAGAACATGCATACAGATGTTAGGGTGTAATGGGTTAAAGATGCTCTACCCTTTTTTTTTGGTCATACAGTAAATGGTTTGAACCTGATGGGTAGGCTATGTACATGTTGTCTTTTAGTCTATTCATCTGGGTGACTGGAGTCCTGACAATTGCTAATGTTAGTTGTAGTAACTGATCTTTTAACAACCTTTGCAGAAGTCATTATCAGTGTCGTGTCACTCTAGTGTCATTTCAAGGCCTTCGATGTTGATGGCTTCTGCTAGGTCAGTTGAAATGTCAGTCTCTGTCACCATGAATAGTCCAAAGGTCAGACTACAATATCAAATATTCATTGCAGTGTAGATTATGACTTGCCTGAAGTCAGTAACACTCTTATACCCCTTTTCAACCAAAGTTTAAGCATGTGTGAAAGCTGTTTTTTTAAACAGTGCAACTTTCTTTTCTTCCCAGAAATTTCTTGAACCCATGTTTGTCGACTTCAAATTCAGCACCTTTAAAATACAAGTTAGTGACTACTTGGACCCTAAGGAAAATTCAGTTTTTCAGTTTTCTGTTGCTAATTTTCTTTCAGTTAAACCTGGTTTAACTAAACATGTTTGCTTATGTGAATGGGGTATCAGTAGGTAAATAAATTACTATTTTAAACGTATTTAAAGACAGACACCTGAGAACATTCGACACATCCTGCATGTTAATGTGTAAAATTATTTTTAATTAGTTAATTATTTTCTGAAGTTGGTTTTTGTTCCAAGGTCACAGTAGTGATTTGAACATTTATACATTAAGTTATTCATCAAACAAAGTAAAAGAGGTCTTTGACGTCTGTGTTTAATTTGTGGTTGTATTAACTTGTGTGAAAGTGCTTTTTGATTGAGTGTTGTAAAATCAATCCTAAAGTGATTACAACAGCCACCCAGAGCAGAGGGAAATGTTACAATGAGTCAATAACTTCTTTGTAGCTCATTGTTAGTGATGGATTTGGGCCAATTACTGGTGGGGAGGGGAAGGGACAACAGGCCATTTTACAGTTGAGTACTTGGTTACAGAGCCTTTGATTTGGAGTGAGGCTAAAGATGATCTTATTATGATAGAGACCAATATCTAGTTACCATGATAACAAAGTAATTTGCATTTGAAAAGCAGCAATGTTTGTATCATAACAAGGTCAACCTTTGCCTCGCTCCTGTTCAAAGGCTTGGCAACCAAGCACACAACTGTAAAATGGACTAGCATTCCATCCAGGGCAGAGTAACAATACTTTGCTGCTTCATGCTATGGAGCCCAAGATAAGTTTTGTTGCTTTGTGTGCCTCTAAGACAGATAACAGTCTTAAAAGTTTTCAAGTGACCTGAATACACAGTTTGAAAAAGAAATAGTCCCAATTTTTTTTAAGTACCCAGTCCATTTAAACCTATTTTGTCAAACAAAAAAGCTCTGCTATACTTGGATATTTCGTGCAATCAGTCAAATCACCAATTTGTTGACTATGCACTTATTGGATACTTGTCAAAGTTTTTACCCGAATGCTGTTTCACATAGTTTTACTTCATATTTCATTGTGAAAACCATTCTGAATATCAACTCATCCACTCTATCTCTTACAGGAAGATTTATTAACTTTCTTAATTTGCTTTTATTTCTTTTAAAATTTTGTACTTATCTTACAATATTTAAAAATCACATATTTGCCATGAGAAAGTTTTTGCAAAGCCTGTGTGAGTTATATCTTGGGTGAAAGATATTTACAAGTTTAAAGGTTTGCCAAATCACCTTTGTTAGTAATTCATGAATGACTTGGTTGCAATTACTTTGCTTTACTGACAAACTCAGGAAGTGTATTGGAGTTTTTTTTTATTTACTGTACTTCCTCAAGTTAGCACCCAAGTGCTTATGAAGAAATATAAAATGGTTTCTGTGTTTACATAGCCTGATGTAAACACGCGGGAGGTTGGGAGAACACGAGATAAGCGTAGGAAGCTATGACGCGAAGTGGAGTGGTTTCCAGCTTATCAAGTGTTCTCCCAACCTCCCAAGTGTTTACACCAGGCTATGTAAACACGGAAACCATTTTACATTTCTTTTATAAAATAACTAATGAAAGAGGAACGAAAACCATGTTTACATACACTCATGTAAAATGGTTTTATGGCCAATCAGAGCGCACGTACCATTTGAATTATTTTATAATTTAATTTTTCACCCAAAAGGAGGAGTGCTTTTGGACGGAGGTAGTATATTGGATAGAAGGCTCTTACTGGAAGGAGGGAGCTTATTGAAAGGACAGCACTTGTGGGATGGAGAGTACTTATTTGAGGGTGGTGCTTATTAAGAAACTATTCTCTTATACTGGTTCAGCTGTAGTTGAAGGTTGAAAAGTTATTAAAAAAGGTGGCAATAGAAACAGGTTTTCCTTGTTTCCTTACTAATTCAGAAAGTGAGAGAGAAGGGCAGGGTGCTTATTTGATATTTTGGCCAAGGGTATGAATGTTTGACGAATGGAGGTTTTCAGAATATGGGTGCTTCTTTGAGGAAATACAATAAACCTTCAGTTACACATTAGTATCTTCATATGAAAAGTCACCATTAGCTTCACCATAATGAACAACATAAGAGGGGAGGATGTGATGAGAGTTGAAAATGACCAGTTCTTTTCCGTCAGGGGAGGTGTGAGAGTCATGACCCATCTCCAGGGGCTCCCCATGGATCAGTTTGGTACATCCATAGACTTTGCCAGGGAGCACCTGACAGAGAAGGAGCCTTGATGCACCTCGGATGTATTTCATTGAATAGGAAGGATACTCACTGAAATAAACACCACGGCCATAATCTCCTGGGTAAAATAGAAAAAATTTCAGCTTAAGTTATGCTTTATCAAACCTGATGATGATTGAAGTTTTAGTAAGGGTTGTAAAGTCAGCTACACAAAAATCTCCTTCCCTTGGGATGGAATAGATTCTACTGAGCTAGCTAGCTAGATCACAAGAAAATGATGATGACCACAATGATAGTGATATTGGAGAAAGGCATATAAGAAAGGCTTTTATAGAAGAGCTTCTGAAAAGAGAAGGTATTGTCATAGGGGGGGGGCTTTTTAGACATATGTTCAATTGAGGGCCTGAGATTACAGTATTAGAGACGGGAATCTTGGTGGCAATTAAACTTGGCTCTTCAGAACTGTAACTTACAATTATTACCTATATCAGTTGCATGCTCAAAGTTTGCCTCTCCAGGAACCCTGAATCCTGTATCACAAATAGAATGAATGTTGGTCTCTTTTGTCCCATGGAAAGCTAACACAGGGTACGACATCTTCTCTCCACGAACTTCTTTCAGCTTCTGTCTGGCTCTCTGGAATCTTCTTATCATAACTGGATTCACTACGTAGTCCACCTTGGTAACACGATACTTATCTGTTGTATCAACAAGTCTATAGAACTGAGATTCTGTGAGATTAAAAAAAAAAAGATCGAATAAAAATTATGGTGGAAACTTTTGGTACCAAAATTTGATTGTGAAGGTTGGGTTTAACCATGACTTATAGTAAATTGATGTACACAGCTAAGAACAGTCAGGTACAGAAAATTTGGAAACAAATGGGAATAAAGGAGTTGTTTGTAGTCATGGGGAAAGGGGGAAGGGTGAGGGGGGGGGAGGGAGGAAGGGGATGGAAAATATCCTCTCCCTTCCCATCCTTGTCTGGGAAGAGAAAGGGAAATGAAAGAACAAAAACAAAGTCAACATATACTAATAATTAATCCACAGCATTTCAAAGAGGAGGGCAATGGAAAAGAGGCTAACATGTGGGATGTCGAAGAGAACAGGAAGAAGAGGAGACTCCCTTCCTCTAATGCTGCCTTAGAAAGAGGCACCCCAAGACTTCTTGTAGCTTTTGCAAGTGGGGCCTGGTTTCAGAACCCAGCACTTAGAACTCTTTGTACTTTGGGTAAACAAACAGGCCTGAGGAACTATGATGGTTTTCCAGTTAACCCCTTTAACCCCTAAGAGTGACTAGCATCTAATTTCTCCTTACAGCATCTCCCCTGAATCAATTATTAGGGTCATGAGAATAATGGAAATGATCAACAACTACAGAAGCTTGGGATCGTTAAGCTAATTCTCCTTATCAGCACCTTAAAAAATGTATAGAGAACAGTAGGGGATGCCCCCCTCCCCCCTGCCCCAACTCATGCCTTGCAATTCTAACCTGCAAGACGAAAATGCATCTGAGCGGCTGATCCCTCTTTGTACTCCCTCTCAGCAAAAAGTGGAAAATAGCACAAGTCATCTTTATCCAAAGCCTCCTTTTCTCCATCAACCATCAGTTGCCCTCTCTCTAGCTGAGAATGCACCCGTCTGAGCTCTTTGTTCTTCTCGTCAATAATTTCTAACGTTTTATCAAGTTCCTTTTTCAAGAGATCTTTCATTTCAAAGGCCCTTCTTATGAGTTCCCGGCGTTCGGATTCGGAAAGAAGAGAGTAGCACTTTACGATGCTGGGACCACGACTTAAAACTGTGTCGTTTCTTGACAATCTGAAAGACAATTTTTGCCGGAATTCAGCGATCAACATTTATTTCCTGAAGCCATAGGGCGAGAAAAAATTCCCTAGAAACTCAGATGAGTTTGATTCATGGATAACACTACAACGGAACATTCACTAATGAACAAAAGACGTAAGTAAATTAAGTACAATTAACACTCCATAATTTTAATTATGGGTTAAAATCCCGGAAAATTTGTTTTTTTCTATCGGGGGGACTCACACTTTCACACGGGCTTAAAAATCATCGCGCCAAACTGTCTAGTTTTGTGCGACCATCAGACTTGCTAATCTAAAGAACACTGCACTGTCCATTACAAACTTTAGACAGCTTTCAAGGTTATGGCTTCAAGTGTCGTCTACAATTGTTATGTAAATGTCCTAGTATCTTATTAGTTATATTAGATGTGTTAGTTCATCAACAAAATAAATAATTTTGCCTTTAAGATGTAAAATGGAATTATTAAGCGCCTCTCTTCATAAATCTTCCCCTCGCGAATACAAAAACACTCGAAGCTGTTTTTCGCGTGACAACTGGCAAGTCACATCAAGCGCAGCTGGCTGTTGCAAATCTAACATGCTGCCAACCTTTGTTCTCATTCTATGTTTGATAAGAGCTTATTCCCTGCTCATTCTAAAAATACTTACTGCGATCCCAAACTATCGCCACTTAAATGCTCTTCGCGTGATTTTGACGGAAAGAATTTATCATCTTTGTCATTTTCTTCCTCATCGTCAGAATATAAATCCTCGTCGTCGAAAACCGGTTGGGTGCATTCAACCTGGTAATTCGGCAACTCCACCACATCGCATTCCTCTTCTTCATGTTTTCCGGCCTCCACGTTGTTATTTTCATAATCTTCTAATTTTGTATCTGTCGGATGCCAGAATTCTGCAAAGTGGATCAAATCTATTTCGTTGCACTCCAGGCCATGTTTACAGACCGGAAGTTGCTCATTTCCCGCGTCGGGCGCGCGTTCTGCCCGATCGCCACGATTATCGGTGGTGCTTCTCTCAGAATCCGAAAATTCGTCTGAGATGATAAATTTCTCATCAGCCACGCCATTTTTCATATATTTTTTGTCCGTTTTAAGGCGCTTTACCTCGGGCTCCATTCCAAGCTGCGACAGACAGAAAACAAACATGAGAGTAAGGTTAAGTACTAATCACCAGGCTCTTAACAACATTTACGGAAAAGATGGCGGACGAACTACACTGAAAGACCCCAAAGTTTGTTTTGGTTATTTTCAACCTTCCAATGTCTTTTCTCACTCCGTCGTTTTTACATCTTAATCAAGAAGATTACCAGCATGTTTATGAGCCTGCAGAAGATACATTTCTCATGATGGATGCTTTGGAAAAAGACGCGGATTTCTTGAGAGCACGAAGGCAAAGAATTTTTGCTTGATTCCAGTGAAATCTCTGGCAGACACAACCAGAATTTATCTAAGCTTTGATTAAATTCCATTGTTTTCTTCACAGGCCACTTTTATGCGTGGAGGTTGGCAGTGGGTCCGGTGCCCTAATAACTTTTTTGGCTTCCATTATCGGATCCCTCACCCACTACATGTGAGTTTTGTTTACTGTACAAGGATCGACCAGTGGGGTCGCGAGAGTCTCCTTCAGGCTTTATGATGGTACTGAAGTGCAAGTGAAGAAACATTTACGACCTCCCCCCACCCATAAGAAGTTTCGCTTTAGTGCCCCCCCCCACCCGCTTTTAAGTCCGTTCATTTAACAGTTCTTTAAAATTGTGGTATTTTTAATGGCGCTATGTTACAGTTGTATACTTAGTTGTCAAGCCTTTGATTTGGAGTAAGGCTGAAGGTGACCATGTTGTGATAGAGACTAGTATTTAGTGAGCATGATAGCAAAGTAATTTACCTTTGAAAAGTAGCGATGTTTGCATCATAGCAAGGTCATCATTAGCCTCGCTCCTGTTCAAAGGATTATTCAACAATATTCTCTTTGCCGTCGGCGAATAATCATTACATATTGCCCGCTACTTTGAAATCCTTCCTTCATCAGTATTCAGAAAACTAAAAATTAAACCAAAACAAAAATGCCAGACTAATAGAACAACAGAGCCTAGAAATATGAAGGTGAGAAAAAAGAATATTTTCACAGGTTGTCACAGTAAGGTTAACCATAAATATTGCTTTAAACAAATGCCAAGGAAAGTAATTTGCTAAAATATAAACCTATTTCTGGCTCAAAAATATACTTAAAACTATTAATTACCCAAATAAAATTTGGAGATAGTCTTTTTGGGGATCAATGCAATATCATATCCCATTGATCAGCCATCTCTAAGATATGGAGAAGTTGTATGTTGGTAGAGTAATTATATTTGTTGTACTGTTTATGTTGAATACCTTCAAAATCAGGAATACTTTTGGTTATTGTAATCGTTCCAGAGCTACTGATATAAACCCCATGGCTGCTCAATGCACATCACAAACGGCAAAGCAGAATGGAGTGAAAGTTAGTTGTGTTGTAACAGATTTGGTAAGTTTTAGTGCAGTTGTAAGGAAAAAATTATGGTTCAGAGTTTTGGACGAACATTTTAACTCATTTTTTGTAGTTCCCCTTGTTGGCATCAAGTCAGATTTCACTTGCCAAAGTAATTCATATCTTATGATTAATGAGTTTCTTCTTTCTTTACAAGTTTTGTGAAAGATTTAATTGTTTTTCATACTTTATTAGTTTGACTGGCCCTCCCCAGTAAAATAAATTAAATATTACAGACTAAAAGTTTTTTTATAGACATGTGTAAGATTTCAGGTACTTATAAATGCCTCTGATTTCATTAAAAAAGAATGACTAAGCAAACAAACAAATTGCTAGTAAACCTTTTATTAAACTTACTTTTTTCAGGGAAATTTGTTCAACAGCCTTCCCTTGACATCACGTAAAACTATTTTCTACTTCACAGGTTGAAGGCCTTATTCCAAATATTTTTGGAAAAGTTGATGTATTGATCTTCAACCCACCCTATGTTGTCACTGCTTCTGATGAGGTATTAACAGGGTCCTTTGATATCAATATTTCTTAATAATATAAATTTTTTGATTCCATATGATAAATTTTATTTTTTGTCTTTTTGTTCTTACAAGGTTGGCAGTCATAGCATTGAAGCCTCCTGGGCGGGTGGAGACAGAGGAAGAGAGGTACCTGTCATTGCTGGATAACAATTAAACTCAGCTGGTCCATTTTAGACAAATTCATTTGCAGGTTTTCCTTCTAACAGGCCTTTCTGCTTGAAAATGTATTGACAACTTTATTCACGGGTTTTACACTCACAACAACACTGCTTTTACCACCCACGTTATTACAAACTCAACTTATCTCATCTCACACACGCGCACGCGGCCCCCAGCAACGAGCTGGCCTGTCATTCGTAACATAGCAACGTGGCTAGAAATGAAAGTACAGGAAGCGGTGGACATTGATGGACAAATGACTCTTTGGTTATACATACAGTTATATAATAACTAAGTTATTCTTGGGACTAAGTATTGAGAACAATAACACATTCCCTAAAATTCCTTATAAATCCCTAAACAAATCACTCTAATTAGCTGGAGTCTTTTGATAGTAACTTTTACTTTGTGAAAGACCAGACAACTGTCTTAAGTTTTATTTTCTTGAAATATTTTGCATTTTGTTTTTAAGCCCCTGTAAGCTACCATGTCACATATTTCAATTCCACAGACATTTAAAGATGTCACACTAATAAGGAGGCTCTCTGCAAGCCTTAAATGATACAACAGTTCACTAGTCATGATATCAATGTATCTTTTGTTTTTGTGTCAATTTAGGTAATGGATCGTCTTTTCCCGTTTGTATCCACTCTTTTGTCCAACACAGGATGTTTTTATCTTGTTACTGTGGCAGAAAATAAACCAGGTAGGAGCAGAACAGTGTATATCCGATTCATGTAGCGGTATTTTACGATTTTCTGTTAAAAATTATCAATTTTAAACGTCAACTTTTTCTAAATTCACAATTTTTGAAGACATGAAGCATGCCAATAGAGCCATTTTCAATCAATTTTCGAAAGCAATCCGGGCTGCCATGGTTTTGCTCGTCTTTGCTCTGTGGTTGGTTCAGAAAACTCACGCCACCTTTTCGACCAATCAGGAGCCGAACTGAAACCAATCGCGACTTGGTCACTTGCGTTTTTCCCGCATTTAATAAGTTTTCATGTTTTTACTCTGAGTTCTCAATGGCTCCTTTTGATATCTTGTATCACTCCGATTGGCCGCCTTGATAACTTTGGTTTAAGGTTTACGACACTCAATTGAATACGCACTAAAAGCACAGGTAAGTATCATACTTGTTCTATGATACAAGTATCATACTTGTTCTTGGTGAGTATTCTCCGTCGGCAGTTTCTTTTAGATGATATTGTTTCGCGATACAGTTTCGATGGAGATGATATTTCTGCTTGGTCAGTCACGTTGTAGAGCACCGGACTGCCGTGCGGAAGGTCGAGAGTTTAAGCTCTAGATCGGACCAACACTCAGGGTCTTAACATAACTGAGGAGAATGTGCTGCCTTTGCTATGGTCCCATATCCTGTATCTTCCATGTACTGGTTTACGTGAGATGTTAAAGAGCCAATGCAGTTCTCGCAAAGAGAGGGGAACTTAGCTCCCGCTGTTGTGTTCTGACCTTGTTATTGCGTGAACAAAGAATAATTTCCACATTACTAGTTCCTTGGGGTTTCTTTAAAATTCATTCGTGTTACTTTTCTTTTCACTTTCTTCAGACGAGGTCATAAGTATGTTGGAGTCCCAAGGCTTATGTGGTGAAGTTTTAATGAAAAGAAAAGCAGGAAGAGAGAGACTCTCTATTCTAAAATTTACTAAAGACTTCAAGAAGAACAGCCCAGTCAGATGACAAGAGTGAATTTTTCTGATCATGTTTCTCAGTATAGAACGGATTAAAGGGCAATCAGTGCACAGTTCAATTCTGAAATAACTTACAGAGACACCGTGTTCTCAATGTCTTAGAAAACCATGGTGAAAGCTGACGTGTGTCGGGCCGAACGCGTTGACGTGAGCCGGCCCAGAAAAAGCAGTCCAGCTTTGCGCTCACACGACTCTTTTGCGTTTCCCTTAAAAGTGGGTTGAAATTGTGGACTTATTTGAAAAATAAAATAGATGAGAAAATGAATCGCAGTTCTCGATGAAGTACGAGTTTCTTGATCTGACTTGAAGAAAAAAAGGAAAAGGGTTTTTACTGTGTGATTTTTTAGTAGTTGTCCAGCGCACGCCTCGGGTGGTATAAACCAAACATTTTCGCGCGCGCTGATTGGCTAGTTCGGAAGTGATTGACAAATTTTGTTCACCTCCGACGAGTCGCGCGTCTAGAATTTAATTTCCGACCACTTTGTGGAATATTGACAGAAATAGCTAATTTATTGATTTCTGTGAGACACATACTAAAACAATTATCCACCTCAGAGTCGGTGAAAGAAGTGGATATTTGCCCAGTCTCAGTCCTTCGCTGCTCGGTAAATATCCACCATTATTGACCTCCCTTTCAGTTGATAATTGTTATACATATCACGTTTCGCTTCCTTCGCAGTAGTGAATTGAATAAACTGATATCAAACAAACTAACCTAATTGTTGGATTTACTTGTTCACATAACAACGGCGTTATCAAGGCCTCGGTGTGCCTAAGTTATTCGCTCGGACAGTTTTCGACCTGTATCTTCGTATCACGTGGAACCCAAAACCTCTCGGACAAATAGTTGTGACGCTATTGAGAGAGTGGTCGCACAGTAACGACACTGACCGTTCTTGGAGGAAAAACAATCACTTCAATCTTTTTGCGTTGCGGTTTCCAATCAATGCGGTTAAGGAAAGACTTACAAGGAGCTTTTGAAGTCGCTCAGTGCTAATGGCAGATTGCCGAACGCTTTTGCTTTCTGCAGTAAAAGGAAACATGAGATTTTTGAAACAACGTTCAACAGAACTGGAAGATTTTAAAGCTCTCTGAATTATGTTAAACAAGACCATGTATAATAGGAAAGTCCTCAGTTTTGTTCAACCTTCTGTTCGTGTTATTTACCTTACGTAAGGTTTATCTCATTAAACTGCACGTGGTCGCCAAGTCATGCCGGTAAACGAGACTGAATTGCAAATTACTCACGAAAGGCCAAGGTGATTGTTTGGCGCCCTGCAGAACAGATCTAATTTACTTCCTGTTTTCAATCGAAAGGAGGCAAGCGTGAGGCGTGTGCAAAGTGTAAGTCGTGCGCGATAGGAGAAGCGCACCAAAAAAAAAAACGTCTGTACGCTCATCATTATTAAAGCTGTTCCAGAATTGCTGTTTTTTTAGCAGTTATTTTCGCTTTAAATTAAACACTCACCGCTTTTGCATTTATTTTTGAACGCGTTTCGGTGATCAACGAAAGAGATGAGTGAATTAAGAAAACACTGTAACTTTACATTAAATAGCTGAAAAGAAGCTCTGGAGTTTATGTATGTGATGCCGTCGAATTAACAACCCGGTTAATTCAAATTTTACCTTGTTAAATTATTAAAATATGATGTCTTCCATTTATCTTGTGTTTCGTTTTGTCTACCACTCGCCTGTGGCAAATTATTTTTTTAATATGAATATGTTTCTGGTTTAATTTACATGAATATTGAACAGTACTTATTTCATCTTTTATTGTTTGTTGTTTTGCCCAGTGTTTGTTGAGCTTTGCGACAGCAAACATTACTTTTTGGGTTTTTTGCTTTAATTCATGTGGTTGATTAACCATATAAAGTTAAAATATTTGCAGGTCTTGCGGCATTACGAGCAAAGTAATTGGGTTCTCATGCTAGATGAGAAAATTAGTTTTGTTCTATCCATCTGTTTTTTGAACTTCAACTCGCTGTCTTATAATTGTCGCAGCCGGACGAATTTCAGGTAAGGTTCATTCATTTTTATCTTTTATCTAAAACGTATTTGTAAGTTTAATCAAGAGTTGGCGTATTGAAATGATATGTTGAAATTAAGCTTGAAGTCGCTACCATTAGCCCAAGCGGATATCACAGAAACTGCACGGTTGTCTATCGAAAATTAGGTCGCTTTTTCCGTAGAAGGCATATGTAGAAATTTTCGTGCGATTTGAAATAATCAGGTCATTGTTTCGGACAATAAGAAATTTTCCAGGAAAAGGGAAACCGATGCTTTTAGTATGATAAAGCGAAATTCTTCCATACAACCAACCATTGTCATAGTTTCAAGAGAGCTGGGAATTTTATTTTTTTCAGCGGTCGGTTAAGACCAGTTTGTGACCTGTGAAATTAAACAATTTCTCTTTGTTATGGCGTTAAAAAAGCTGCGAAGACCACCAATTTTGGAGTCATATTTGGTAACAGAGAGAGCTGACTTTCATTGACAAAACGTTGAAGTTTATCAGAGTAGACAAACACTACAACATAAAACCAGGCGGATTACAGTAAAATATTTACGATAAATTCTCATTGTAGGGAAAGAAAAGAAACACATAACAGAAGATATATATAGAGAGTCATTTTATCATTTATACTTTACCATACTTTCTTCAATTCTTGCTTCAAAACTATAGATCTTAAAAGTTATTACTTTTTTCTAATGACATTTACCTTTCATTCACCTCGTTTGTGGAATTGTGGTTTTTGTTTTTAAATTTTCATAATTGGAAATCCCTAAGCTCAGAGAGTGGTTTACTGCAGCCTGGTAATCACTTAATAATTTATTTCAGATCCAAAACGTATTGTTTATTTTTTTACCGTCTCGTTTTACAAAAAAAATTGATCTCATGCCGTAAGGCTATTCAATTAAAATCCACCGTCTGTCTGACCACCAAAAAAAAAAAAAGATGGTATACGGGAAACATTAAAACAACCAAAGAGTGTATGTATTATAAAAGCAAGATATTCAACCCAATTTTCGAAAAAAATTTGTTTCCTGGTATTGTTTGTTTTAATGAATTTTCCCACAAGAAATTACCACATCTGATCAGTGTGGGACTAGGTAACCAAATTAAAAGGCAGTTAAAATATGTATGAGTGTAATTTTGAAGTTGGAAAAACGGTACAAGAAAAGTCATAACAAAATGATTTTGTCGTAAAAAATGTTGGTAAGAGATTTAGTTTTGTTTTAGTTTAGTACTAGGTCATTTGAATGATCGAATTTCCTTGAAACGGAAAGTGTTCCCGAGGTAGAATAATTTTCTTAATCCATACAACTATCCGTTCAGTATTTTGAGGTAAAATACACCATGGGTATTGTATGTTAAAAAAAAGACTACTTTGGAACTGGATTTGTTTGATTCCGGTTTTAAATGAATTAGGATGTTCTGCAAATTTCCTCCAATTTCCCGATTAAATTCACCCAAAACATGGCAAACAGAATAAATTGAAAAAGACGCAACCGGAAGAGTTTCATTAACACATTTCATGTCGATGATTAAGGAGACTTGAGAGGGGGAGACTGGATCCACATCAATGTATCTTACAAGTGGTTTTACCCCTAAATTTGAGAACAACAATGGCGGGCGTTAATCAAATGAAAATTTGCATTCCTATTTGTTTTCAAAAACTAAATGAGCCTATCCCTGGTTTTTCTAATCATCGCTATTTCCTAAATGTCACCTCGATTTATTCCGTATAAGGCGATTTTCAATTAAATTTCGCTCTGTGATTGGTGCAGAAACTCGATACCCGCCGTCTTTACACAGAATTATAAATTCGATCAAGAAAAGGTTAAGAAAATTTGTGCATGGAATTTTACCAAAATAACAAAAAAATTTTGTACAAGGCCATTATCTCTAATCGTTTGTTTCTCGCCAGAAATTATTTCAAAATCATTACCGAGCTAGCTAACTTTGAGTTCTAAGAGGAAATGCAAAATTTATTGGTATATCTTTACAGAGGGTGGATAATTTTGTACACTGTACAGACCTAAAGATAACCATACCGCTGGAAACCAAACGGTCTACCGGAAGCGGAACTGGACAACATGGCAAGTGACTTCCAGTCAACCGTGTGCATTTCAGGCGCAGTATTGATGTTGTTATTTTCTCTTATGGCAGTGGTACTGAATAGTTGTCTTCTGATTGTGTTGTACAAAGACCGAACTAAATCACTCAAGTCAACAACTTTACTTTATGTCACAAGCCTGGCTATTCTGCATCTGCTGTTTGGAAGCGTAGTCAGTACAGCGGCAGCAGAAAGCTACATAACATGCGCACAGGATATCGAAGATACCGCTCACTCTATGAGCGCTTTTTCAAGAATATCCTTCTCATTGTTGATCCGCACAGAAAACTATGTTATGCTCGCATTTTCGGTGGAGAGACTGGGAAATATTTCTTATCCAGTTTTCCATCCTCGTGCAGATAAAATGAAAAATACTCTGATAGGTTTGGCAAGCATTGTCTTCTACTCTGTGGGCTTTTCAATTTTCGAGATAGCTGCCGCTCAGCGGTGGATACGAAAGTTAGATTTACATTTCAACGTGGTTATTCCACTCGCCGCCACAATTACATTAACAGCACTGCTTTACAAAGCGTTGAGGAGATTTAATGGCCTATATGCGGAACAAGACCCCTGTGATAGTTCCTCTGGAAAAAAATCAAGATGCAGAACAAGACTCAAAAAACAAATACTCCTGTCGAGCGCGTTTATATTTGTGGTACTCCTTTTTGCCATTTCTTTGTTGCCAAATTGGAATTTACTATTGTACGAGGTTTACTGCTCAAATTGTGCACAACATGATTGGTTTTTCGCAGCCTTTCGGTTGTGCGTCGCATTCACCTTCCTACGTACTGCACTGACGCCTTCCATCTATTACATTCGTATTCCTGAGTTTCGAAAAGGAGTCAAAATGGTGTTTTGTGGAATGTTCGAAGAGCAATCATTTAGGGTAAAACTTTTTAGTCGTGGTAAAAATTCTTCTGGGAAAGTAACGGTGATATATCTCTAAGCTGTGCAGGTCGCACAGCGTTAAAATAAGCCTCGTGAAAGGAAAATGATTTCTAATAAAATTCAGCTACTTTTGAAGCCACGTTTTCGTAATTAATGCTTGCTGCGCACATCGGTTCAGTGCCTAATCATAAAGACCAATCATAACAAAGGAAATATTTTAAGGAGCCAATGAGACTCAAGTACACACAAACAAACTTCCTGAAACGTGGGAAAAACTCGATTGGTTTTCGCATCTGATTGGTTAAAATAACGGTGCAAGTTTTCGTGACCAATTAGAGCGCTGTTCATCAAAACCAAAGAAGTCCCGGATTACTTTCGAAACAATTGAAGATTGCTCTAATAAAGACCATTAGCAAAGCAAAATAATTTCCAACATAGAATTTGTGAAGGTAAACAGTACACTTAAAAAAGACAAGAAGCGCTCAAAACATCAATGAAAATTTTATTGACGTGTTCTAAAACAGGAACAATTTGAACTTCTTCATCTGGCTCAGAAAAATTAAAGCAGTAACATTCTACTTATCCCACTTTCAAAACTAATTACACATTATTTGCTTCTGTAGCTGTTTTACATCCCCTGTCTTACAGTTAAGCAGCGACCTAACAACAAAGAAAGAGGTAAAAAAGTCAAAATTGAAAGCAGATTTTCCAGATAAAAAGGTTTCATTTACTGATCTAAAGTTTCCTTTACCTGAAAATTTTGACGCGATCTGTGGTCTCCTCAAATTGTCGAGCTTTATTGACAGCCACAGATATTACCTAGAAGTAGAGAAATAAATTGGAAATTTCTAAAAAAACATTGGAAAATAACACATGGGATGAAAGCTCGGTAGCTTTCACTTAAAAGGTTACACAAAGAAATTTTACCCACAGACTGAAAAGTTCAAAGTAACCAGTACAAATTGAATGTTTACACATTTCAGTTTCAATGGCAAACCTGAATATTTAAGCACAGCACAATAACTAAACATCCCTATAAGTACCTGGATTTCGCCAAAATTGGACGCAACTAAGATGTACTGATAGATGATTTACCTCATCCGGTATCCCAGCAAGCCTTGCTGCATTAAATCCGTAACTCTTTGGACAGGCGCCTTTCACGAACTTGTACAGGAATGTTATTGTTTCTTTACTTGGATCAGTCTCGTCTTCATTTTCAACCATGCACGCCTAAAATAAGAAAACCTGATTTTGGCAATTGTCATTTGAAAGTCTTAAAATAATCCAGTACTGCTTTGGTTTTCCGTTACCGCGCTCTGATTGGTAAAAAAAAAAACTTACGTCCCCTCTTAACCAATCAGATACGTGAGAAAACCCACTCGGTAAAACGTGTCTAATTTAGAGTTGTCATTGGCTCCTTGCGATATGTTCCTCTCTACTGATTGGTCCGTGCCACTGATTCGGTTTTTATTTTAACTCTTTAACTCCCAATATCTCATTAGTAATTCTCCTTACTGTCTGCCATATAGTTCTTGTGATATTAGTTTTGAGAATTTGGTATTGGATCAACTAATAATCCCCTAGTTAAGATTTTTCTTTCTCATCTCTTATCTGCTTGATGTTGTATTGATATTGTAAGGAAAATTCTGTCTTGGTCACTCAAAATCGCGGATCACGTAAAATTGAAACACCTCGTCAATAGTATGGGAGGCTAATTTCCGATTTAGCAGCAAAAGACCAGGGATGAGAGGGTAAGGAAATAGAGCAAGCAAAGGAGCAGCCTTGTAAATTACCTCTCTTAAGTGTGAAGAGAAAAAGGGGAGGGTTGTCTCGGTTATCTTAAGTAACTCACCATATGCCCTAATCGCACATTCGGGTCAGCGGAGAACTCCTCGACCAGTGAGTGATAGTGTGTGGAAAACAGTGTCCTGCATTTGATGTGACGTGAAAGTTCACCAACCACTGCACAAGCAATGGCTGTACCATCATATGTTGCAGTGCCACGACCTAGTTCATCTACCAGAACAAGGGAATGCCTCGTCGCATGTCGGAGAATGGTTGAAGTCTCGCTCAGTTCGACAAAGAAAGTACTCTCACCTGAATAGAAAAGGGAGAAGAGAGCATAAATTTCAGTTTTCATAAATAAGATCACCAAAACGTTCAGACAAAGAAGGATCAGTTCAGGAATATATAAGCTGAATTATACACGCAATTTGATTGGTTCCTACTCATGATCTATTGGAGGACAGAGCATAGATGACGTCACCATCAACCACATGTTACTTTTGCTCTTTATTGTGTCTGCGCAGCAAAAGATCACAGATGACGTCAAAATGTGGTAAGAACATCAGTGACACACAGTGCCTCATGATTCTTTTTTGTTCTTACCACACCTTGACGTCATCTGTGATCTATTACTTAACAGACGCAAAGCAACATGGGATCGATTGGTTGAATAGTAACGACAGAGCAACAATTATCCTATTTTCTGTTGATATTTCTATTTGAAAACAAGGAGTGTTTTGTTATCTTAGCCCGGCTTCCAAAACATAGTACAACTTTGGGTTATGAAACTCAAGAAACAGTTTGTGTTCTTGGCTAAGATTGTTCGGTCAATATGCTTTGATGTTGGCAGCTTCAGAGTTGAGCGGGCAAGACTGGCTCGGGTAGCCGATCAGGTCGCAGGTTTTGCCTTATCTTGGCAGAGCCAGCCATAAAATGAAAGATGCAAATACATAGAAGGATACTTGTTCCTCCTTCTATATTTCCACAGCTATTCATAAGGTTTATCTAAAGTTAACTCGCAGTACCCAGTTGAGTTAAAGGAGGCCCCGTGACAGCACAATGGCCTGTGCCCGAGCACAGAACTACCAGTCTAAAATCCAATACAAAACATTTGTCTATCATATCTTGAGTTCTCATAAAACTGCTTAGAAACAGTGTCTAGGCAAGAGTTAAAATGATAGTTTTTTTACAACCTGACAGGATTCTGTCATGCGCTCCCAGCCTAGTAAAGACTCGATCCACAGGAGAGAGGCGGCATTTCTCAGCTGGAACATAACAGCCCTAAAAGGAGCGGATAGTTTTTAGTAAGGGGAGCCAAAGTTAACCCCCTAAGAGTGACTGGCTTCTAACTTCTCCTTAGAATATCTTCCTTGAATCAAATATAAAGAACATGAGAATAAAGGAATTGATCACCAAATTAAAAAGCTTCTGATTGTCAAAAAAATTCTCCATGTCAGTGCCAAATGTTTCAACCTCGTTGTTTCAAATCCGAGTCAATCTTCTCCATCCTTTTGCGTCGATCAATTCATAGCTTCAACATTCCCTTCCTTCCCTTACCCCCCAATTTCTTTTTTTTTTTTTTTTTTTTTACAAGAGGTAGGATCAGCAACCGTGATTTTTCTTGTAAACCTTTTCTTCTGAGCCATCTGCACTCAAAAGGACCAAAGAACGTTTCTCTTCTCTTGCAAATTGTTATTTTGTGGTCTTGTTTACTAGCATGATAGTTGTTTTGCTCGATGCAAATGATCTCTCAAATAATCACCATTTGAGCCATGATAACGATCAGTCCAGCCTGTCTCATCAGCGTTGATTTGCCGCCCATATTAGGCCCAGTAACCAGTACGCAGGTGCTTTGACTGTTGACCGCTGTCTCCTCGCAGTCATTGTCCTAGGGAGAAGATAAGATAATGGGAACTACTCAACATACTGGTTACTCATAGAACTACATATTTTTGTCTTCTTCGTCAAGCTGTGAAGCAGAAAATGGGAATGTGCCACCCAAACGGAAAAAAGGAGTAGAAGAGGAAACACAAAGAAACAAGCAAACAAATACACAAAAGATACTTACATCTTGCATCCCAATCACTGTGTCATTTGGGATAAAATCGCCGCCACTGAACGTGCGTGAAATGCACGGGTGTCGTCCTTCTCGGATTTCCAAGAAAGGCTGTTGAAAGAGAGTTAAATCTAAGAGCAGGCTCTCAGTGGCGCTGCAATACGACTGCCGAAGCCCGTGCGTTTCAAGTTGGTGTGCGATATCAGCACGCGAGAGGTCCACAAGGGTTCAAGCAGGAAAATGGCTCACCCCACACTGACCCCTCACCAACTCGCCTTTTTTTAAGGCCTTAAACTTTCTAGCGAGAAGAGTAACGCTCGTGTCACAAGGCTAATAATGGGGGCTAGCTCACACGCCACCTAAATTTATGACCCCGAATTTTCCGTCTTCCACAAAACCACAAAACTCCAGATTTTCATTCGACCTACAGACGGACGTGGACGAAAAGTCACTATTTGCTCTGAGGAAGAGTGAACGCTCGAAATGACAGCAGAAATTCTTTACAGTGGCCAATTTACGTTGTCAACTCAGTTGACAAAACCAAATTATTATACATCAGACTTCCTATCAAAACTCTGATTAATTGTGAGCATATAGTCATTATACAATAGTGTGGTAAGTTGACATGATAACCCAATACTTGCAGCAGATATTAGGTAATTATGTCGAGTTCAAAGTCTGCCTAGTTTCCACACCCCTCATAAATGTAGTGTTCTCTCGGAGAGATGTCTCCTTTGGCAGATTGTTTAAAAAATTTACAATAAAATAAGCTTGCGCATGATATCATGAATTATCAAATCTCGTGTCTGTGTTATCTGACTCAGCCTTCGGCTTTGGCAGATAACTCAGACCTCGGCATTGATAATTCATAATATCATACTCAACCTCATCGAATAGGTGCTTTTTATCTTGTTACACTCCCCTACTGACGCAGCACCACAGTTTCTTAGAAACTTACCACTTTATTCTTTTTAATTTCATCCAATCTCAAACCGATGCAATTCTGGGAAATTTCACCAACAAACCCATGTATTTAATTTTTTCACTTTACGAGAAAAACCATCGGCCTTCTACCCAAAATTCCCAGAGGGTAAACAGTTGCTCCAATGAATGTTTCTACAATGATCTTAATTACCACAAGTAATACCTGAAATTCTTCATCAGAAGTCTGCTCGGGAAGAACGATATCGGGTCTACACATCGGACCGTCAGCCTGCGAACTGAAGAATTCACAATGAATTTTGTTTTTTTTGGATGTTTCACGAGAAAGAGAAAGAGAGCCAACAAAAAAGGCAATTTTTTGTACCTGCAGGATGCAAGGCTTATCAGTGAGTCCAATACAGCCAGACACTGTACTGTTTTATCCCACGTCTTGTACCTAAATGAGAAAATCAAGGGAAAAGAAGTTCGTTCTTCAAAGACCAAACTTTGCAACTTAAACGGTTTCCAATATTCCTATTTTCCCGCGCTTTGATCGGTATCCGACGCTGTCCACACATTTTCCCGCGTTTTTTTCCAGTATAAACGTTTTCCCGCCAAAAAATTCCCCCTCGTTTCTTCTAGACGAAATAAAATGAACATTTATTCCATGTATGAGAAAAAACAAAGCTGAGTTTAATAAGAGTAATTATACTAACTCTTGATCAAATTTGTGAAACACAAGTCTCATAGTGTCTTTCAAAGCTTCCTCTCGTCTTTCCTCGGCTTCCACTAACTCCGCCAGCTTCTCTTCAATCGCTGCTGTCCAGTATCGTTTAAATCCTTTCTTCTGCGACTGCAGGGTGTATTCGTCGGGAATCTTACGGACGGAGTCAGGAATTTCAAGCTGATAACGGTTCTTGGCTGAAATCAAGCAAAGAGGACCATATGCTTCAAAAATGGCTTTGAGCGATTAAGAAAATTCAGGTAGACGCGATGGTAAAACGGCTAGCACACTGAACTCTGAGTCGAAATTCTTGTCGGATAATCGTGATGCATTCTTAACAAAACAATATCTTCTACAACGCCTTTCTCCACCCAGGAGTACAAACAAATACTGATGAAATTTTTACGAAAAGCTGGGGCTAGCCTGTGATCAACCAGCATTCGATCCCCCCTAAAGTAGGAAAACCCCTTATGACTGAACGTTAAAAAAGACAGGATAATGTCTGGCGGAGACAATTTTTAAGTCAGTGTTGCTCATACACTAGAAGAAATGACGGTTTGAAGAGGCTCATACTAAGAGATGCTTTTAAGACGGGAGGTACAACATACACCTCTATGAGCAAACCTATTTCATTTGCAACTCATACAATACATTCAGTCATACCTGAGCCCCAATACGTAGCCTGAAGAAGAGAAAAGAAATAACAATCATAGAAAGAAAAAAATCTGGTAAAATTATCCCCATAACCTTCATATCAAATTTCTAAACCTACAAGTGTATCTCCTGACATACTGTCATTGTTAAAAAAAAGGTAATTTGTATCCCGCTTATAGACTAATTTTGGTCTGCAATTCTTCCGAGGATCCGGAGAGCTCATATCTCTTCCCCCCTCCCCTCACCCTCCCAACCCCCGAACAGGTAACACAATAAAGTTCTCTGGACGAGAGGGAAGTTGGTTCGAGTGTATTTCTCGACCCAGACTCTTCTCTGGCGTGATGTATACAGGGTGTTGCTACTCACCTTGCAGCCCAGTGTAGCGCATTGTTTCTTCAGGTATTGGTCAAACCAGGTGCGCATGGACTGAATATCTGCTATGGCTTGATCATAATCTGGATCAACCCCTGCCGTTAAAATTGGTGAACAACATTAGAGCAATTTGCTTCACGATTTTATATCTCCTGAACAAAGAACACGTTATCCTCACCTGCCTTAGGCAATATAACGCCTTCATTCCTAGCCTTGTTGTGATCAAACGAGTGCTGAAGAAAAGAGAAAAACATTGTTATGAATCAAAGAATCCTAAGATTACAATTAGAAAGCTTTTCAATGGAACATAAAACCAAAGAATATATAATGACCAGTCAAAATAAAGAGAAATTTCATGAGGACCCAATGAAAACTCAAAGTAAGACAAGCACTTTGTTTAAAGCGCGGGAAAAAGCGCGTTAAAAACTTGCAATTGATTTCAATTTTACATCTGATTGGCGCGAGTTTTTCTGGGCCAATCACAGCGCATGGTGAAGGTAAACATGTGAAATCCCGGATTAGCCTCGATAGTCCTTACGTGAAGGTGTAGTCAAACAAGGGAAAACAAAACTCTACAATAAAAGAAACATTTGCAATTTAAAGCACCTTGAAGGCGTGTAAGAGATCGTGCAACTTCGGAAACTGCCCACTAACTTTCGACTGTCCAGCTACAGAGTGAATTAAAAAGAATGAGGAAGAGTTACTTCGTTAGCGCTTTGCACAGTTTGTGTGTAGAATACAAGCATAAACATCTTAGAGGGTAATTCAATTGGGTGTCGTAAAAATTGAACACAAAATAATCACGACGGCCAATGACAACAAAGGAAAATATCAAAAGGAGCCAATAAGAACTCAAGGTAAGAACAAGTAACCTGCCTAGAGCGCGGGAAAACGCGGATGACCAAGAAGCGATTGGTTTTAGTCTTGAATCTGATTGGTTGAGAAAATGGCGCGAGTTTTCTAGGCAAATTATAGAGCGAAGTGAAGGAAAACCAGAGCAATCCTGGGGGTACTTTCGACACCCAATTAAAAATTGTCTTTAATTTTGAAACAATAACTTCACAAACCGGTAACGTCCTGTTCTGTGACAACTTGAGTGAGAAGTTTGGAACTGCAAAATAAACAAAGAGTTTTGAGCCTGCGAGTAAAGAGGGCAAGAAAGTTCTTTAGTTGTACAAAGGCAATCTAAATGCATTAGGTTACATGACAATATATCATTCCTGCAGCAGATTTTCACAAAAACACCTTAAAGAAAGAACAGCTCAAAGCACCTGCAAACCAAAATTCATTTAATATGGAACTCTTTGAACGTGCTTCGTAAAAGTGCAAGTGTGGAAATAAATAAATGAATAAATAAATAATGAATGAATGGATATGTACACAAGTAGAAACCATTTACCTGAAAGAACTAGCATGGTCTTTGAACATGGTTGTAATCTCTGTCGCCTTATCAAAACCCTCCAAGATCGTGAGAAAATCATTTATTTTTCGCTTACTGCAGACGACAGAAAAATTAAAAAGATTAAGCAATAGACTTATTTCATAATTGGCGAGCTAATTCCATTATTTTACATTTAAGTCAAGTAAGCTTTCTGATCTCAACAACATGTTTAAAAACAGTCGTATTTTTAGTCAAAAAGCGTGGTTTAGAAGGCGAACTGGCATGCAGAGGAGAGAAAAATAATCACACTCGCCAATTTAGTGTTGATAATAATCCTTGATTGCTTTGTGTTTGCGTTGTTATTGCTTAACCTCGCTCCATGATTGGTTCAGAAAACTTGAGCCAATCTCTTCAACCAATCGGATGCAAAACTAAAATTAATCACGAATTGGTCACCCGCGTTTTCCCGCGCTCCAGGCAGTTTTTTTTACTTTGAGTTCTGATTGGCTCTTCACGGAATTTTCTTTCGAAAAGCGCTTAAATAAATACATAAATAAATCTTTAACCAGCACCTGTAAGTGTCTTCATTATAGAGAATTGCTCTATTGGCTGGGTGATTCTTGTCTCGAGGCAAACTCAACGCGTGTATTCTACATAGGGAAGGAAAGAAAAATATCTTTGTTTACAAAACAGTTCTATACATTGTTTGAAAGACATGTCATTAAGTTTCATACTTTTTTAAGAGTCTTTCCAGATCTGGCAGGGCCTTTAATACATCTTTTGTTTCCGCCATTAAACTTGGGTTAGCCATCAAATCTTCTACAGAATTGAGTCTGTGAAATGGAAAACAAATTGTATTAGAATCTTCGGGATTATTGTTCTTACCAATAACCCGTTGCTACTGTTACAAATCTTTCGTACTAAACAGCATGAGACGCGATTTATTTTCTTCATGTTGCCTAACTCTAAGAGAAATATTTTTCTAAGAGATTCATCAAATGCCTTTAAGAATTTTCAAACAAATTCATCGAACATCGTGCTCAAAAATCCCGTTCGCAGATTTTATAAAATTCTTTATCTGACTCTCTGACTTGTCTCCCCATAACCCCACACCGCCACTTTTCGCTGAAAGAGAATATAACCGACTGAACAGGCTGAACAGACGAGTATGTTACAGGCTCTCTCGGTCGGTGGAGACGAGCGGATCGCCGGCGTGCAACACTTAGTGGTTGTCAGAGCAAACGGAAAAGATACTTTTTTGCCCGCCTGCTATTAAGCTTTTCTCCTCTGAGAAAGAGAGCCTGGAAGAGGCAACACCAGACCTGTCATTGATGGAAGCCGGGTTGCATAGAGGTGCACAAAGCCATTGCTTGAATAAACGTTTACCTGTGGAGAGAACAAAAATGTGTCAGAGGAAATCTCCAAAGCTAAGTTCTGAATTAAAATATCGTATTCACTCAGGTATGGGCCTCTTATCACTCTCTGAAATTAGGTAAAAGTATAGTGCCTGAAAGCTAGTAGATAATGGCTAAGGTCAGTGAACCCTTTTTCTCCCAAGATCTCATTAGTAATTCTCCCTACTGTCTGCCATAAAAATCTTATGATGTTGGTTCGGAGAATTTGGTATTTAGTATTCAGTCATTTATGGGAGTTAATGGGTTAAGTTACCAACAGCTACTCGAGAAGAAGAGAGCTATACTCACAGATATTGCAGAGGAAAAGAGGGTATTAAGACAAATATTCGGAGTGCTGTTATGACAATAAAGAAAGTTCCAGTGTAATTTTATTGTAAAAAGTGAAAACATATATGTTTTTTTTAATCCTCTGGAAAATCAGAAGCGTATTAAAATTCAAGATCAATGTTTTTCTGTGCTCACCAAAAGGGGTACAACAGTGATCCAGTCTTTCCAGCAAGGTTCCCTCGAGTGAAGAATCAGGCCCAGATGGAATAACGTCTAGGTTTGTTAGAGTGATGTTATCCAGGATCTGTGAATAACACAGAAAACCTTTACGGTACATGTTTGTGAAATTTCTCACAAAGGAAGCTTGCTAACACACAAGCGCTGGGGTTGCCATGGTTTTAATTTAGTTTGTTCCGTGATTGGTCCACAAAATCCGCGTAAATTGTAAACCAATCAGATTTAAAACTTCAACCAACTCTCATTGGCTCATTGAAACATTTCCCTTTGATCTGATTGGCTGATGTGATTTCGTTGGTAGTGTTTCTTATGCCACTCAATCAAAAATCGCTCTAAATTCTATGTAACTGACGTACAGAATTTTTCCATGAGACTATGACACTCGGCTAAATTGAACTGTTCAGTGTCGTAACGGCTTAAGTTTCACGCAACGACTCTGAATTACAATGTCCTCCGTTGAACCTTCCATAAACTTAGGACTTGCAACATAAGCGTAATAAGTCAGTGAGGACATACATTAAGTCCCAAAAGCAGAGGCAAATTAGCTTCTAAAGCCGAGGTTTGACCTTGTTCGGAACGGCGTAAACACGCTAGTTCCGAGAGAAACTGGTACCTTATGCACAGGAACACGATTGCGACAGCTTTTTCATTCTAGAAGTTATGCATACCATGTGTTGCCTCCCTTTCACAAAACTTGAGTTCTGTCCACAGGCAGGAGAATTGTCCAGCGGCAGGTATTCCTAAGAGAGCCAAGTACAAATGAAATGCTTTCAGTTTGTAGTAAAACACAACTGGACAACTATGTCAGAGCAATTTTCAATTGAACATTGAATTCTAGATTCCATCGGTTTTGCTTTACTTTGCTCTGTGATTGGTCCAGAAAACTCGCGCCACTCTCTCGACCAATCCGATGCAAACCTAACACCAATCACGACTTGGTCGCCCGCGTTTTCCCGCGCTTTTTGCTCTTCAGGGTATTTTACTTTCTTCCAATGTCGTTGTGATTACTTCGGTTTGGAGCGAAATGCGCTTAAAGATGAATACCTCAAAATTCCCCATTGATAAGACTTCTCCATCTATCAGGCATTTCTTCAGGTACCTTCATTATTGCAACAGCAAAATAAAATGAAGATTAATATTCCAGAAGGAAAATTGATATCTGAAAAGAACACCAAGAGTTTTAATTCTTTTTGTGTATCATTCAGCTCACCAAATCACAGCACCAAGAGCACTCAAAGCCAATTCACTGCCTTCACCGGGCATTAAACCCAGAGGATCTGCGGCAAACAAAACAAAAATTCTTACATCAGCATGTATCATGTCGTGTGACTATCCACGTAAAATAAGTCTTCCAAAGTCTAATGAATAGAGGGGCTAAGTTTCTCAAGAAATTTTGGTGCTGCCTCGGTGGGAGAGTATACCAGGGTAATTTGCTATTATCAACAAAGTTGAAAACGTAAATCGGCCACCGTACAGAGTTTCAAAGCTAACGTTTAAAGCGTTAGCCCTTCGTCAGAGCGAATGTCTGTTGTAGAAGAGAGTGAGTGATCCTGCTCTGATTAATATCAGAGAATGATATCGAAAACATTACTTCCAATTACTAACAACAGAAAATTTCAGGACCTCTGTTATCTAGACTATAACTCTAAACAATTGCCTGTTGCTTCTGCTTGAAAAAACGCGGGAATATACACCCCCTTTTTTGCTATGAACGAACCGTACGTTAGAGAACGCCATAAGACTTCGTGTGCGCGAAAGGAACATTCTTTCAGTGATCAGTCTTACCTCCATCAGTCAACTTCTTTAAAACATCTGGCCAACTCTGAAACCCAAAGAGATGTCACATTACCGTACTAAGCTTTATGAGAGCCAGGCCACACTCTTAAACTGGATATAAAGTACACTTGTTTAGAGATCTTTTCTTGAGAATCTCAAATAGAATTCCTGACCAATTTTGCAAATAAATGACATTACAATCTGAAGGAATGTTACATAGCTTTGAGCACAATAAATTAATTACTATATCACTAACCAACCTTCACTGGATTTTCAGTGTTATTCTCGTCATTATTGAAATACTGTTCCTCTGCAAGAACCTTCAGTGTCTTGCCTGCTTCCCAAAACTGTGATCCTATCAAATCATGAACATCATTATCATGCTGTCATTCAAAATATTTGGTTTGGTTTGCATTTCAAGAAGACTTGCCATCACAAAACTACATTTGAATCATGGGAAAAGATGGAGAACCTACGATGGAGCGTCCCTCTCATCCCCAACAAAAATTCTTTAAACAGCACACACACCCCCCCCCCCCGATCTTGTCTGAAGAAACACTGAGAAAATTTGGTGGCAGAAAAAGAAAATAGAAAATTGGGGGGGGGGGGTGGGGAAGGTTTTTAAGAGAAGCCAGAGTGGAGTGTCGATGAAATAACAGGTAAGGGAGATCATTCATCGTCGTCAGTCGCCTCCACACTCGTCAGTATCATCCCATCATGTGGGGACAGCTACAGTACCCCACAGCCTTCCTTCCACTACTCCTTTTCCTCATATTTTCCATTTTATCTAATAGTTTTTTCAATAGTTTTCAAAAGTTTTTCCTACCTTGTGTTAAGTATTCCTTCATAGCAGACATCAATTCATGGTTGAGAACTTGTTGGGTTTTCAATGTTAAACCTCCACGGGGACACAGAACCTTTGAGCAAAAGAAATTCCTCACTGAAATTCTCATGATTTTGAAGTACCAAAAGACGACCCCATGACCAATCTTTTTTAGCAAAAAAGTAGGAGAAGGAAAAGCAGTCATATGTTTTACCTTCTATGTGCAAAATAAGTCAGTGAATTGCACTTATCACTAACTTGCAGGTTGCAATGGCGATAGAACTCCTAACTGCGCTTACAATTAAGCAAATTACACACCTGGACAGGAGTAAAATGGGCCACCAGAGTTCGCAGTCGAGAAGACTGACGATCATCTTTGAACTGTCCAATCTAAAAGACAAAAAAAGGGGGAATGTATTAGTCAAAGCCATCTGGAAAAAACTCACACAGAGGATTCTAGTTTCATGTATTTATAACGGATAAATCTTACACATAGCTTCTGGACAATTACAGCGTGGTTTATTAGCTGGTGAAGGACATGTTTACTCACATGAAACTTTCCAATGGATGTGTCCACAAAGCAAACACCATAGACACTTTCCCCACCAGAAACATCATCAGAACCCTAAAATATTTAAAAATATATATAATGTACTTATTGACTAAGTGAGAGGGCCAGATATTTAGACTGACCACTGTGAGGTCCACGTGTCATGAACAAGAGCCAAACACATTCATGTTTGGCCAGACCAAACTTAGTCAATAGGCATTTTATCATAATTATGACTACTGCACTGTATGTGCTGGAGAATTTGAGCACTTTGTTTCAATTTAAATAGGATGTATATGTATAGCGTACACTAGACAATTTCTACAAATTTTCTACAATAAAAACTTTTCCTTTTTGGCTTCTAGACAAAACAAGAAACACACAATTTTTTCAGAAGTGTGCCTCATATTCTTATTTGTTCTATTTCGAGTTACAGTCCACAATTTCGATCCACGTTCTTGGAAAACAAAAAAGAACAGTGTGATCTAAAGGCTAGACTGGCTCACATCAAACTGTTCAGCACCACAAATGTCAGGTTTCACTGTGGTTTTCTATAGGACTGCAAGTGGGGGTCATATGACTTTTGATAAATTTTTTATCAAAGGAGATCCAGCATTTACACTCTTTTTTAAGTTTTATCTTTACCTTTTCAGAAATAGCTAAAAGATAGGCAGCACTACTTTCTGTACAATCCCCATCCACAAAACTGTATGTCTTTGTTCCTGCAGAGGTGAACATGACATATCAGTTATTCTTAAATGTGTCTAGAGCAGGAACCAATTAACTCTTGACTTCCACAAGTGATCTCAAAATAAAACTTCTCCCTATAATATCTGTAAATAATCCAGCAAACAAGTAATGGGAATTCTCAAACTGATCAGGTACAGCTAAAAGTTGTGACATTGATCTGTGTCAAATTCTCATAAGTACTTTACAAGGAAGTGAGTAGCAGTTGGAGGGAAGGGTGAGCAATCAGATCTTGAGGAAATATTTAATTTGCCAGTAAATACCTTTTGTGATTACAGCGCATATTTCCCTTTTCACCACTTGATCACTCTTTAAATTTGAGTGAGCTGTAAATAAAATTCAAAAGTTGGATTTTAAGATAGTACACTGAATGGATGAGAATGAGAGAAAAGCCCAAAGGTGATTGACACGTAACTTCTCCCTATAATATCCATACACTATACAGCAAACAGGTGATGAGAATATTCAAACTTATCACTTAGAGGTTGACGTCTTGATCTAACACCAAATTCTTGTAACTAATTTGAAAGGGAATGTGTAATAGCTAGTGGGGAGAATTAACAATCAGATCTTGGGAGTTAAAGAGTTGAGTAAAAAATCAAGAAACAGACATACTTCTCTTGCATCTTTCCTTCATCATTTCTGGAGTTTCTGTTTGCTCTACTCGTGCCACTCTACAATAAAAAAATAAGCAAAATTAACCCTTCACACCCTAACATCAGTATGCATATTCTCCACACTGCTCTTTACACCTTTCTTAAGGTGCTGACAAGGAGAATTTGTTTGCTAATCAAAAGGTTTCTTCCCTGGTGACCATTTTCTTTATTCTCATGACCTTAATGCATAATTCAGGAAAGATATTGTAGGGGGAAATTAGATGCTGGTCACTCTTAGGCTTTAAAGGGTTAATATCAGTTGAACAAATAGATATTATGTTGTATGTGTCTGTTCAGTAATATATCACAGATGAAGTCAAAATGTATGATTCATTGCATTTACATATATTTATTTATGTTTATAGTGCAGCTGACAATATACCTTGGGCATAGTTTCCCACACCATGTGTATTGCTTGAGTGTTGCCTACAGTTTTTTTTTGTTGCTATTTTTGCCAAGTTAGTTTTAGCAAAGGATTTAAGGCTGTGTAAGAAGCAATAACTTCAAATCGTCGCCAGATAGATCCTCTTTGTCATTCATTGTGATTATCCTGTACAAGAATACAAGGAATCTGGATGCATAGAAGTTGTTGTGTCGTATTTATTTTGCCAAGTGTAGCTGGCCCCTACACAAAATATGGTAAGAACAAAAAATGTGGCCCATAGGACACAGCTGAGTGTGTCACTGATGTGCTTACCACATTTTGATGCCCTCTGTGATCTACTACTGTACAGACCCACAGCAATGTGGGATCAATTTGTTGTTTTACATGATAAGTAAGCAAAAGAGTTTTGATAGTGACATCAGTTACACATCTGCCCTCCAATAGATGATAAGAAAGAGCCAATCATATTTAAGCTTATTAAATAATTGATATTCTTCTAGTTTCTTGGAACCTGTGGAGACTAGCTGCCCATCCACAGGAATCATAGACACCTCTGATTACATTGTTTAATGTTTGTGCCAAGGATAGATTCTGTAAAATTATGAGTAACTCACTTATAGCCTTTCTGAATCAGCGTGTCAGAGTATCGTCCAAAGGCAATTTCAGGAAAACCAGCATGTGCAAAATTACCCTGTAAGAGAAACCAAAAACTCAAACAAATTTATCCAACAACTTGTTGTGAACAACTGATGCAGCTTTGAATCTTTCACTTCCAAGATCTAGAAACCAACTATCCATGCTAAATGCCATATAATTCTTACAATTTCAGCTTTGAGAAAATCGAGTTAACCCTTTCACTCTTAAGATCTGATAAGTAATTCTCCTTACTGTCTGCTATACAGATCATATATAGTTAGTTCAGAGAATTTGGTGTAAGATCGATTGATAATCACATAATTGATATTTTTCCTTATTCTCATCACTTGCATGCTTGACATTGTATTGAGATTGTAAGGAGAAATTCTGTCTTGGTCACCCATGAGAGTTAAAGTGTTTCTTGCACAAGAGACAACCTGTAACCTGCAATCCCTATGTGAAGAAAGCTTCCCTGTCAAAGTCTGATTATTTGTGATTTGTAAATACCTTCATATAGATTAATCCAAGTTCTTTCACACCGACTGTGGCATCCATGTTGTACAATTCATAGAATTTGCCAACCTGGAAGGAAAAGAACACTGTCAAGAAAAATATTCAAAATTTTAAGTAACTCAGGATCTTTAATTCATTTGCACTTCAGAAGTAATCTGAACGTTGATTTGTAAGGAGGAGCAAAATTTATTTAAAGTTAATTTGTAGGGGCCAGCTATGCTTGGCAGAATAAATAAGACACAACAACTTCTATGCATCTGATTCTTTGTATTCTTGTACAGGATAATAAAAATGAATAACAACTGAGGGTCTATCTGGCGACGATTCAAAGTTATTGCTTCTTACACAGCCTAAAATCCTTTGCTAAAACTAACTTGGTAAAAAAAATGGCAAAAAAATCATATAAGTAACACTCAAACTATGCATTTGGTGTGGGAAACTACACCCTAGGTATATTGTCAGCGGTGCAATAAAGTGTATGTAAACACAACGAATCATACATAATTTATTTTAAGACACCAGTTAGTGCTGTTGCTTGTACTAAGTTATACTTCAGGATGGAGAGAGGAACTGTGGAAGTGAAAGGTCTTGTCCAAGAACACAACAGAGTGACTCAATAAAATGCTTGGACCCAGGTCTTTAAATGTCTTCTACCACAGCACAGTGGTTGGCAATATCACACACTGCCCTGAATTTTTAGAACCCTGCTATTGCAGAAAATTGGTTGTTAATCCATGACTTGAATACATTATTTGATGTACAGTTTTAATTTACCTTAAAGAAAAGGATGGTGTCAAAGTTGTCACTCTTCAGCTGCCACCATTGCTTCATAGCCTTAGAAGGAAATGAAAAAGTTAAAGTGATTTTTGTGTACCAAAGGTTGAAATTGGTGCTAGCCTACAATCACTGAGAAAATTAGCTGACACAACATCTGTGTGGCCACTTTTAAAGGAAGTATTGCAAAATGAGGTTTAAATTGAAGTGCAGTTCACAAAAACCCTCCCTTCCCCCCATTCAAAGTTGTACAATCACAAAAGGAAAAAGTGAGACATAGAGGGGGGAGGGGTGGGTGAGATTAGTTGTACAAGGGACAGAACTGTTATAATGTATTCTAGAATATTGAATCTTTAGTGGTCATGTGTCTATATATCCTTTTTTCGTTGATTGTAGTATGAATTATGGCTGTGTTTTGATTAATATATAAGATAGGAAGCTGTCAAAGCGTTAAGTTCATAGAATCACAGAATCAGATTACTTACTGGTGTAACATCTTTGGAGCTGAGAAAGGATGAGGGAACCTGTGGATTTTTGGAAAATGGAACAATTATTAGGGGCTTGATGAAGGATGAAAATTCTCTGATTGAAATGTTATAAAAAAAGAGTATGTATGTTGTGAATTCAGCTAAATCATTAAGATTTCACTTGATAAGCAGTAAGGCTCTTGTTACAACCAAGAGAAAATCTAGATTTTCAAGAATATAAATTTTATTACTTTATTTTTCTACTTTTCCAGAGCTGGAATATTACTAGTTTGCAACTTTGCGTAATTTTTCATACATTAAAGACCCTTCATAAACCTCTTAAAAAAAAAACTTTTTTTCCAATGATGAAAACAAATTTGCTTTCATTTCTTTCTTTTTTTAGTTATTGATATGGGCTTTACAAATTAATAATTGATGAATTAATATTTATCACACCCTTTATACTTACCAGCAGTGTCCTTGGGTCATATTCTGGATGTATCATTGGCCTTCCCTGCTTATCTCTGTGAAGCACATACATGTGTAAAATATTACTTAAAAATCTTGGAATTATTACCGGTAAAAGAATGCTGTTATTGTGAATGTCTTTGTGTGGAAAAACGTTCCGCAATCCCTCCAAAATTTTTCATTCTTCATTTTTAAAACCAGTGTTTCCCTTTCAAGATCTCATTAGTAATTCTCTTTACTGTCTGCCATACAATTCTTATGAAGTTAGTTCAGAGAATTTGGTATTAGATCAACTAATAATCCCCTAGTTGATATTTTTCTTTAATCTCATCACATGTCTGTTTGATATTGCATTGATATCGTAAGGAGAAATTGTATCTTGGTCAATACTAGGATTTAAAGGGTTAATAAACTCACTTTCTCTTGTCTTCCTTTAACCATTCCAGTCTCTCATGTGTATATGTTCCCACTCCCTCGCCATCAGCTGCACTTGCCTTTGGAACTGGGGACGAATTCATCTGAAATCTTGCAAGTGAAACTGCTGCTTTACTGGCAGAACTTGACATCTTTTTTGCTAAAGATCCTGCCAGGACTGAAGGTGATGGAGTACTCAGTAGAGCTTGCTTGCTGACAGCAGGGGTACAGGGAGTTGATGGTGTACTGTTCTTTGTTTTCTTCTGATGTGGAGTAGAGGTACTGCCTCTCTTACGTTTACGAGATGGCTGTTGGTCATATGTGTAATGAGATAAAGGAAATGTGTCAACACGAGAAATTTGTAAAATAGAGTGTTTACAAGTTGACCCACAGTACCCCTCAAGTGTACTGGTAAGGTGACAGCCTCAGCTTTAAGTCAATCCTGGATTCTTGAAAGTGTTAATAATTGAGAATTGAGACTCAACACTTAAGTTTCAAGTTTCAATTCTCATAATTCAACATCAATTTTCTCAAATTGAGAAACAAGTTTTGGGGAGTTTGCAGAACTTTTCCAAGAAAAAATTCAATTCAAATGTAGAATAATTGAGATGTAGAAAACAATGGACACAAAGCTTCATTTGCACAAGACCCACTGAATAGAGGCATTTTTTTTCTATGGCTTCCATATTCCACGAACTACAGCCAGGTTTTAATGTTCCAAATGACAAACAAAACATACCCTATCACCCATAAAACAGTTCTATACTATTTAAAATTTGTGTGCAAGAGGGATGGTATGTTTTCTTGCCAAAAACATGACCAGAAAAACAAAAAGAAGACTTCATATGAATTTGTCAAACATAACCAACCATCAACCAGTTTGAATCCTGTGTCTGACTTTGCCATTAAAAATTGTGTAGAAGGTCACTTTCATCACTTAAGGAAAAAACACTCTGATTTAATGCATTGTGTAGAAGATCACTTTCATCACTAAATTTTTCAAGGGAAAAATTCAACTACTTCTGATGTTTCAAAAATACATTGTAAAGGGATCATTCTTGCTATTTAATAGAATGCTTCATCATAACCTTACTTAGAGATAAATGAATTAAATTGGACATCCTAGTGTCCAATTTGTAGCACGAAAAGATCTTTTTCCTAAAATTAATTTTGGAGGGTCTATCTAGAATGCTTACAGCGTGGCTACCACTTTGAAAAATTTAGGACAGTGGCTTCAGAAAAAAATTAATTTCATGCCCTGAAGACTATTTCAATTATATTTTCCAAGATTGACTCAGTTCCTAATTAAATATTTTTATTTTTCCAAGTCTCTAATTAAATATTTTATTTTTAATCCTTTGACTCCCATGAGTGACCAAGATAGAACTTCTCCTTACAATATCAGTACAATTTCAAGTGGACAAGTGATGAGATAAGGAAAAATTTTGATTAGGAGGTTATTGGTTAATCCATCACCAAATTCTTTGAACTAACATCATAAGAATTGTATGAGAGACAGTAAGGAGAATTTTAATGAGATCTTAGGAGTGAAATGGTTATTTACACTGAACAAAAAGTAATCTAAAGCTATTTCGTCTTAAAATCAAACAAGCATTTGCCTTCACACTGCTGGCTAATTACTGTTATTTGTCAGATTAATCTTTTACTGGAAGATGTCAAAATCAAACATTCAATACCGTTTCTACAATATCGTCAATGTCCTCCTCAGAATGACTGTCCTCCTCCAACTCATTTTCATCAACTCCGCTACTACAGCTCTCATCATCATCATCATCACCATCTTCATCAGGCTTGTAATCATCTGTGACAATGTTCAGAAAGTGATACATGTAAATCATGCCACAGTTCATTTATAGTAGGTATTAAGTTAAAACTTTCCCTATGCCACGACCGATCTCTAACGCTCAAAGGAGAGCAGCGCTGACCTTTAGCCACAACTGCCTGGCTTCAATTTTTCAGACATTATTAATAATGATACAATTATACGGTCCATCCTCTATATAAGTATGCTCTAATCTGCTTTGCAACACTTTGCAGGGGACTTTGGTCTTACTGCATCAAGCAGTTTACAATTTTTGAAAGGAAATCCTGCAGGGCCCCCAATTTAGGAATTTTTGGAAACAAGGACATGTCAATGCCGGGAGCTATGTTCCCTACCCTTTGCAAAAAGTACTTGGGTTTTTAAAAGCTGACATTTCAAGCATCAGCCCTTCATCAGAGGGAATAGTTCTATTCAGAGCCCCTCCTTACAGTAAGCATTATGATTTAATCTTTTAACTCCCAAGATCTGGGTCCAGTTGTATAAAGGGCGGATAATGCTATCCAACTGATAAATCGTTATCTAGCAGATAAGAGATAGCAAAACATATGGTGTTATCCAGCGAATAGAGACTTATCCAGTGGATAGTGTTATGTGACCTTTGAACAACCCGCGCCTGATTGTTAATTCTCCCCTCCAGCTGCTACACATTTTCTTGTAAATTAGTTATGAGAACTTGGTGCTAGATCAAGATAGCAGTTTCTACTTGATAAGTTTGGATATTCTCATTACCTATTTGCTAAATAATGTATGGATATTATAGGGAGAAGTTTCATGTTAATCACTTCTGTGATCCTTTTCTATATTTCACACTCCCCTTGTCCCCTTGACTACTGCCTCATGTAACACACATCACCACATACCTGCTGAGTCTTCTGAACCCGACTCTATAATACGTCTTTTCTTTACTTTTTTATTCTTTGTGGCAGCTTTCCTTCGGGGCCGTTTGCTGTTGTACTGTGTACAAATGTTAAGGAGCAGAAATATGCAGAGAAACAATTACCATCACTCATTATTTTCTTTTGAACTTTGATATTTTTTAACCTTTTAACTCCCATAAGTGACCAAGACAGAATTTCTCCTTACAATGTCAATACAATATCATGCAGACAAGTGATGAGAATAAAGAAAACTATCAATTTGGGGATTATTAGTTGATTCAACACTAAATTCTCTGAACTAATATTGTAAGAATTGTGACATGACAGTAAGGAGAATTACAAATTTGATCTGGGAGTTAAAAGGTTAAGGTAAATTTTAAACTTGTGTGATTCCAATCTGTTTTCAATTTAAACCACAACAAAAATCTCTAGAGAAATTGGTTAAACCTCTACACCCTAACATCAGCAAACACATTCTCCATACTGTTTACATTTACTAAGGTACTGACAAGGAAAATTTGTTGAACAATCAAGAGCTTTTTACTTGGTGATCATTTTCTTTATTCTCATGACCTTAATGTATGATTCAGGGGTGTTATTGCAAGGAGAAATTAAATGCCCTTAAGGATCAGGGGTGTTATTGTAAGGAGAAATTAAATGCTCTTAAGGATCAAAGTGTAAAAACCACAGCTGTTTCCAATTGAAATAGTTGATCCCAAGAGAAACGACCTCAGAACTCCGCAACAAAAATTTAGGTTACCATTCTTTTACCTTCCTTCCTGTAACCTCATCATCATCATCTTTCTCGTCACTAGCATCATTTCTGGAACTTCCTCCACTGTTCTTCCTCTTCTGTCCGCTTGATTCTTTCTTGGGGCTCTCATCATCTGTTAACATTGTTTCATCACAAGGGTCTTTTCCATTCTCTTCCTCATCAGAAGGTAAACAGTTGACAAGTTCCTTTCGCTGTTCCAGTGTGAGAGACAAGGCATCCTCAGCTTGCTGCACTGCATTCTTTATGTTGGGATCTGTTACACGATTGTTTTGATCTTTTGAAAATTGTTTCATATGCCTGGCAGAAATGAAAGAGTTTATAAAAGATCATCTAACAATCAGTAGCTCTATAATTTATCAACACACACTGGTTTTTTTAATAAAAAAAAAGATTAACAGAGATTAACCAAAATTTTTAAGAACATCCCAGGCAGCAAGTCAGTTACAAACAGCCTCATTTTGCCCATTTTTTTTTTTTTTGTAAGAAGTATTAATAAACGCAACAGAAATATAAAACTGTGGTTTAACAGGAAAATTAACTCAAATACTTAAGGACATTTTTTAGATTGATTTATTGAAATCGGATAAAACACAACTTTCAAATTATACATATTAAAAATGTTTTCCAAGACATTCTTATTAAAAAAAAAAAGTGCACTTGTATTGTATACCAATAGTTGGAATCCCAGTATCCAGTTGGTACGTTGTTTCTGAGATTGTCTGATAATCTGGTTTTATCAACTAAGTTTATGTTATAAATTGGCCCATGCACAGTTTCTAAAGCTGAAATTTCGAGCATTAGCCCTTTGTCAGAGCATATGGAGGAATTGTGGGTTGTGTGTGGTTTATACACAGAAAGATGGAGCTACACTATTGGTGGGAATATTGTAACATTACAAACACAAGGATAAATTAGTGGAAAGAAAACCATCCCCTGATACCCTGGGGATTAAGAGTACCAAATTGAAATATAAATTTTTGTCTGAGTTTCACGGCTTTCCAGACTGCCTAGATGTAGGGAAAAGCCACAGTCTGCCTCACGTTGCTTAGAATGATTGGCATTGTCTGTTTTCTAATCCTTGATCAAGAATTCAATGTTAAATTGACTGGAAACTCATCCGACACTTCCCAGATGACACAACATTTAATTTTTTCCACCCTTTAGAACCTTAAATCAAAGCATTTTAAATTTCTTACGATTTGGTTTGCATAGAAACGTAATTCTTTACAATCATTCCATCAACATTTGAAAAATGAAAGAAAACTTATTTTAGGATCACATCTAGCTTTGGAAACCCGCGTTGTTCTTTTCAAAGCCTAACAATGTGCAGAAGTTTTGGGTAAACAAAGGCCATTGTTTAGCTGAAGTTACAAGACAGAAGAGACAATGTAGATGATCGCTAAGCTTACAATCTTTCAGACAACTAACAAGAAAAACAATCAATAATTCGAAATTAATATCCGATTCAAACTTTTCTTAACAAAAGCACTGTTGAACGTAAATTGTAACGCAATGATCGCATGATATAACTAACCGAATCGAACTTTCGAAAGATCAGGGAGCGTGTAAATATTTTACCTTCGCTTTACCCAAGCTCGACTCGGAGGGTCTCCAAAAAACTGAACATGGCACTTATCTCCTCGTTCGTAAACTCTCTGCGTAGGATGATCACAGATCAAACTTGGCCACCAGGGGTGTCCTTCGAGTTTCGCCCATACAATTCCACATTGTTCAATCTTCACCAAGCCAGATTCCCCGCTCAAATCTTTCTGCGTCCTCGAAGCTTTCGGCGTGTTTGGCGACGTCGATTTCTTATCGTTTATTGGCGAAAACCCCTGCGCGCCTTCCTTTGGCGAATTATTCTTCTTTTTATCTGCAGTATCACCGCAAACAGGAGACGAGGGCTTCTTCGATTTTGGAGTAAAATACGAAAACAGAGTCGCCATGTTTACACTCTCACGTGAAGAATTTTCCCGCGCTTCTCTACAGAATCAGTGCGCATGCAAAATATTTTACTTGTTCCCAGATCCTCAATCGGCCATAAAAGATGGAGAAGAAAGAGACGAACCAAGGGAATTGGAGAGTAGAGTGGGCGAGGCAGGGGGGGTGAAGAAATGGGAAAAACCAGTTGATGAAGTCTGATTAAGGACGAGTTTGGTACATCTGATTGTCGCACACAGATCAAATTGTTCTGGCAGTCAACAACTATCAGCTTACGCGTAATTTCTCAGTTTAAATGAAAACGCTAATTTTCCTTTTGTGATACCTTAAGTTAATGATCCGCAATTTCAAGTGTAAAAAAAAAAAAAGAATAAGTCTATTTTCCTTTCTTTTCTGTCTATCATTAATCTATTTCTTCACTTTGGGTTTTTGTTTTAGCTTTTGTTCTTTGAAGGGGGGGGGGGTAATTGGCTGACTGACCCAACCACCCACTTTCAAGAGAGGAATGGCGATTGGAAACCAAGCATTTCTTGGGTATGGCCTCAAGTTGCACTAGGGGTGAAAAGGATGTTTAAAAAAGCTTTTAACTCGCATGAGTGACAAGGACAGAATTTCTCTTTACAATGTCATTACAACATTGGGCAGACAAGTGATGAGAATAAAGAAAAATATCAATTAGCAAATTATAAGTTGATCCAATACCAAATTCTTCCAACTAGTACCATGGGGATTATATGGATGATGGTAGGGAGAATTATTAATGAAACTTAAGGGGTGAAAGAGTCATTTAAATAAGGAAGTAGTAGGCAGGCCTCATCAGAGGAGGGTCTTCTTCACAGGCCTCTTTCACCATGGCAGAATGCATATGTATGTTTTAAAATACAAAAACTAAGGAGATGTTGCAGGTGGTATTTTATCCAAACTTTTTATTTCACATCTCTTTGCGGGGTAAGCTTCTCTATGCAAGAGAGAAAATTAAAATACAGTTCAGTATGATAGTGAAGATTTTTCAGTTTGGTGGGTACTATGTTTTCCCAGCTACCTTTAACACATGGTTGGAAATGGAACTGATTGACCATCTGCTACTCACTTACGTTGGTACATGTAATGACTACATCACTCTTCACCATAACTTCAGTGAATAATAAGCACATAGAGTTTGCCTTTGATTTTGGTTTTTAAATATCGATAATGACATAAACTTCATGCTTATCAATTTCATCATATATCTGCATGTTGGAGTAAGTTATAGCCTTCACCTCTGTGCCCTGAAAGGAAAGAAAATCATAAAATTCAATCGATCAATTACTAAAAAATATTATCACAGAGTGAATTCAGGATTTTATTGAGGAAGTTAAGAAGGGTAAGAGTAACTATGTATTAACATTAACCCTTTACAGCCTAACATCAGTATGCATCTTCTCCCTACTGTTTTCTATACAATTTAAAAGGTGATGACCAGGAGAATAACAATCAGGAGCTTTTTTAGTTGGTGATCGTTTTCTTAAGTCTCATGACCTTCATGTTTGATTCAGGGGTGATATTGTAAGGAGAAATTAGATGCTAATCAGAGGTTTGAACAGAAATTAAGATTAAAAATCTATTATTCTCTTCTTGGGATTTGATTGTAGAGTTTGATCATCAAAGTGTGAGCGTTCAACGTGAGCAAAAGTCATGAATAGAAATGAACTTGCGACCTGTTTGTCAGATGAATGTTATACAAGTCATGTAAGTGCTGGACATTGAATGCTGTAATTTCTACACAAGAAAAAAATGTTACCTGTGGATGCTTGTTAAGGTCAAAAAGTTCACCTCTCCTAAATAAAATGAGAGACCACAACATGAAAATTTTTGAATAACAGAAAAAAGACGAAGGGTTTGTTTTCTTCACTAATCTGTTCTCAAGGCAAGTAGCTGATTCAGCCCCAACTTATTTTGGATCTGTGGCACCAAAAAACATTTCTAAGGAGAAAAGTGACCAGGAAAAAGAGAATATCTATTAGGGAATATTTTGGTTGAATTTTCCATAACATTCTCAAGGCCAAAATGAGAGGAAATGTATGTTGCTGAGTACAGAGTAGTGAAATTTTATTGTAGATCTTGGATATGAATTAAATAATAATTATTTACCCTACTGCTCTTATTGTGAAGTTTTCCTTGTCAAACTCTAAAATTTCAACTTCCTGGGAAAAAAGGGGAAAACCACATAAGTAATGAAAATAACACCACATTCTTGACCTAGTAATATACAAAGAATAATAAACAACATCAAAGCAGAGATTGGTTTTTTAACCCTTTAACTCCCAAGATCTGATTGTTAATTCTCCCCTTTAGCTGCTACACATTTACTTGTACATTAGTTACAAGAATTTGATGTTAGATCAAAATAACAACTTGTACCTGATAAGTTTGAACATTCTCATTACCTGTTTGTTGGATAATGTAAGGATCTTATAGGGAGAAGTTTCATGTTGATCGCTTCTGGGAATTAAAGGTTTAAGTAGACTCAACCTTTATAAGTTTTGCACCACAGGGATCCAAGGGTTGACAAAAGGTTATTTCCTATGATGCAAAGTTTTCCTGGTAAATAACTTTTTTTTTTTTTTTTCAATACCTTAACTATGAAATATGGGTCATCACACATCAAGAACAGGAACTCGTCGAGAAAATGGAACAACAAGTTTATCATGTCATCACCTAATGGAGAAGAAACATGAGCTGTAAAATGGACAGCATATGCTCAACATAATCCTCTACACCCCAACATCAGCATAAATATTCTCCATACTGTTCTCAATACATTTCCTAAGGTTATAACAAGGAGAATTTGTTTAACAATCAGGAGCTTCTTTTGTCAGTGATCATTTCCTTTATTCTCATGACCTTAATGTTTGATTCAAGGATGATAATGTAGGGAGACATTAGATGCTGGTTACTCCTACAAAGGGATAATGGTCACCTTACCTTGAGCTGTGATTTCCATTGTTTTTTCAATTTCAACAGCAGTTAACTCTGTCATATAACCAAACATGGCTGTTGCTACCTTGTAAAGTATCAAGAAATTACAAAGTTAGGAACTGAGGAACACACTTGCAATGGCAAAATATTATATCCAATCAAAGGTGTAACCAAAACTGTAACAAAATTCTCAAAAATGTTTGGTCACCAGCAGCCCAAATTAACACTAATAGGACGGTAAACTGTATACATGTACATAATGCTTGTAATAGGACAGTGAAACACAACAATTTTTAACATGCGTAATAAAACAGACAGCATTGTTTGCATGCTCAGTCATATCGACTTGTGGATTTAAGTTCCACAGAAGAAAGTGAATCCCTCTGTTTTATGTGGGCCTTGGGTATTTTGTTTCCCAGATCTTATCACAGGTTTGTTTAATCAGAAGCAGGTCTTGTTATAATCCAATTCTGTCGGTATTCATACTTGTGATAAACAAATTAGACTTTCACTCTGCCCTTGTCTGCTCTTTTGAATCAATCATGATGAACCATTTCAACTGCAAGATCTCATCAGTACTTCTCCTTACTGTCTGCCATACAATTCTTATACTACTAGTTTGGAGAGTTTGGTATTGAATCAACTTATAATCCCCTAATCGATATTTTTCTTTATTCTTATCACTCTTCTGCTTGATATTGTATTGATACTGTTAGGAGAAATTCTGTGTTGGTCACTCATGGGAGTTAAAGGGCACTTATTTAGCATATACAGTAAAAACCCGCAGATAGGCTGCACCTTTTTTCCAAAAATCGTCACTAGAATGCAGTGTAATAGTGAGTTTACGTTTGATGAACAGTGGATGAAGAAGACTTCTCAAGACTTAACTTTGGATTTCTTTTGATTCTTTCAAAAAACCTTTTTTTCCCAAAATTTGAGCAGCTAAATTCAGGGTGCAGCTTATCTGCTTGTTTTTACAGACCATTCCCAGTAATGACGTATTCTTTGACATTACCAGTTAACCCTTCTACTTCCAGAAGTGATTAACATGTTACTTCTCCCTATAATATCCATACATTATACAGCAAATAGGTAATGAGAATATTCAGACTAATCAGGTAGAAATTGTTATCTTGATCTAACACCAAATTATCATGACTGATTTACAAGGAAATGTATAGCAGCTACTGAGGAGGATTAACAATCAGATCAAGATCAAGGGAGTTCAAGGGTTAAGTAAGATTCAGAATTGAAAAAGCAAAGAAACTCTTTACTTCTGTAAGAAAGCAATGTCTAATTTTCTTGAAAATGTTTTGGGAATTTTCTATATCTGAGTGCTCATTCATTTGCTTTCTTTTGAAATGACAAGTATGTTGCAACATCTTTTAACCATTTTATAGTCTCCAATCTCTGCGCTGTATCAGCATATCTAAATAATTTTTCACACCAATTAATTAGCAGTCAAATTTTTTCTTGAGCATCTCCATGTCATTTCATTCAAGTATTGTTATGATTATATTAATATTAGAATTATTCATAATTATTAATTAATATATTATTAAGTATTATATTCATGTATTCTAACTGTCAGGTATGTTCTTGCTGCCCTTTCTTTGTTTCATTTTCATTTACCTTGTTTGTTATCATTATAAATTACTGCTTTTTAAATCATTTCTTCATGTATTTCAGAAACCACTGGTTAAATTAGTAAATTTGAAAATCCATCTTTGTGTTTGCTACAAAGTATGTCAACCAAACAGAGTGTACAAACCACAATATCTGCTTAGTAGTTTCAATACCTGCTCAAAAGCTTCCTTCAAATCATCACCCCCTTGATGGAACAGCAATAATTAGAATTAAGAAAAATTGTCTCATTTTAAAAATATTGGTAGTACATGGTCATTGTAAAGAAAGGTTACATTTCATCATTTATTTAGTTAAAATAGTTGAATCCTTAGTTACAATCTGAAAATTACAGTAAATGGTTTGAACCCTGGGGTAACATGTGATTGTGTAGTCTGATTGTCCTGGTGAGTGTAGTCCTGAGAAGAACTGTTGTCAGTTGTGGTGACTGACACTGGGACAACCTCAACAGATGTCAACTATTACCAGCACCATACAAACGACTCATCCACGACATTAACATAACGAACAAACTAAACAGAATGACCCAACTTTACCAAAGGATAGAGACTGACCAATCACAACCTACACCACTTGAGTCTTACAGCCAATAACATCAAAAACAAAACTAACCAATCAGTTTATGCAAACTGCACTTAAAACATTCAACTGACGACAACTATTCACTGGACTCTGATGATGATATCCACTCAGGTTGTTGAAATGTCAGTATCCACTACAAACAAAAGCCCTTCTCGGGACTGCATTCACCTGAGCGATCAGACCACACTATCACAGTCACAAAATTTTAAAGGATACAAGCATGAAGTCTGCAAGATATTGAAACAAAAAGAACTCATTAGCTTTCTAATTTGTAGAAATTTGACTATACATTTTTTGAAACACTAACAGATTAAATTGTGTAATTCAACCAGTCATACAATTACAGTGCTACAAATGCCCTCCTTTACTTTTAACCCTTTAACTCCCATGAGTGACCAGGACAGTATTTCTCCTTACAATATCAACCAAATAAAAGGAAAATATCAATTTGGGGATAATTAGTTGATCCAATGCTAAATTCTCTGAACTAACATTATAAGAACTGACGGTTAAGAATATATGAAGGTCATATATTTGAACTGCCTAAGTAGTGCACATCACTGCGAAGATCACTTTCATTCATTATAAGAACTGTATGGTTAACAGTAAGGAGAATGACAAATTTGATCTGGGAGTTAAAGGGAAAAGGATACACTTCACTCTTTTACATCCCACTTTTAATATTCATATTCTCATCACTGTTCTCTTTACATTTCCTACAGCACTGACAAGGAGAGTTTGTATGACAATCAGGTGCTTCTTAAATTGGTGATCATTTCCTTTATTCTCATGACCTTAGCATTTGATTCAAGAGGGATACTGAAAGGAGAAATTAGAAACTCTTAGTCAATCTTAGGGGTTAAGGATAATGAGTATGGGGATTGCTTGAAGAATATCTCTGCTCCTACAGTAGTTTAAGTTTTTAAATTTGCAATTCAACCTTTTCACCCTATTCCTTTGTGCTCCAAAATAGTTCTCTTCACCTCTTACAGACCCCTCCTTCATATATCCATGTTTACTTCACCTTCAAGGCCCTAACATACCTTTTTCTCACCTGTATGCCCCCACAGCTCTCTCCTCACCCCTCTTCTCACCCCTAACAAACCTTCTCCTTACCCCTCATCCTTGAAAAACCTTCTCCTTACCCTTTACCCCCAAAAAACTTTTGCCTCACAGCTCACTCCTCGAAAACCTTCCACTTTCCCCTCAAAAACTTTTGCCTTACACCTCACTCCTCAAAAACCTTCTCCTTACACCTTACCCCATAAAACCTTCCACTTACTCCTCACCCATCTAATACCTTCTCCTTACCCCTTACCCCTCAAAAACTTTTGCCTTACATTTCACTTCTCAGAAACCTTCTCCTTACACCTTACCCCACAAAAACCTTCCACTTACTCATCACCCATCTAATCCCTTCTCCTTACCCGTTACCCCTCAAAGACTTTCTTCTTGCTCTCCACCTTATTTAATACCTTCTCCTTACCCCACAAAAACCTTCTCCTTACCTCTTACCCCACAAAAACTTTTGCCTTACATCTCACTCCTCAAAAACCTTCTCCTAACCTCTTACCCCTAAAAAACCTTCCCCTTACCCTTTACCCCTCAAAAACTTTCTCCTTAGCCTTTACCCCTCAAAAATTTTCTCCTTACCCCTTACCCCACAAAAACCTTCTCCTTACCTCTCAAAAACTTTTGCTTTTCATCTCACTCCTTAAAAACCTTCTCCTTACCCCTCAAAAACTTTCTCTTTACCCCTCAAAAACCTTCTCCTTACTCCTTGCCCCTCATAAACTTTCTCCTTATCCCTTATCCCTCAAAAACTTTCTCCTTACGCATTACCCCACAAAAACCTTCTCCTTACCGCTCAAAAACTTTCTCCACACTCTCCACCCCTTAATACCTTCTCCTTAACCCTTACCCCTTCAAAATGTTTTCCCTACTCCTTACCCAACAATAATTAATTTTTTTATCATCTCTGATTTTCATTCAACCCAAACAACCTTGACAATAACTTGACAAACTTGAGACAAATGCAAAGCTGATTGCTGGTACGGAAATTCCTAAGATCGCTTTTACTCATTTTTATACATAGTCAATTCTGACACAAGAATTAACAGCCCCTTAAGAAACAAGGAAAGCAGCACTTACTGAACATCAGCTGTGTGATCTAAATCTGTAGTAAAATAAAACAAAATGTACAATTAAGAACTTCTAACTTCCAAGTCAGAACCACTGATATGGTCAAAAATATCAAAAAAAATTTGTTGCTGCTTGTTTGACTCTTGCTAACCCTTAAATTCCCAAGATCTAATTGTTCATTCTCCTCACTACTTGCTACACATTTCCTTGTAAATTAGTTAGGAGAATATTGTGTTAAATAAAGATAACAATTTCTCTCCGATAAGTCTGAGTATTCTCCTTATCTGTTTGCTGGATAATGTATTGATATTATAGGGAGATGTTATATATAAATCACTTCTGGGAATTAAAGGGCTAAATTAACGTTTGACTGAGGCACAGCAGTATCTTTTGTAGCAACCATAACAAATTGCTGACGATTCTAAATATCAGGGATAAAACTGTCAGAATCTGGGCGAGAATATCAAAAGTCAGAGAGTAAATATACATACACTCATACTTGATGGGCTTTTCTCCATTTCCGTTATGGCTTTTCGCCATCTTTACCACAGATTTGAGGAAGAGTCTTAGCTAACACCACGCATCATTCTCAGTACAGCTGTTGTTTTCGATTGTCCGCCATTGTGGATGAGCCTGCGACAATACTGTCTGAGTGAGTATGCGCATCGGCGATATCTTGCAAAGATGGCGGCAGATTTGAGTGTAAACAAAGTTGTACTTTTGCAGGTTAGTTCAAAACTTCCTGGCGAGCCACAGGGGATTATTTCGCGAGAAAAATTAAAATTTCAGTTTTAAATATTAATTCTTTTTTTTAAATCAAACAGGCAGGCGTGCGGGGGTTTCTTGTGCGTAAAAAGTTACTCGAAGTCCGGAAAGAATTTGAGGAAATTTTGAGTGAGCTGGAAAATGATACAAACTTTGTCTGGTGGAAGACACAAGTTCCAGGGCTTCCTTTGATGAGTACGGATCCTAAAGGACTAGACAAAGCAATAGAGGAGAGTAATTCAGGCCTAGACGGAGAAAGTGACGATGAATCGAAACGAACATATCTCATCACGGAAGGTTCTGGTTCATCAGATGTAGATGACAACTGCGAGGGTGATCCTCTTATAAAAAACCCTGTTCCTCAAGATTCAAGCTTCGAAAGGCTTAATTCAGCGTCAGAGACATATCTTAAGATAAGTACTGCAGAGCTAGAGGGTAAAACGACGGTAGATGCGAATTCTAGACTCAAAGAACATGATGACGGTGAAAGGTATGACGCTGATGAAGGACTACTTCCAGAAAGGCCTATTCCTGGTGCGTCAAACCCTGAAAGTGTTAACTGCAGTAGTGAATTGCATATCAACCATGTGTTTGGTTTACAAAATGGAACAACTTCCTTGCAGGTGGAAAAGCCAGATACAGAAGCTTCATTATTTGGAGGACAAAATCTGGAAAGGCAGAATTTGTTTAATGCAAATGCAGAACTAACTTTTCAACATGGTAGTCCAGTTGAAACATCTCGCCATATCAGAGAGCCACATTTCCCCCTTAACAGTACTGTTAACCCTGGGTGGCAGAATGAACAAGAGATGAGGAGGTCTTTTGGACCACCTGACAGTGCATCTGAGGCATCGCTTCAAGAATACGTGTCCAGGACACCACATCTGAGGGAACAAGCGCTTCTTAGTGACACTTGGTTGACTGATAAATCATTTGGTGAGATGATCTATAGATGCATTTCATTGGTTCCTTTTCCTCTTCACTCTCAGGAGTGACAAAATAGAAATTTCTTACCACAATCTCGATACATAACCCTTCAACTCCTGTGAGTGACCAAGACAGAATTTCTCCTTACTATATCTATACAATATCATGCAGACAAGTGATGAGAATAAAGAAAAATATTAATTATGGGATTACTAATTGATCCAATACCAAATTCTCCAAACTAACATAATGAGAATCATTTGGCAGACAGAAAGGAGAATAAGTAATGAGATCATACCTGAGCCCAGTGGCCCATCCAGCCAGAGTTTATTCTGGTTTCCATAGCATGAAGTGACTAAGAGTATCACTACTCCCCCCCCTCAGCCTTGATAGGATGGTATTCCATTGATTAACACACCCCCCCCCTCCCCCACCATTTCATCAGTTTGGCAACATGTGTTTGGGGGTCAAGTAAAAGGCTGTGATGTTTTTATTACATAATATTCGATCTTAAGTTAACCCCTTGACTCCCAAGATCTGATTGTTAATTCTCCCCTTTAGCTGCTTCACATTCTTTGAGGATTAGTTTCGAGAGTTATCAAGATAACAACTTCTAGCTGATAAGTTTGGGTATTCTCATGACTGTTTGCTGGATATTCAATGGGTATTATAGGGAGAAGTTACATGCTAATCACTTCTGGGATGTACATGAAATAGTATTCTTTTTTTCTAATAAAGTTTGGAATTTCTTCTTGGTACTTTCATAACTAAGCTGTGAGATGTGGCTTTAACTTCCAAAAACAATAGTCCATTTTAGAGTTGCATGGTTGGTTGCCAAGCCTTTGAACAGGAGTGGGGTTGAAGGTGACTTTGTTATGATGCAAACATTGTTAATTTTCAAATGTAAGTTACTTTGTTATCATGCTAACTAGATGCTGGTCTCAATCACAACAAGGTCACCTTCAGCCTCACCATAAATCAAAGGCTTGGCAACTAAGTACTCAACTGTAAAATCATCTATTGCCTGTCAACCCTTTTTGGAAGCTAACTTTTATTTCAGCTTGACAGACTGGTAACCAACAGAAATCATTGGAGGCCTTATTTGCATAAAAGTACATAACTTACAAACTCACCAACTAATTCTTATTTCTGGCAACCGTTTTATGATTTTGGGTGGCCAAACAACAATTTCATAAATAGTTGAGATTGGAACTCTGATCTTTAATACTCTAAACTCTGATTTCTGAACTCTGACCCATGAATTCTGATCTCTATTAATACTCTTAACTATGACCTTTAATCTCTGATCTGTAACTCCATTATTGCCCTCATCCCTGACCTTGGAACTCTGATCTATCACCTCTTTATCAGTTCCCTGATCCTGATCTCTGATCTCTGATCTTTAAACCCTGTTCTCTGATCTCTCTTGATCTCAGATATTTGATTTGTGATTTCTGATCTCTGATCTTACTCCAGATACAGGACTTGACAAAGAGTTAAAGCATGACCTCCCTACTGATCCTGTCAAACTTCATCAATTAAAGGATCATATAGGAATGGAACTATTGTGGACAGAACAAGCCATACAGAGCAGGAAAAAGGTAAGAAAAACCATTGAAAGCACTGTTGCTTGGGATCTGAAGGTCTGAGGTTCAATTCCTCATGGGGACCCCACAATTTTTTACCTGTTCCATGCTCATGACAAGGTAAAAAAATATCTATCTCTTTTTTTTGTACAGAGCTTTAAACATACTATCTCTTTAATTTTTATTTGCAAGCTTTGATAAAACAAATTTGCCTTTTCAGTAGCAAAGAAAATGTATGGAGATGAGTGCAGAGCTTGCAAGTTGGTGATCATTTACCACCTCAACCCTTTAACTCCCAGAAGTGATTAACATGACTTCTCCCATAAAATATCCATATTTAATCCAGTAAACATGTAATGAGAATAATCAAACTTATCAGGTTTCAGTTATTTTGATCTAATACAGAATTCTCGTGACTAATTTACAAGGAAATGTGTAGAAGTTAGAGGGGAGAATTTACCATCAGATCTTGGGAGTGAAAGGGTTAACCTTTTACACCCCAACATCAGTATCCATGCTTATTTCTACAAATTTCCTTTGGTCTTGACGAGGAGAATTTGTGTTTTAAAAAATCAAATTTACTTAGGTTGGCAATCAATCCTTTATTCTCGTGATCTTAATGAATGATTCAACAGTGTTACTGGTTGGAGAAATTAAATGCTGGTCACTCTCAGGATTAACCTTTTAACTCCACTTCTAAGTGATTAACATGTAACTTCTCCCTATAATATCCATACATTATCCAGCAAACAGGTAGTGTGAACACTCAAACTCATCAGCCACAAGATGTTACTTTGATCAAAACCAAATTCTCATAACCAATTTACAAGGGAGTGTGTAGCAGCTAGAGGGGAGAATTAACAATCAGATCTAGGAAGTTAAAGGGTTAAAGGGTTCATGTTAGACTTAAAATGGAAGTTAGATGCTAGTCATTCTTAGAGGTTAAATGATGAAACTTGTTACACATTCTATAATGTTCATGTTGGACTTTCATCTCTTTTTTTCCAGTATTTGAGATTGAAAGAAGGATTCAAACATAATGTGGGGGATTAGAGACTCATTAATTGGTGTTGAAGACTCTTTACCCCACATTTGAACCTTCCTGTTTACTTTCAAGTCTACATTTGGCATTGCTTTCTGTCCTTGCAAATCATGTGTTTAAAGTTATCAGTAGCATTGCTCTGGTGGATGCACCAATTCATCCAGGATTGCATCACATCTTCCTTTATTCATTTTTATGTGTTGAATATAGTGGCAGTGCTCAAGTTCAAAGTCGCTGCTGATGAAGGGACAAACACTTTGAGGAAATTAAATTCTGAAGAGTGCAAGAGATGTTTTAAGTTTGGCACAACACTTTTTACTAGAAAAGTTGGTAGATTTTGCCAAGTGAATAAAACAACTTGTTAAATTCTTGTAGACTGGCTGCTTATTTCCACAGTAATAATCAAAACAATTGCAGTAGAATGGTTTCATTTACAACAGAATTTGCACCATGCAAACCTCTAAGAGTGAGGCACCCTCTAAGTTCAAGTGCCTAGGGTTGGACATGCAGGGGAAGGGGGAAGCTCTATGTCACACTGACCTCTGGGAGTGAAGCACCCTCTAAGTTCAAGTGCCAGGGGTTAGACATGCAAGGGAGGAAGTTCTATGTCACTCTGACCTCTGGGAGTGAAGCACTCTTTAAGTTCAAGTGCCAAGGGTTAGACATGCAAGGGAGGAAGCTCTATGCCGTGCTGAACTCTCTTCATTAGGCACCCTCTAAGTTCTGTTCTGCTAACATCCAATTTTGTTCTTACCTTTTTTAGCTTTGACTTATGCAACAAAATTTGCCAAAAAGGAAGGGACTACTCAAAATTTGTCACAGATATAAATTAGACCTAAATTTAAGATTTTGCAATTCCTTTAATAGCCAAGAAAACTCACATGAGTTTACATATTCATATTGATTTATTCTTCACTAACAAGGCAAATTTTCTATATAAAAAAAGGTAATCCTAGACACAAAAATTGCTAAGTGTTGGCTAATCCTACGTGATACATCAAAATTCCATATTTGTATTAAGAGATATACAAGTTTGGGAAATACTGAAAAACTCAGCCAAACCCTTGAACATGCATTAGACTTCAAACTTGCTTCTAGTACAGACATTGCCTAGACTTTTAGTAAGCATTATTACACAGGGAACCATGGCTATGTATGCATTAGAAGGCAACTTCCAGGCTTCCCTTTCATTCATCTGGAGTCTAAAATGCTGCGAAAGATTTAAGCTGGTGAGAATGTTTCACCCTTTAAAAGCAATACTAAGAAATAAAAAAACCGCACGGCTTGAAACACAAAGAGGTCCTCTTGCTTAGTGCAACCTGCTTTCAAAAAAAAAAAAAAAACAGAGAAAGAAGAAAAAGTGAGCACTCTTGTGGGTTGGGCTATACCATAGGATGAGGTGGACAGAAGTAGACCCCCCCCCCCAAGTTCAACACAGGTGAAAATGCTCTTTCCCCCCTCATATGACTTCCCCAGAGGAGAGAGCCAATGTAACACAAGCAACTCACAACAGAACACAACACAATAACTTAGCCAGGGGAGGGCTGGGGGTGTCCAAACCCTGCCCCCCCTCCTCCCCCATTTCAGACCTGTGTGGTTTGATAGTCATTTTTTCGTTAAAGGTAATATCAGTGACAATGGCTTCCTGGTCATTGACTAAGCTTGAAACCAAGACTAATGGACCTTTTCTGAGCCATTTGCTCCCAAAAGTGGACTCTTTCCTTAAACACCTTCATATTTAAAGAGCACAGACACAAGCTTCTATTCCACTAAAAGACTCAACAGGTCCAAAAGAGAGTCAAATGCCCATGGGTTGCTTTGCAGGAGGGGGAAGGGGGGGAGGGAGGGAGGGGGGGTTTAAAGCTTTCAACTGATTGGCACATTATTCAGGCTTAAGTGTAAAAAATCCTACTTGTGCTTCTGCCAAACAGTAGGCCAGTACAACTCCTGGTAAGACCACAAACCATGACAAAGCAATTATCTTTGGACAGTAAAAAAGTGTAATTCTGATACTCACAAAGCCATAACGAGAGAAACAACCAGGCCTGCACTGGCTGTAAAGGAAACAGCTCCGCTCGCTGAAAAACAAAGTTTATTTTTAATAAAACTAAAAGAGATCATGAATTTTACAGGTTGCTAAACACTTACTTAGAAGACATTGTGAGAACCTGTAAAATCCATTGGCACGTGACAGTGTTTGCATTTCAAATGTCTGACAGGAAAGTTTTCAACTTTGCGACAAGCATGTGACTAATTCTATCACTGAATACAACAACACTCAAGTAATTTTTTTTATGTCAACTGCCACAGCCATCCCACTAATAAACAACTTGATACAAGGTGAACACATACTTCGCTGTAGAAATTGAGAAATTGGCAGAACTGAGGTTTTTCATGTCATTTTGAAATAGAACGAGTTTGCTGTATTCAACCCTTAACCTGCCAGATGTGATTATCATGTAACCTCTCCTTGCAGTATCCCTACATTATCCAGCGACAGTTATGAGTACTCAAATTCATTAAAAATGTACAGCAGCTTAAGGGGAGAATTGAAAATCTGGTATTGGGAGTTTAAGGGTTAAACCTACAAAATTGCCTGCTCAAATTGATTTTTCAAATTGAGAGATTTATAACAACCTACTTCTTTTTTTCAAAAATCAGATGCAGGTTTTTGTCTTTTGATGAGGTAAAAAAACTCATACTTACTTGTCCCAGCTGCAGTTGTAGTTGTAGCTGATTGTAAAAGATAGATGGGGAAAAAAAACCACATTATTTTATGATTGAACCTCCATAGTGAGTACTCCCCCCCCGACCAAAATGCCAATAGGAAGATTGCTTTTTTGCTTTTATGGTTCTTGTGTTTGTTTGTTTATGTTGGGGAGGGGGGGGTTGTTTGTTTTTTTCAGAGATATCCTAAACTGACAGAAAGCAGCAACAAGCAACAATGTGTGTGATGGCTACTGATATCCCAAAGCTACATGCACAAACCTGACATTTGCCTTTTTCAGTTTTTTTCAGTCAGTTGCTTTAATTTCACACCTGTAAATATTATTTTATGCCAAAAATGGCATGAACTCGCTTAAATCTACTACTTGTTATTTAGGACGATAAGTGTGAATTCAATTTTATTTGAAAGATTATTCTTAGTTCTCTTTGTTTGGTTCCTCTTAAAGTGATTGTGTGGCAGAGGATGATACAAGCAGTCCTTTGGGGCTCATGGTGACCACAACTTCTTTATTGAGGTGAAAATTACAGTAATTGAAGGGAAGAAATTTCAGGACTTTGAAAACTGACCAATTAATACAGGGTGATCAGTTAATGCAGTATAGCTAAATACATGTTTGACAGTAGTACAGAATCCAACTTACCTGGAACAGTTGCAGAGATGAAAAAAGAAGAAAAGAAAAACACTGATGTTAGTAACTTAATTGAATGCCACTGTCTCCTCATGTTATGAAGGCTGAACCTTGAGAAATGGGCAGGAAGACCAACTGTGCTCTGCCCAAAAGTTGTGAAAAAAATTAACTAGTTAACCCTTTAACTCCTTCGAGTGACCGAGACAATATCAATACAATATCAACCAGGTAAGTGATGAGAATTAAGAAAAATGTCAATTTGGGGATAATTAGTTGATCCAATACTAAATTCTCTGAACCAACATTATATGAATTGTATGGTTGAGAGTAAGGAGAGTTACAAATTTGATCTGGGAGTTAAAAAGTTAAGACATGCACTCCTTTATTCTGAGCAAGTTCCTTTATAAACCAAGGAGTACAATACATTTATAAGGAAAATTAATTTTGGGAGAACTTCCCTAAAGCAGTAGTTTGCTCACTCAAAATCAACAACTTAATCAGAAACTTTAAGTGCACAAAATAATTGGTTCAACTTAAGACTGAATTTGTTTGGGTAGATCTCATGCTCAATGTGCAGGACTTGAGATCTTCAAGTGAGGCCACAGAGAAGGTTAAATTGTCTGAGCCAATAACACTTTCATTTAAATCTCATTCTGAGGCACATTCTCTCTTTACTTCCTTTGGGCTTTAAAAATGAAGAAAAAGAAAATTAACAGTCTTACCTGTAGATGATCCCGTGGTGTTACCTGAAAATTTAAAGGCAAATCAATAAAACCTCAAGTTGTGTAAAAAGTGGAAGCTAAACTGTAATAAAAATAAGTTCCTTCCACTAAGTTTAGAAAGAAAGTGGAAAATACATCTATTTTCCCTTTTTCAACTTCACTCTTCCCATGGTTCAGAAAATGTTATAACATGCTACCCTTTGATTTTCAAAATCTGCCACCAATATGATAAGTGGATCCTTCTTTAGAATTTGATTTCATGATGAGTAAGCATTTAACTGTTGTCACACAAGAATGGACTAATCAAAAATAAGTTATGGATACTAAAAACAAAAACCTCCATTTGTTGCAAAAACTTGCTCATATGAATGTCCTTAGACATTACCAATCCTGGAAGCTCACACTTTTCCTCTCTATTTGCTCTCCTAAAACTGTTCTTCTCAGGACAGAAAATGAAGGCAGTCAAATGTCCTTGCATGTTTTCATTCCAAATAGAGGCTATTATTTTAACAACTCAATATTTGGTAAAGCGCTTTAAAAAAGTTATTGTATCCATGGCGAATTTGATGTGTCAACTTACCTGATGTTGGCATTACCGAGGCTGTGGAAACAAAAAGAAAGAGCAGATTAGCTTCTATGTCAATATCATTAAACCCCTAAGAGCAACCAGCATCTAATTTCTCCTTACTGTATCATCCCTAAAATCATATATTAAGGTCACAAGAATAACAGAAATGATCAACAAGTACCAGAGCTCTTGATTATAGAGCAAATTATCCTTGTTAGCACCTTAGAAAATTTTATAGAGAACAGTATGGAGAACATGGATCTTAGGTTTAAAGGGTTAACCCCTCAGAGTGACTGGCATCTAATGTCTCCATTCAGTATCACCCCTGAGTTACACATTGTGGTCACAAGAATAAAGAAAATGATCACCAGCTGAAGCAACTCTTGATTGTCAACCAAGTTCTCCTTCTCAGTACCATAGGAAAGATATAGAGGGCTGTCAGGAGAAAATGTATCCTAATGCTGGGGCGTAAAGGGGCATGATCTACCTGCTCTTTAATATTTTACACCTAAAGCCTAAACTTCGATTTCTTGCCCCCCCTAATGTAAATTTCTCATAATTTTAGCTCTGAAGTAAAATCCCTAGTTGATGTTTTAATTTAATCTGATCAGCATTCTGTATAAAATTGTAAGCAGAAAGTATTATTTGGTCCTTACTATGAGTGAAATGATCCACTAAATATAAT